AAGGACCTCCGAATTACTACCAATTTCCACCTCAAGGTTACTACCCACCACAAGGCTTTCCAAACTACCCACCACAAGGCTTTCCAAACTACCCTCCTCAACCCATGCCTTACTTCCCTAACCCTTGGATGTTCATGTCAAACCCTCTACCCCAATTCCAATCTCAATCCCAATCGAAGAGAGACCAAGAGTTCGAAGAAGGTCTGAACCGTTTACGCAAAGAGTATGCCACAGCCCCTATGGAAGATGACAGGCTTTCAGTCTCTTCCCTAAGGTCGACCAATTCGACTCGTACCACAGATTCGGTTCGTGACCGTGAAGACTACCTCAAAGCAGTCTGAGAGACTCTTCATCTTACAGCCATTTACAGTTGGAGCTCTCAAGAACATGCGCAATTACGAAGGTCAGACACCAGCTGGAGACCGCAAAACAGACGTACTCGCAAGAGCAGTCCAACTGGTCAAGACAAAGACGGAGATAGTTGACTTCATTCTTGCAGCTTGCCCATACAAGTAAAAAAATAAACAATTACGAGTTAAACTTTTTACTCTTTCTTTTCTGAGTTGTTTAGAGCTGGTTTCTCTTGTAGAAACCTTTCGTACTCTTCCATGGTCATGTAATTGCGAATTTGGTACGCAATTCCAGGTTCGTTGTTTTTGAACCTGATGTATGTAACGCTTCCATCCTCCTCAGGGAAGTAAGCTGCTAACATCTGACCAAGTTTTCTCGGTGACTCGGAGCTCATTAAAAATGTCACTTTTTAAACGTTAAGTTTTTAGTCTTATTTTACCCTTTGTTTACCCTTTGTTTGTCAATGTAGTATTGGAGTGCAATTTCTCCAAATTCTCTGTGTCGAGTTCTTCAGCATTTTCCAAGGTGTACCTGGAGAACTCAAAGAAGTTGTCAAAAGATACTGCCATGCTGCTCTTCTGAGTTCGTCGGTATTTTGGAAGTTTGCACCTTCGAGTCTTCGGACATGAAAAAAATTACACTTTTTCTATTAAACCGTTTACAATTTGAATTTTGTTGCTGAATTCGGCAAAAATATATTTTAGGGTAGAAGGTTAGATATAACCTGTTTTCTAACCTCTTTTCTACCCTCATGAATTTTCATGAATTTTATACAGAAAATGCTTGTTTTGAGGTCGAGCCACTTTTGGCTCGACCGTATTCTTTCAACCAAAACTCATGAATTCGGCAAAAATATATTTTAGGGTAGAAGGTTAGATATAACCTGTTTTCTAACCTCTTTTCTACCCTCTTGAATTTGTCATGAGTTTTCCCGAAATAAAAAATAAAGTTGGTTTTTTTAAAAAAATATTTTTTATTTTTATTGTAAGAACATGTTAGCAACAACAGCACCAAACTCGTTAGTCATGAACCCAACTTCAATGTTAGTAGAGATGAAAAGCTTCATTCCTTCTTCATATACTTTCGAAACAAAAATCCAGAAGATAAAGCAAGAACTTTTAACAAGTACTTTGGACTGTTGTGCGAAAGATGAAACAAATGAACAGTATCTTTATGACATGCAGGACCTCATCGACCATTTACCCAAATTGCCTGAAATCCAACAACAAAAGCTTACTATTCCAGAATTCGATGAAATAGAAGTCAAAGCAACTGACTCAGTAGAAATAAAGAAGTTCATACGAAAGGTTAACTATGAGTTTCTTGGATTTCATTGCAACCACAAAGTCATGGACAAAGATTGCGACATGGTATATAAGAACATCTCTGACATATACAAATCTGGGGAGTTTAAGACCTACGACAACTTTGTTTCGTTAGTTGCTGAATGTGTATGGCAGATAAGAGATAAAGATAGAAGAGGTAAGATATGGAATGAACAGATAAAACCCGCAACTTTTGAGTTAAAGAGAGCAATTGACGCCTTAGTCATACTAGCAGGTAAGATTTCAATGTACAATGCTAAAATGAACCCACAATGTTCAAAATGTAAAGCAGCAATTAGGAAATATAACTACTCCGTCAAAGAGATAGAACGTATGAGAAACGACTATGCTGACTTAAAGAGGGAGGCAGAGAAACCAGCAGAAGATAAAATGGACATGTTGACATTTCTAAACAAAAACTATCCAACTGCTGACGATTTCCTTCTATCTGACGTCAAGAAGAAATATAAAGAGACTTTCGGTATCGTTAAAACTTTTGACATACTGACAGAAGAAATAGAAGCTACGAAATTGTTTAGAATTTCACGAATTCACAATGTTTACCATGTGAAACGGTTATAAAATAACTGGGGTAGAAAAGAGGGTAGAAAAGAGGGTATATCTACCCTTCTACCCTAAAATATATTTTTATTGAATTCTGAGTAAAATTCAGAGTAAAATGACATATGGAACACGTACTTTTTCAGTAAGGACATATGGGGTAGAAATGAGGTTAGAAATCGGGTTAGATATACCCATCTACCCTAAAAATATATTTTTATTGAATTCAGCACAAAACTCTTTATTTTTATTGACTTTTTACAATTTGAACTTTGTTCGCGTAGATGTGAATTCTGAAAGAAGTATGAGGGTCTTGTATGACTTTGTACTTCTCCCATAGTTCATGTCTGTCAAACTTACCTGCCATGGACTCTTTCATAAGTTCCATGAAATCGTCTTCGGACAATCCAGGGAAAAGTATGATATCAGTAAGTATTCTTTTAACATCCTTACTTAAACTCTTGGCTGTCTGTACACAAATGACAACTGAGATGTTAAAGTGTCTGAGCTTCTTAAGAATTCGACACATGTCTTGTTCTCTGTTCTTTAACAAAGGATGAGAAGCAAAGTCATCTAAGATAAGAAGACATCTGTGAGGGTATGTCTTCCAATCGTAAGATTGCAATTTCTTCGAAATGTATTCTATCTCTTTCTGTTTGTTTCTGAAGTGTTTCTTCTCTAATATTCTCTGCATTTCCTCATTTGGGTCTTTAAACTTCGAATTGACATACTCATTTATAGCATTGTACTTCAAAACTCTTCTTTGGTACTTCTTTATCCAATCTAACAACTCAGAGTCTTTTATACATACTAACTTAGACTTCTTTATAATATCTTTGAACGAATTGACGGTTTGGTCAAATTGACCAGAAGTACTACAAATGACTACTAACTCATAGAATGGGTTCTTCTCATCTAGTTCTTGTTGTTGTGCAGCCATTTTAAGATAAGTGAAAGTCTTACCCGACCCAGGTGGTGCAATTAGACCTGTTATACCATTCTGAGCAAATAAGAACTTGTCATGTATGGTTTTATCTGAGCATTTTCCAACTTCCTCTTGTTCTTGTTTAAAACATTCTCAAATTTCTTGTCAATGTCAGCAAACTTTTTTTCTAACATATTTTTAGAAAAATTAAAATTTTTATCTTTTTGAAAATGTCTAGCGATTTCGCTATCTATATTCGAGACAACTTTTCGACAGCAAAACATCTGTCGACCATAAAATCTTACATAGTGTAAACAAGAAAGGTGAATTTGTTCTAAAGTTCTGTTTCTGGGAATATGACAAGAACCATAAAACATTACAAAGAGCAGTCTTAAAATTTGTCAATGACAGACTTGTTGACAGAGATGACGCCGATTGGAAAGATGAAGTCCAACAAAAGTTCTTAGAATGCAAAGAAGGCACATGCGCTGTTCTTGAAGATGAAATAGAAAACAGAATAGAAGAGCTATTAAAGGACAAAGAACTTTTACATAAATATGGTTCTGAGAAGTTTGACATAACTCCACCAGAGAAGAAGAAGAAGAGAGAGAAGAAAGAAAAGAAAGTAGAAGAAGAGAAGAAAGAGCCAGAGCCAGTTCCAGAGAAAAAGAAATTTGACATGTAAAAATAAAATTTTATTTTTAGAACATTTCTGGGTCAATGTCAATGTTCTCTTCCTCTTTAGGAGCAAACACTGGCTTAGACTCTAAAATCTTTTTACCCAATTTACCTTGAACTTCAACTATCTTAGACTCATAATATTCATAGTCGTCTGCTTTCTTTGGTTCATAAGGTATAACAAGTTTGTATGCTTTGCCTTCTTTAAGGTTTGAAAACCTTCTGTCAAAATTTTCTTTGACTGCTAACAAACCTTCTATGTCTAAGTCTTCAAATTTCGCACCATTTTTAGTCACAATAGCAAACTTAACTGGTTCGATGTTCCAAACTTTGTCAAATGTAGACTTTTCAAAATGGTAGAAGTAAACATTCAAATAAGCGAATGGGTCTAGTTCTTCTTTGACTTCTGTCATGTACTTGTTGACTGAAATATATTTCGTCATCTTTTCTATCGGATAAAAAAATATTTTTTTTAAATTTACTCAGAAAAATTTTTCTTTGTATATACGCCGTTCTGTATGTCTAAAAGATTTTTGACATTTGCCAAGAATGTACGTTTAGACGCTGCCATATAACCATACTCTTGACAATACTGTTTATATGAATCGTACAATGACCTTTCATCTAAACACTCAAAGTTAGTCTCATCTATAAACAGTTCATATACACTCTTGTTTGCTTCTAACAATGTTTGTCTCTCTTCGGTATATGGAATTTGTCTTGGATTGAACTTAGAAATATCTAATGTCATGAAATATGAGAACAAGTGGTTGTAAAAGTTAGGTGTCAAAGTTTCTGCTAAGTCGTCAAAATATTCTGTATCTTGCATATGAGAATCTGACGTTCTGACAACTACATATCTTCTGTCAGAACTTTCTAACTTCATCGGAACGGCGTTGTTTGAAACCATAATGAAATTTGCAACATTTTCACAAACTCTTTGGTCTTTATATTTCTTTCAACAACTCCAACTTTGTCTGTTATAAGACTCTTCAAAGCATCCGAGTTCAAAACTTTTGTTGTATCTATACTTTGAAGTTCGTTACATACTATAAGTTTCATATTCTCTATTGAAGAGTTAAATTTACCGCAGATGTTTTCTAAGTTTGTCATATTAGGGTTCGAATAGCCCTCTAACAGTTTGCACAAAATATCTGTAAAGAAAGTATTCTTACCAGTTCCTTGTTTTCCAATTATGATGAGAGCAGTTTCATTTTTAGCACTTGGATATTGTAAGATGTTTGCAAACCAACATAAGATATACTCATAGACTCTTTCGTTTCCATTGCATATAATTTCTTTGACATGGTCTAACCAAGCTTCTATAACATTTTCTTTCCATTCTACTTGTTCGTATTTATATCCAGTGAAGATAGAATAGAAGTTTGGAGATGGTGTATAGAACTTTATACCACGAACTGAAAAATCTTCTAACTTTGACAATAAGATATCCCAAGCATCTAACATCTTCATGCCAACTTGTACGACTTTTATTTTCTTAAGTTTCTGTCTACATTCTTGTTCTGAAACTATGGTTGCTCTTGGTTTGTTAAAGACAACATCCCATTCTTTCATGACATAACATTCTGGGGCAGAGTCGACATAAATGACTAAACGTTTCAAATTCTCGACTGCTTTGTTATAGTCTCTAAATGGACACATATTTCTGAACGCTTGGAAGTCATAAAAATCTGAAACATCTATTCTGTACATTTTTATAAAAATAAAAAAAAATATTTTTTTATTCTTGACTTTGTTGTTGCATTTGTTGTTCTTGAGCTATTTGTTGTTGAAGTTGTTCTTGTAGTACAATACTTTCACCAGTTGCATCTTCCAATTCGAAACTTTCTGCCGTCATTGACAAATACATAGGACATAAAAGTTTTACAGGAACAAAGTTTGCGTCAACTAAGGTTAAGTTTATGTTTGCTAAAGTGTTTGAGTTCACTAAAGCTGAAAACTCTGCATTCGAATGAACAATAGGCAAACCAGCAGAGAAAGTGTTGTTTATACGCATGAGTATCTTTTGGTCATAGTAGTTTCTGTCGACATTCGAATAGCACTTTGAACCTAAGTTTGAAACAATATATAAAATAGGTGTACTTAAAGTCAATGGAACAGACAAACCTTGTATGACACCTTTTCCTGTTATAGGAAACTGTTGGTAGTAAAAACCAGATATAAGTTTTGTATTATAGCTCATATCGTTTATACTAAACTCAGTCGGACATCCAAACATAATGAAACCTGCTCTAGTTGCAGCACATGTTACATCCGTCCTTAAAGTATTAAATAAGTCAACAAAACCTGTTGGTGGTATATCTGAGTAAGTATCTTCAAAGAGTATTTTTTACCATTCACAACAAAATCTTCTGGTGTCAAAAGAGCAAAACAGGCTTTAGTCGTCATCGTGTTTAAGGTCAGTTTACAATATCGTCCTTGAGGACTTTGTAAGTTTGTTGTTATAGAATTATATGACTCAGGGTTTTTAGTCGTAATAGTATAAACCACTATGTCTTCTGCCATTTACTTAGCAAGTAAATTTTAATGAAATGTTGTGGTCGTCAAATATTTTTATGACGTCTGGGAAACTATATTTTAAGTTCAACGTTTCACCTCCTTTCATAACGTATATCTTGTCAATGACATTATATGAAACACCACAGCAACTAACGTCGGGTTCTATTTCTTTGATGTTTATATCGTCTGCCTCTGTCAAAAGTTTCAATAGTTCTTTCAAAACTTCATGAGGTGCGATGACATATGAGTTCACTTTTACAGGGTTGTGTTCGACCAAGTTTAACATTATACCCAAAGCTTGACAAATCTTCTCCTGAGTTTTAAGTTTGTCTTTAAGTTGTTGGTAGTCGTTTCGAATATCTGCAACAGAACTTAAGTCTCTGCTAACTTCAGGGTATGTTGGTTGTTCTTTTACAGGAACAATTGTTATACCATCTTCGTCTTCGTATGGTTTCCCCACTTCAACATCTCTGTCTTTGACATTGACAACAACACTTTGACTGTTTGTTTGAGTTGGTGAATTTAACTTCACATCTGCCACCGCCATTAAACCTTTTGAAACACTTACGCTTCTATTTTTCGGAAATGACATTTTACTTAGAATAAAAAGATGGACGTATTTGAGTATCTCTTCGAATTGAAGCAAAACAAAGTTTACACACACAAACAATACAAGTTCATTGACAGAATAGTTCTTTACACAAACAATGGAAAATGTTATAGAATAGCAGTCTTTGCTGAACCAAAATATTTTCATAAAGCAAAGAAAGTTGGTATAACTGAAATGGTGAAAGTTCTTGAAGCAGACAAAAATATAACAACAAAACTTACAGATATTTCTAAAGGTAAGTTTATAATACAATATTATATCAAAACTGGCGTACTGTCAATATTTGACGGAGAGAAGTCAGTTCAAGAACAACTTACTGACCTGCTGCCAAAATCTGCTCGATGGAAGCTGTCGTTATACCAATCTGAGGAGCCCCAGCAGGTTTCATCGAACGAATCTTCAAAAGAGCATCTTCCGTGAAAAGTGCTATTGGTTTTGTAAACTTCTTTGCTTTCAATTCATTTGGACCGTCTCTGTCACCAGTATATTGTATTTGTACAGTACCAACAGTTGAAATACCACCCATAAAGTCTTCTGAGTCAGCAAATGGAATGCCAAGCCAAAAGTTTGAACGGTCTCCATTTGTATATTGAGTTTTTTGAGCTCCTGTATGGGTCCATACTTTCACATATGGCATAATAGAACTTTGCATTTCAGGGTTAATGGTTGTTGTGAAGTTGTTGTTAAAGTTCATAGCATCTAATGTCAAGTTGTATGACCTCATATCCTCAACTGTAGAATATTCTTCTCTTGGATAATATTTGCCATCTATGTTTATATGATATTTAATACCAGGGTTGTAGAAACAAGAATAGTCATTTATAGTTCGTCTGAACAGTACAAACATAGTATCTGCATGTTTCATTGCAGTTGTCAAAGCAATATCTGTTCTTGCACCTGGGTCAGCACTTTGGTTTCCAACTTCACCTGCAAAGTCTTTGACAGATATTTGGTGTATAGGGAACATAAGTGGAACTGCAATATATTTGGCAGCTAAAGCATTTGAAATATCTGGGTCCAACATATAGACTGCAAGTCTGCTTTCTATTCTCTTGCATTCAAATTTTTCGCATGTGAACTTAACTGGGTCCCAAGCAGTTCCAGCAGCATTGAAGTAGTAGTTTACTTCAGTGTTGAGGTTTGAGAAACCAAAGTCTAAGTCAACTTTGTCTTTGCAAAATTCGGCGAATGACGTTTGATTTGCTCCCTTTACGTCTGTAAGAGTGAATGGGTCTTGTGTTGGTGCAATGACTAAGTTATTTTTGCTTGGAGTAAGTTCGATAGAAATTTTTCCTGCCCAGTTTGGCAAGTATCTTAAAAACCTGAAGATGAGGAAAGATGACAAAGGAACTCTAAGTTTCAATTTTACTTTGGTTACTGCTGCTGCAGTTTGTCCAGAAAGGTCAACATAAACTCCTGGAACGTTAGGGTCAAGTCTTCTTATTTTCTCAATAGTTGCATACTGGTCTGTTTGTTCTCTAGCTTGTGGTTGTACTGAGTTTCTCAAAGCGAACCATTCATAGTTTGCCCATGTTACTGTTTGAACTAAGTCAGAGTTAGAATATATCTTATATCCCATGAAAACTTCTGGAGCATATTGGTATCCGACATAGAAAATTCCATTGCAACCTTTCTTGTCAGACAACTTGGCAGAAGGTTTTATTTCAATGTCTTGTTCCACGTATAAGAATGAGTTGTCAATAGAAATTATATGAAACCTGTCGCAAGCAATATCTACTGTTGTTGAAGAACCTTCTCCAAACTCACCTACATTTCCATAAGAAACAGCAGTTGTATATTCGTAAGTTCCAGGAACTATTTCTGACCTTCTAATGGCATTGTCGCATTCGTTATACCATTCGGAAACATTTCCATTCATAGCATCCAAAACTGTTGGCGTTATATTCTGAGCGGCGTACATTTCATATGAGTAAAAATATAGAATAGTTGGATTTATATGTCATAATAGAACCCACTCCGACCAAGCTTTACTTTCTTCCTGACTGAGTTTTTAACTCTTCTTTTTCCTTCATTGCCCTCTGCTTGAAGTTGTTGCATCTTTGCATTATGTTCATCTAGTATGTTGCAAATTTCCCATGTCCTTTTTGCCTTTGGGCTCTGGTCGCCCATCTCAGGTAACCTATATCCTAGAAAGATTTTGTCATAGTTTGTATTTGAGTCTTCGCGTATTGTTTGCATGACTCTTTCCTGAGTTTCCGGTTCAAGCGCTTCAAACAGTGCTTGCCCATATGGGATGTGCTCGTTTCCAAATATATGTTTTTGTAGCCATTCTGGTTTTCTTTCCATGTTACCAACAATATCTTTTGTGAATGGGAAAGCTTTTACCCAATCTTTCAGTCTTGCGTCGTTTATTTCTGTAGTTGGTTTTATTTTGTCAAGGAACATGTTTTTCAATACTAACATTTCATTTGGTACTGTCCATTTGAGTTTTCTATAAATATTCATCCCTTTCTCGGTTCATTGTCTGCAAAGTAAGTTTTTTATGACATTTTGTAAACTTTCGTTTGCAAGGTCATGTACAATAGGTTCTCTTCCTTCTCTCTCCCTAACTTTCTTTCTAAACTCTTCACCAAATATACATCTTTATGGTTCTGTGTAGTTCTTTGAGATAAATGTTCTAGAACGTCAGGTGTTATATTTCATCAGCCATGGTTCATTTCATACTGGTCCAAAATACTGCATGTTTCATATTTTCAATGGCATTAAAGCCGCGCTTAAAATACCAGCTATATCTGGTTCACCATTGACTTCCATTGCGTCTACAACTTCTTGGAATTGAGGTTGTAAGTTTATGAACCACCTATCCGGATTAGCTTTATGACCCATCTCATTGTAGTTCCATCGTCTGCAGAAACAAAAGTAGGTTTGTTTCCATCTTGGTTAGGTTCTGAATGAACTTTAAACAATGTTTCATTTCTATATGTTTTCTTGAAATTTAACCTTTTATCTTCACCGAGTTCATCCGAAGATTGAACGTTAAATGCTCGTAAGTAAAAAGGGTTGTTGTATTTGTGTACATTTTTTTTCAGTTCTTCCATTCTATGCTGGATATTTCATCTGATGTTGGAGTCTTTTGTATGTCGGCAAACATTTTTTCGATATTCTTCTACTATTGTCAGCCGAATTTTTTTTAGACTCTTGGAAATATTCCATATTCTCCGCATACTCTTGTTGAGGGTCAAGATTTTTTCGGCTGTTCCAAATCTTCATCTAGTTCTGTGAAGTTAGTTTCCAAAGGAGTGACTTGTTCGTTTCCTTCAGGCTCTTCTAGCTGTTGTTGCTGAACTATTCTTCCATGTCTGGTTGTATCTGAACTATTTCTTCCTGTGGAGTTTCTTGTACCTCATCTGCTGGCATTTCATATATTCCGAGACCGTTTTTAACAAGTTCCCTATCTAAGTCATCCGGACTCATAAACCTTTCTTCTTTCGTTCCGTCTCTATTTTTTACGCGTTTCATGAAGAGAGTTGTATTGTCATTTAGCTCTGACACCAAATATCTCGGAGTAAATTCAGTCATGTCATTTGGACGATATGCTATTAAATCATATCCCTTAGCGAGCTTGTATTTTCCAGGTTGAAATTATATCCCATTTGGTGCTGAGCCATAAAGCTAAATAGGTTCGGGTCAGTATTCCTTCCTTGAACTTTCTAATAGCTTCTTTATATCTGTCACTAAAGTCAAGAGTATCTGGGTAACATAGTCTTCCTTCAGCATTTTTAAGAATTCTTGGTTTCCTTGTTCTCTACTTCTTTTATGTCCTTGCTCTGTTTGTGGTTGTTGTTGTGCAGGGTTTTGAACTGTTGGTTGTGTGCTGGTTGTTGTGTTGGTTGTTGTGCGTGGTTGTTGTTGTTGTGTGTTGGTTTTGGTGCATGCCTGTGTCTGTGTCCATGTGACGATGTAAATGTTTTAGGTAGTCCTGGTGCAGGTGCTTCTCTTGGAGGGTTTGGTGGTATATAAGTTCCACAGCTGGCACATATGTTCCATCTGCAGCATAGTGTCCTACCTGACTTTTCGTTTTTAAGAAACATTTACTAGGTCTGTTTTGGTCTGTTGTAACTCTTTTTTCTTGACTTTTCACAACAGTTGCTCTAACGGCGTCATAGGCACTTTGAACTGCCTGTCTCGTTGCTGCATCTGTTATTTTCGTCATATTTTGTGCTACTTCTTTTAACTCTTTGTCGAAACCTTCAGACTTCAGTTTCTTTCCAGATGAGAAGTCGTTCACTTGTTTCACCTTACTATGAAGAGCTTCGAAGGCGTTCTTAAAGTCAGCATTTGTTAAAGCTTCATTTGAACTGTCTTCATCCGCTTGTATTTTTGTCCTTATTGACCCTATAAGCTGGGCTGCTTTTAGCGTTGGCTTGGGCATCTAACCAGTCATTGTTAGCTTTTATATATTCCGCGCTTTTTCATTGCCTTTTGCATGCTGCGTCGTTATTTTTACTTTTCTTGTGCTAAGTTTTCATACTGTACGGTTTGGTTTTGCAACTGTAAAAGTTTTTCTGCCTTTACATTTGCTTCAACTTCTTTTTTTATACTCATCGCTATCCATATATGTCTTCAGGGCTTTTTGTTTTATTTCTTCATCTTTCAGTACTTTATATCGAGTAGTATGGTTTTTTCAAATTTATGACATCTTGTTCCATTTTTGCTACTTCTGCTGCTTTTTCTGACACTTTTTTCGCATATTCCTCTGTACTTAGTTCTTTCAGTTGTTCTTCTTTCTTCTTTTTCTCTACGTTTAACTCATTGAGTTTCTTTGTGTGTCTGTCATATTCTAGTTTCTTTTCGTTTTCACTTATTTCTTCTGTATGTCTATGTTTGACTTTTTGACATCTGTTATTTGATTTTTGAGTGAACTCAAATTCATTTGACTTTGAGGGTTATAGGCTGTTCCGTCTGCAGCTCCACCATAGCCTGCCATTTTCGCTAAAAGTGCCGCTCTTAAACCTCCACTCTGTGCACCAACAACTCGGTTTAAAAAGCATAGGATGCTTGACATTTGTTGCAACATAGTGGGGTCATTCATCATTTGTTGTTGCAACTGTGTTGTGGTGTTAGTCTTACTATTGGATGTTTCAATGCTCTCTTCCTCTTACGTATATTCTTACGTAGCTTACGTGGCATTTTAAGTGAAGTTAAAAAGCGGTTTTTGACAGATGTTTTATTGTGACTTCTTCGTAAAGACTTTGTTGAGATTTCTTCGTAAATGAGTGTAAATGACCCAAAAATACATTTTAGGGTAGAAGGGTAGGTCTACCCTCTTTTCTAACCTCTTTTCTACCCTCTTGAATTTTCATGAATTTCTTCGTAAAGACTTTGTTAAGACTTCTTCATCTAATTTCTCAATGAACTTTCTTGTCTATGTTTTGTTGAGATTTCTTCGTAAAGACTTTGTTGAGATTTCTTCGTAAATGACCTAGTAGTATATTTTTGGTGTAAATTTCATGAAAATTCAAGAGGTGAAAAATTAGGTGAAAAAACAGGTTATATCTCACTCTCTTCACCTAAAATATATTTTGGTGTAAATTTCATGAAAATTCAAGAGGGTAGAAAAGAGGTTAGAAAAGAGGTTATATCTAACCTTCTACCCTAAACATTATTTTTGGTGTAAATTTCATGAAAATTCAGAGGGTAGAAAAGAGGTTAGAAAAGAGGTTATATCTAACCTTCTACCCTAAACATTTTTTTGGTGTAAATTTCATGAAGAAATCTCAACAAAGTCTTTACGAAGAAGTCTTGACAAAGTCTTTACGAAGAAGTCTTGACAAAACATTTACGAAGAAATCTTGACAAATTCAAGAGGGTAGAAAAGAGGTTAGAAAAGAGGTTATATCTAACCTTCTACCCTAAACATTATTTTTGTCTGATTTTACGAAGAAGTCTTGACAAAACATTTACGAAGAAGTCTTGACAAAACATGAAAACATATATAATTTGTGAAAAGTGAAACATTATATAATGTTTTCGACCAAGAAGACTAACAATTTTCCGAATAAAAACTTCATTTATACTAAACATCTTCAGGGCTAGAAGGCACGAAGTGCCTGGAAGCCCCACTACCTTTTTTTTTTTTTTTTTTTTTTTTTTTTTTTTTTTTTTTTTTTTGTTTCAATAAAAAATGAACATCGGATGGACCAATTTTGAGAAATCTTGATCAACGGGCTCTCAGTGAAAACGGGAACAGGACAAATTTGCCACACGGCACTTTTTTTAAAAAAAATTAATGGAGCGGAGCGATACTCTGCTGCAGGAGCCCCAAGGCTCCCAATCATTACGAAAGGGAGCCTCAGGGCTCCTGAGAATCCTCAGCAGAGGCCTTTTCATTTGGCCTCTGCTGATCAAGATTCGGCGAAGCCATTCTTCGTCTCAGGAGCCCAAGGCTCCCAATCATTACGAAAGGGAGCCTCAGGGCTCCTGAGAATCCATCAGCAGAGGCCTTTTCATTTGGCCTCTGCTGATCAAAGATTCGGCGAAGCCATTCTTCGTCTCAGGAGCCCAAGGCTCCAATCATTACGAAAGGGAGCCTCAGGGCTCCTGAGAATCCATCAGCAGAGGCCTTTTCATTTGGCCTCTGCTGATCAAAGATTCGGCGAAGCCATTCTTCGTCTCAGGAGCCCAAGGCTCCCAATCATTACGAAAGGGAGCCTCAGGCTCCTGAGAATCCATCAGCAGAGGCCTTTTCATTTGGCCTCTGCTGATCAAAGATTCGGCGAAGCCATTCTTCGTCTCAGGAGCCCAAGGCTCCCAATCATTACGAAAGGGAGCCTCAGGGCTCCTGAGAATCCATCAGCAGAGGCCTTTTCATTTGGCCTCTGCTGATCAAAGATTCGGCGAAGCCATTCTTTGTCTCAGGAGCCCCAAGGCTCCCAATCATTACGAAAGGGAGCCTCAGGGCTCCTGAGAAACCTCTTTGAGAAGGTTTTCTTAAAGAAAACTTTCTCAAAGATGATTGTCAGCATTCACTCAAAATCTACCAAGAGTTTCAAAGTTTCAAATCTATCTGAAATGAAGCTTTGAATCTCTTGTATATCTAATTGTAGAGGTACCTTTTCAAAATGTCTTCTATTGATTAAATTTAATCAGTAAAAGTCATTTTGAAAAGGTACATCTCTATAATTGCTATTGAGCATTCACTCTTGGAACCTTGGAGCTCTTGTGTAGTGCATGAAAACTCCAAGATTCTAGCATAAAACATATATCATAGACATAATTTCTTCAAATATAATTTAAGGTTATTTTTTTAAAAAATTAGAAAAGCGTAATTTAAGGTTATTGAAAAGTGACACTTGGCAAATTTGTCACGCGCTCAGTGAAAACTCCAATGTTTAAGGTTTTGATCAAATCTCTTCTTTTTGATATCTGAAACGACAAATAGGTAGACAATTGTATGGACATGTTATGGTCATGCTTATGCAGAATGATATCTATTCTATCAAAAGAAAATAGACCTCGAAGTGTCGAAAATTGAATAGTTGTAAACTAAAGCGGTGATCCCTTAATTTTATCTCAAAAGTGTCAATCCCCTTCAATACATTTTTTTTCTTTAGTATAATCATATCTTCATAACACCTAGAGAATATAAATTGTAATATGATTATTTCGGATTTGGAGAAATGAATCTCCGTTCGGACAGATGGTCGAAATCCATGATTTTAAATGTCTGTTTTAATTCTAGAATTATATCAACAACAAATTATAATATGTAGAGATGTCATATACATTTATTTAATTTTGATATTTTCTTTTTGCTGTAATAAAGACATGAGAACTTCTTGAAACTCTCAAAAAGTTGCAATCAGATTAATCGCTACCACAAGAGGTCTTCACAAAGACAACAAATGTATTTCTATATTAGAAATAGATCTAAAAGTCAGTTTTTATCAAAAATTTATTTGTCAATATATTGAAAATGAGTTTAATCAAAGAATTCGCCATTGACGATTATAATTGCAACCACCCAAAGAATTTTGAAAGAACAAAATTCGAAAAACTCATCAGCCCTAGATATGATTTTGTTCTACATAATCCAATTTGAAAAGATTGATCTGACATAATAACCGTTTTTAGTGTATTATGGAAATGTAAATATTTCAAATATTCAGAACAAACAAAGGCTAAGGACTCATGGACTGTTATAAGCCGAAATTTAAAAGAATACATTCTCTGCTTGCAGGAGGAATGATTTACTGCTTACAGAACAAATGAAATCCAGATCATATTTTTTAGAAAAAAAAGTAAAAAAAGTTGTAAAATAAATGTTAGCTAACAAAGTTAGAGAGAAAATGCTTCAGCAGAATAGACTTGACGCTGGAGATTATTCTAAAGCCAACATTGCCGACCGAATAAAGCAAATTCTTCTCTTAATTCTTCGCTTATCTGATGCGCCTATTTATGACTTATTCAAATTAGGAATTTTTATTGAGAAAACGACATTGCTAATCAATTTTAGGAAATTCAGCAAGATAATTTGTTTCCCAATTCAAAAAATTAAACAAAATTTAAAAAATTCAGGTATAGAGGAGATTAAAATCGATCAAAAACCAGAAAAATTCAAAGATTGGACCTATTTTTCTCTTGGAGAATCCGATGATTGCAATTCAATTCTTCAATTATTGAATCATCAAAACTTTTCTCGCGAATTAGTTTTTGAACAATGTGCTCAAGAGAGGCAAAAGTTAGTTAATACTAAATCTCCGAAATTAAAAGTACCTAGGCTGTCAATTCAAGACACTAATTTGACTCAATTCGAACCTACTGCTGATAAGTACAAATTCCCATATCAGTCAACGATTCCGTTCATATTTACTGATGATCAAACATTTTCCGCAATTCATCCAGTCCGAATTTCATTTTCCATGAAAAGCCATGACTCTTTGGGAGTTTTGCGCGGACAACAAACATCATTACTTTCCATATTTAATTTGAATCCATCAAGGGAAAAAATAATAACAGAATTAATTGAGCCTCAGAATTAATCCAACTATGCGTATGATATTACACAAGTTTGTTTGTATTTAATAAATAGATTGTATCTTTTAAATATGATTGTTAATTTTGATTCATATATTATGGAGTCATTGCAGTTATTACTTTTATTTTCCAAGTTTGAGATTAAGAATATTAGAACGCCTCTTATTGCCACATTATTTATTAGCTTAGCTTTATTAATTTCAATAAATATAATAGTTTAAGATGCATAATTAAAGGCAATAGCATTCATAGAATCAGTATCTAACAATCCAATCATTTATTGTGAATAAATCTTTATATTTGATTTTGAGTAATTTCATATTTCTTCAAATTCTATTTATTTTTGATACCATTCAACGCAAAAACAAAAACATATTGTGTTTTAAACTTTAATTGAATTTCGCAAGTTATTCTAAAATTGAGAAGAAAATGAAAACCGTTTAAAACGACTCGATATTCTAGAACTGGCGTTAAACAAAATTCCATAATTAAATCAGAATTTAATGCGAAAGAATTTACACCATTGAAAAGTTGAAACCATAAAATAGAACACATAATATTATATCGAAACATATTAAAATTTTGAAAATAAATTGATTTTGCTAGGAATAAATTTCATTTTTAAATTTCACACCTAATGACTAACATTGAACAGCTCGGCAAGATACCAAAGAATTGCGCAGTCGGAAAAAATGAATTGCTAGCATGGGTGAACTCAATTTGCGGAGTTAATTATCACAAAATTGAAGATTGTTCGAATGGTGCCGCCTTTTGCCAAATAATGGATGCAATATATCCTGACTCAATTGCATTGGGAAAAGTTAATTATGATCCAGTATATGAAAGCGACATTGTCAACAACTTTATAATTTTACAAGAATCATTCAACGAAAACAAAATACAAAAGAACTTAAATATTAACGAATTAGTTCGAAAAAAGGCTTCAGCTACTCTTGAAATGATGCAATGGCTTTATAATTATTGTTCAATTTATGGATGTGTGGATAATTATGATCCATATGAAAGAAGAAAAAATTTTAATTGCAAAGAACCAAATGTGACAAGGAATAGTGGTGTACCTGTTTTATCTAGAAGAAAGTCTGAAAGAACTATTTCATCTCCAACAATTCATAGAAGAAAAACATTAGATTCTAATCAAAGTGCTCAACAATCTTTATCTGAATCGGATTCTGAAAAGAAAGTTCGAAAACTAGAAAAATCCGTTACTCGATTGGAGAATGAGTTAATGGCTACAACCAAAGAGCGCCAATTTTACTGGGAAAAGTTAAGAGACATAGAAATATATTGTAATGAAAATCAAAATGAATCAACCAAACAGATACTTGAATTACTTTATCGATTAGATGCAGATGGAGAGTTTATTCAACCAGATGAAAATTGAACCAATTCCGATGCATGCAATTTTGTTTTTTTTTTGCTAAAATTTATTTGTGAGTATTATATTATCTAAGCGTTTCCGCATTTACATCCCGATATGCTTTTATTTTATGATTTAATGTGATACTGCCTCAAAAAAACTCTGATATCAATTCTGAGATTGATGGATAAGGATATTGAAATAAAGAACAATTGTTTGAATGTGCTGTGCAGATCTTAGTTAATATGCTAATCGAAAATCCAAATACTTATCAAGATTTTTTCCATAATTTTTTTTTTTTCATTCTATATAATGACTTTATTGGGCGCATTTCGATTTTTTATAAGTTATCATTTAATGTTATTGATTTTGTATAAAAAATGAAACAGAAAATTTTTATGAATAAAGGTAACTAAACTCCTTTCGCCGATCCGATTTGCCCCATATTTAAAATATAGCTTGCATATGTAGAAGAAAAGCTAATTTTGAAGTACGCCCGAAATCCACCAACAGGATTTCGAGCTACTAAAAAGGTACTTTTAAATGTGATTTTTTTTATAAAAAATTAAATTTATTTTAAGATCAGACTAAAAACTAATTTTATGGAAAATCTATATCGACAAATTTATTACTTATTGGGTATTTAGATTTTTTGATTATGGCGATTATGTCTGATATGCTTCCAATAAGCCAAAACAGTGTTTTGGGAGTGATTAAATACAAAAAAATCTGGCGATGCTTTTACGTGGCAAATGGTCGAATGGTTATTACCCTTACTATTGGTACCGGGACGCTAGTTCGAAACTGATGCACTATATTTTTTACAAAATGCGTTATTAGGACAGGGTAAAGAAAGGTTGCCAATATAATATATTTAAATAAATACAACTAATCTAGCATAAAAAACTATTGAATATTTGAATTCAATAAAATTTATTTAAAATACATGTAAAGCATAAATTACTCTATAAATCAAGCTGTATTTTGTTTTATATAAATTATATCACACCGCTTCTAGTAATTTTAGCTTAAGCATATCATCGCTAATTTTCAAAAAAAAAGAATTTCAAATTTTAATCCAAATTCTTTTCTTAAAATTCACAATCAAATTACAGCTTATCTTTAATAGTCTTATTCATTCTATGCTTTTTTTTCGGCTCCATAAAAGTCATAAATTTTTCCATCATAAATTTGTTAGAAATTGGGTTACCATTGCCAAACATTTGGATAGAAAAAGCCCAATAAATTATACCCAAAGCATCCAAACATGAAGATATCATATAAGAAATATAGTTTAATTCAGTAATTCCCTAAAATCTAAAATGTTTAAGAACGTTTGTTCAATATCTTACAATCTAATTCACAGATTTAGCATATGTACTACGTATCAAATATACAATGTGATCTCTCAATAAGCTTAGGTTAATTATTAAAATTAAATAAAATTCTACAATTAGCGAAAAATAATACGGCAGATAATATGCTTATAGGTAAAGAAATTCAAAGAGCATTCCTTAAATTTTTTCGAAATTTATCAAAACTCGAAGGTAAAAAAACTTTTTATTCTATTAATGATAATAAATATATTAGCCATATTAAAACTTTTCATTTTTTAAAACTCATAGAAATACGTTTGATATTCTTCATTAAGAACATATAAAAACGAGTATAATTATCATAATCTGTTAATTTACAATATAAATGCTTTTCTGCTGTGTAGTAAATATCAAATAAGAAAATAATAACATTATAAATTTTTCAATAAGAATATATTATCTAGCATCTAAGCATGAAGATATTTAGAATTTGGATATCTAAATTCTGCTTAGATTACTTTCAAAATATAAGTCAATAATCTTTGATTTTATTAAACGCTAATATTGGATAGTATATTTTCACAATTTAATTGTAGTTAGATAAGTGATAATTCATGTAACTCATTGATTTCGATCAAAAGTTATATTCACCTTGTTAAAAAAATAAAAAAATAAAAAAACTGGGTGCTTACTGATTTGAACATATTGCCATTGAACCCACGACATAACCAGTAGGCTAAACGTACAGTGATTTTTTTTATAAATTCTAGTATAAAATACTTCCCGCAGGGCATTTGTTTAATTATTTCACATTCTGATGACATAATTTTTAATATCATAGATAATGAAAGCGAAAAATATATAAAAATCGACAAACATGTTATAATGAGAGCTTTACGTGTCAAAAAACAAATTTCATACTGATTTCTATAAAAGGTATCTTTATTATAGATGTGTAAGCTATATCTGTTTGTTTTTTTATTATAACAAATTCAAAATTCTCTTATAAGGATTAGATGAAATCTGTATTACTAAATCATTAGCTAAATGAAGGTTCAAATAGAAAGTAAATATCAATTTATATGATACTGAAACCAAATAGTTCTTTTAATAAAAGATAACACGCTGAAAATTATTGAGTATTTGCAAATCTCAAAAATCTATTGGTGAATTTGGCTCAACTTTTAAAATTATAACATCCATATCAAATCATAAAAGCAGACAAAAATTAAAGCCAAACCTATCGGCCAATTTTTTTTGATATTTTGATTTTTGAGGTATACTTTTAAAAGTGGATTTAAAGCACTTATGAAAAAACATTAACTTCTGTCGTTATGATTATTGATTTAGACAATAATGATTTTAATCTTTGATTATCAAAACACTAAAGTCACCTTTTTAACATTTGCTTGGTAGCATTAACTCAAGTCTAAAGTACTATTTTATGTGGCACTCTTAGAATTTTTGTATTCATTGTACACGCTGAAATAGTACCATTAAAGTTATGGCGGACTTTCAAAAAATAGTTTGGTCACCTTTTTATGAATCAAAATTTTAATATTTTCCAATAAATTCCGTGCTCTTTAAGTTAGCTAAATTAAGCAATAAACAAAATTCCTGAGTAGATGCCGAAATAATACATTTTTCAGGGAAATTTTGAGAGACCAAATTATTTTTGTTTACATAATTCAATTTATAAATAATATGATATATGTATTTCATTTTATTTCTATACTCTATTTTCGATGTTTTTTTCTTAATGAAAAATTCTGAAAGTTAAAATTTCGTGATAAAATTTCATAAAAATGATCACAATAATATGTGTATCAATTTCTCTTGAAGTGAAATATACGAATAAAACTAGAGCACTCACAAAAAATTTCATTGAATAGGATAATTCAATGTGATTACTGACAAGTTGGCGATTCCAAAGTAAATTTATTAAACAATATACAATACAAATTTCTATTTTGTTTATAATTACTTTTCCTTCTTAGAAAAATTTCAATGAGATGGACACGTTTTTGTCCAAATATATTTTACTCAGTATACTATCATCTATAAAAATATTAAAGAATTATTGAGTATACACTTCTATTGAATTCGATTATCCTTCATTTAATTTTCATGTCTAGAAGACTCTTGAACCAAATCATAAACGAAAGCCAAAGCTCCAGTGGAACTTGGTCATACACATTCATGTTTGAAGTGCGCAACATCTTAAAAAATCTCCGGCAAAACGACAAAGTCAAAGTATTTACAGGTTTATTCGAAGTCATACTCCACAAAGAAATTACCGAATTACAGAAATTTAAATTATCGCAACTATTATGCTATATATATAACAGCTACCCAGAAATTTTTAAAGAAACACTCGCCACATTTAAACCATTAATTAAAATACGATACCAAGCTGCTCAGCAGGATTCTGAATTGAGCAAGGCATCTTATAATCTTCTCAAAAATCTGTAATTATGCGGTTTGATTTTTCCGATTCAATAATTATTCTGGGTTCATACCCTGAACACTTATGTTTATTTCTTGTTTGTTTTGTATAAATGTTTTGTATATAATATCTGTTCTTAACCATGTAATTATTTATGGACAAATTATATTTTTTTTTTAATTTTCCGTCTTGCCGCTGTTTTTTTAACAACATAAACATTCTTTAGTATTATATATGAACAAAAATTCATTAATAAATAAAAAATTTTTCTCATTATTCATAAGATTCCAAATCAAACGGTAAATACTTTATGCTTCGATTACCATCTAATTTTTAAACATCAATTCACATTACTCAGTTTTGAGAGAATTCCTCACAAAACTTCCTCCCCCAAAAAAAGTTTCTATTTAATTTTGACCAAAGGTGATAAAGATAAGCCATTAAAAACAAAAAATAATATAAAAATGTGAATATTCGCTTTCATTGACAAATGTTGAAATCACAAATGCAACTAAAACTTTATTGTTAATGTATTTTAATAGAAAAAAAAAAAAAAAAAAAAAAAAGGCAGTGGGGCTTCCAGGCACTTCGTGCCTTCTAGCCCCGAAGATGTTTAGTATAAATGAAGTTTTTATTCGGAAAATTGTTAGTCTTCTTGGTCGAAAACATTATATAATGTTTCACTTTTCACAAATTATATATGTTTTCATGTTTTGTCAAGACTTCTTCGTAAATGTTTTGTCAAGACTTCTTCGTAAATGTTTTGTCAAGACTTCTTCGTAAATGTTTTGTCAAGACTTCTTCGTAAATGTTTTGTCAAGACTTCTTCGTAAATGTTTTGTCAAGACTTCTTCGTAAATGTTTTGTCAAGACTTCTTCGTAAATGTTTTGTCAAGACTTCTTCGTAAATGTTTTGTCAAGACTTCTTCGTAAATGTTTTGTCAAGACTTCTTCGTAAATGTTTTGTCAAGACTTCTTCGTAAATGTTTTGTCAAGACTTCTTCGTAAATGTTTTGTCAAGACTTCTTCGTAAATGTTTTGTCAAGACTTCTTCGTAAATGTTTTGTCAAGACTTCTTCGTACATGTTTTGTCACTTTTCTGTCAGTTTTCAGGTAAAAACATTTTTATTGTATATAAAATGAATTTTACAAAACCACCGTTACCCTTCTTTGGAAATAAGAGTAGATGTAAAGATATTCTATTGAGAGAACTTAAGAAACTACCGAATGGTCTAACATTTGTAGATTTGTTCGGTGGAAGTTTCTATATATCTCATTTGTGCCATACTGTATTTCCTGACTCAAAGATTATATGCAATGACTTCGACAACTATATGAACCGTCTCAAACATATACCAGACACAAACAAAATATTGAAAGAGTTAAAAGAAAAGATACCTATAGGTAAGATGGAACGTATACCATTAGATAAGAAAAATACTGTCAGAGAGGTTTTGAAAAAAGCAGAATATATAGACTGGGATAGTATATCTGCTAGACTATTATATAGTGGTTCTATAAGAGTTCATGACATTGAAACACTTATGTCAAAAGTTTTATATCTTAACTATACAAAGGTTTTCAAAGAGAACATAGAAAAATATACTGAGGGTATAGAGTTTGTGAGATGTCGTTGGACAGAGTTGTATGAAAAATTTAAAGACAAGGAAAATGTTTTCTTTATAGTAGACCCGCCGTTCTTTAACACATACGATTTTCAATACCAAGTAGACTGGACTTTGAGAGACTCTTTAGAAACTTTAGACGTTTTACATAACCATCCATGCTTTTACTTTACATCCGATAAAAGTGGTTTGGAAAGTGTCATGAGATGGTTAGAGGACATACATGACTATGATTTTAGATATGACAAGATAGAATATGAGAGAGGTCCTATAAACCGGAGAAAGTGTCATAACAAAGAAATTTTACTAGTAAGTAAATGTGGTTTGAAATAGGACTACTTGTTTTAGGTTTTTTCCATTGTGTCATTTACTTATTTGACGTGGCAGAAAGATATAGAGAATATGAAGATGAACCAATACCAGCAAATGTTCAGCATATGTACTCGTAAGAGATATTTTTATCTAATATTAAAATGGACGCACAGAACTTAGCGAATGCATAGCAACCTGGACAACCAAACCCAGAGAATATTCCAAATGAAGTTAGAATACAAACTGCAATGGCAAACTATGGTCAAGTGCCAACAGATGTACAAATGCAAACTGCCATGTCAAATGACGCTGCGTTAGGCTTACCACCATGGTATGCAAATATGAGATGGAAAGAGTTTTATACAAACCCTGAAGTGGGATATAAACAACTCTATGCAGATGACGCGAACACAGGAGTTGACCCAGAGTATGTTTTCTACCAGAGGAGAAATAGAATGTATGAGCTCCAGTTAAAGAATGCAATGGAACTCAGAAGGAAACGTAAGAGACTAGGTGGGCATTAGATTTTTACATATAGTAAAATGGGTTTCTTTGGAAGAATAGGAAACTTCTTTCGAAATGTTGGAAGAGGTATATGGAATGGAATAAAAACCGTAGGAAGAGGAATTTGGAACGGAGTCAAAAATATTGGTAAAAGAGTAGGTCAGTTCGTTGGTATTATACCTAAAGACCCTGAACCAGAAGAACAAGCTCCTGTTATACAACAGCCTGAACCTGCACCACAGTCTAGTTGGCAACCAAATCCAACACCTCAACCGTATTAAAATTATATTTTTACCGTTCGATAGTAGTTGTATATGAAACTAAGTTCTAAGTAAAACGCGTGGTATAATGGAACTATTCTCTTTCTTCCATCTGTTGTAAACCATACTTGAAAGTCTGAAATACTTCCACTCGGTGGTTCATATAGCTTTGTAGGTTTTTCGTAAAAGTCATTTGCCAAGCATAAAAAAGAGTTTTGTGCGCCAGAAAATGAAGCATGAACTATAATAGCATCTGAGTCGAAAACATTTTCATATGTTCCATTAGGGTTTTCGACTTCATAAAAGTTCGGGTGTACTGGATATTCTGCAGGCTGATTTAACATCCTCAAAAATCTATACCATGCCAAGTTGTTATATTTTGTAGAAATATAAACGTCTTCTCCAAGGTCTTTATTCTATCGATTTTAACAGTTGCATTTTTCCTGTCATAAACAATATCGAGATGGTACTCTCCTTCGTCAATGTTGTACTGTTTTGCATATTCGAGATAGATATCGTTTATTTTTTCTTGAAAAGCTTGAAGAGTTGTTTCTAAGTTTACAAGCAAATTCACTTGTAAAAGTTTTCCCTGTTCAAATTTCTCATACGTACGTTTTTCTTTGTTATAGTATCGAACTTCAAAAGCGACCGTAAATGGGAAACCATGTATGGCTTCTGAAATGAATTTCATTCTACGAAAGCCAATAGCTTTTGTGACGGATGGGTCTCTTAACCATCTTAGTGGGTAGTCAAAACGATAGCCTTCATGTTTTACGGTCTCTGTCTCAAACTTTTGACCGACGTTAGTAAAAAGTTCATCTAATGGTTTAGTCGTAGCAACTCTTGAATTTTCTTTTTCTATTGGAAGCATTTTTTATCTAGAATAAAAATGTCGAAAGAAACAGCGTCTATGAGAGAAATAAAACACAACCGACAACTCATTGTACAAGCTCTAAATAAGAACACAACAAACTTTTCAAACTATTCTAAGATATCTGAGTCATTGAAAGAAGGAAACTTAAAACTGACGATAAACCCATTGACAGACGAGTTTCTGTTTCAAGACAGTAAGAACCATACTGTTTGTATAAATCCAACAAAAAGAACTTTAAACGAGAAACCTATAGATGAACTTCTTTTGAAGGCAGATATTGACAACAAAGCTGACAAAGAGTATGTAGATGCAACAAGAGACTATATTCTCGCATGGACAGATAGAACATACCCACAAAAACACCATACACATAACATCTATGACGTAGATGAACTACCAGCAATGTTAGATGACAAAGCGGATAAAACATATGTTGACAATAAAATGTCAAGTGAAGTGACAAGAGCTGACAAAGAATATTCTAAAAAGACTCATACACACGATTTCTTCGCAACTGTTGGTATAAAATATTGCAGGAACGGTTGAAGAACCTGATGGAACTGGTGGGGATGTACTACTTTGGAAACCTCCTAACTTTCCACAAGGTTTAACATCGGATGAAGACATAACGACGATGAAATACACTAGATGTAGAAATGTCTATGTCATGGAGGATGAAAACAAAGTTAAATTCACTGCTCAAGATTTATATGACAACAAAGCTGACAAAACATATGTTAACGTTGAGTTAGATAAAAAAGCTGACAAAACATATGTTAACGATGAGTTAGTTAAAAAAGCTGACAAAACAGAGCTTCAAACGTTAAAGACAGAAATACTTCAAACAGTATATCCTATAGGTTCTATTTACACGTCAATGAACTCTACCAGACCAGAAGTAGTACTTGGTTTTGGAACTTGGACTCAAATAGTCGACAGGTTTTTGTATTGTGCAAACTCTTCAAAGGAAACAGGTGGAAGTAAAACGATTTCAGGTGAAAACTTACCTGCACACAGTCACTACATAGATTTAAGTACAGCTGAAGCAGGTTGGCATAAACATAGATTTTGGGATTGGTCAGCAATGAAAAAAGGTAAAGGATACGATGTTAAAGACGACGTTCAGTTTGCTATAAATTGTTTCTGGGGTAGCACACAGGGAGAAGGAAACCATACACATCGCGTTTCAGGGTATACGCAAACAACGGGACAGAGTAAAGACTACATGCCACCTTACATGACAGTTTACGCATGGTATAGAAATGCTTAGTCGTCATTTTCAACTTCTTTAGCATATTCGTCAGGAGTTGTCTTATATTTGTTAGGAACTGTCTTTGAAAGTATACCACCTTGAACTTTGACAAGTTTGAAACGAGGTCTGACAATAGTAGTTTTATCTTCTGCTTGCAGTCTGTACATTTTGCCATGTTTGCCTAAAACTTCATAATATTCTCTTGTATACTTTCTTCTATTTTTACGAACACGAATGCGAGTACCTGTCGAGTTCCCATTGTTGTCATAGTCAATAGTATTTTCATATGGGTCGCGTTTAGGTATTTCTATTTTTACTTTGTCACCTTTCTTAAGTTTGAAGCCTGGCATTCTTTCTTGTTTGTCTCTTTTGACTAAACTATTAAATATATAGTCTTTCTCTAAGTCGGGGTTGTTTTTCATTTCTTCGGGGGAGTGGTTTCCCAAACCTTTTTGTTTACGGTTATTGTAAATATTTAAAACTTGTCTCATCTTTGCCATGGAGAAATGTCTATATTTGTCGTCATATGACATTTCATTTGCCTCACCACCTTGTGGTTGGTTTAAGTCTCTTAAGATTTTTATACAACTGTCAATGACACCAAGAGCAGAATGGTTTTGGTCGACAATGAAATATTGGTTTACATTTTTTGAACGCAGATAGTTTTTAATATCGTCTGATTTGAAAGAACTTTCACAGTCAGATGTCAGTTTTGTTGGATGGTATTTGTCAACAAATATTGTCAAAGCAGTTTTCACATCTAAAATATTTTTGGACTGTAATGGTATGGCTTCACAGTATCTTGTGTTTTGACCAACAAATATTAGCCAGTATGGTGGTCCATCTTCTCTATACCTCGGAATGTTTTCCAAGATATCCATAAACCAAGCATTTGGTGTTGAACTAAAGATTTTTACCATGAGTGCTTTCTTTGTCGCTTTAGAAACATAGGGGTCCTTGTTTGGATTCGTCATTTTTACCCCATAAGAAATGGGTTTATTTGGCGCGTTAGCAGGAGTTGCATCTAGATTTTTACCCGCAGTGGGAACAATAGCCAGAGGTGTATTTGGAGTTGGAAGGAAGATTTTGAGTACATTAGGTATACTGAAAGAGAAAGCACAACCTATTATACAAACTGTACAGAAAGGTTGGGATGTAGCACGAGATGCAGCAAATCTTATTCCAAATCCTGAAACAAGAGGAAAAGTTCAAGGATGGATGGACAATGTAGGAAGACAAGCAGGAAACTACTATAACAAAGCAAATGACTACTATAACCAAGCAGGACACTACATGGACCAAGGTGAAAGATTCTTTAACAGAGGATATAACCATGCACAACAGTGGGTAAACAACAACCAACCGCAACCACCTCAAACTTGGGGAATGTAAAGTTTTTTACTGAGATGAAATGAACAATACAGCATTGAGACAAATGGGCTCGAGATGGATTTGTCGGCTTCCAGCAGTTAAACTACGTGTTTGTCAAGTCCTCCCTATACCTCAGGAAGTTTTAGACCGACTTAAAAAACAACAACAACCAGTTGAAAACAAACCAAACTAAAATTTTTTACTGAGATGAAATGACCGAAGAAGTTGAAACGGTAGATTTGACACCACAAACAAAAAGTTCAGAACCATTGTCAAAACCTGTCAAAGAACTTACAGATGAAGAGAAAAATTCAATAATAGAAAGTGCCAGGTCTGGAAATACAAACCCTAACTACAAAGTCACTTTTCATAGAAATGGAACGGCTAGTATCTCAAAAAAGAAACAGACTCTCACAAATAAAATATTGAAGTCTGAAGGAGCTTTCGAGACAACAGATGGGAAGGTATTCTTCACTGACCAACAGTTCATTATAGAACATCTCATTGACTTAGAGTCGAAATATTCTAAACTTTACAACAAACACAAAAAGTTGAAAGGAAAACAAAAACAAATGGCATATGATATTTATGAAGATGTTAACGACACAACCATACCTGCAAGTGAGGTAAGGTCAGAGGAACCGAAAAGTGACGAAAAGCCGATAGAAGAAGGTGAGCCAAAAACTGAAGATAAACCAAAACCAAAGTTTAGTTTGGAAACTACTAAAACAAGTCAACCTTCATTAGCTGGTATGGGTTGGCGTCAAAGGCTTCTGGTAGCGGGAGGTTATGTTAAGTAAAGAAAAAAATATTTTTTTATTTTTATAAAAATGCCCCCATATAGAATGGATAGAAGGTCTGCTAGAATAAAAGCAGAGTTAGAAAGATATGGTTGGAGAGTTTCAAAGAAGTTTAAATATAGGAAGGGAAGACCCATAAAAGTCTATGACAAACTGGCTGGTCTGACCTATGAAATGGATTTGGAAACAGCGCGCGCCAACTATCCAAACAGACTAGAGAGGTTAGAAGAAGAGCGTCTTATAAACTTGCCTTTCGATGTTAGTGAACCGCAAGTTGAAGGACACGACGGCTTTGCCAGATTCTACTGGAAACATGACGAACAATTGCATCCTTTGAGAAGGAAAAAAAGGTAGTGCAGAGGATGGTCATGCTCCCATGGAAAGAACAAGATATGCATATGAGAAGTATCGTGAAGTTAGAAGTCAAATTACATCTGGTCGAACCTTTACAGTAAACTTTGACGAAGGAAAGAACAAAGAAGGCTTCATGGGTGTACTTGCTGCCATACAAGACGGAAATAAGAAAGGATACAATCTCAGATTGACTATAACAGATTTGGACGGTCATATATACTATGCACATGGCAATGTCACAACAGCTGCAATGCTTCTTGACGCTTTCAAGACTACAAAGAGAGAACAAATGGTTGACTCCGACTCAGACATTTTGAATGCAATTGAAGGAATTGCAAGTGTCAAGTTCGAATGGTACCAACCTAACCCTCAAGCAGTCAGACAACATGTTTGTTAGATGAGAAATATGAAATGGCATACCATTTTAAAACGTTTTTAAAACAGTATATTTTTACATATATTAAATGCTTCAGGTTGAAAAACAAAGAACAAAAGTAGCAGATACAAAACCGTTAGACTATATCTTTACAAACGCCGGTAGGACTATATCAGATGAAGAAATTTCATCCGGAGCTTACAGGTTTGACTATCCAATTCGTTGGCTTCAAAGTCCTTCAGATGCAAAGGCAATAGGATTTAGAAGAGTTTTGTTTTCAAATAGAACTAACGCGTTTATGTTCGCAGTATATTTTCATGGGCAATATAAAGGTTCTGATGGTCTAATAGACAAATTTGACGAAATGAAAATCTTTACAATTCGTTCAGACGAAAGTCTTGAAAAAACTCTAAATGACTTTCAAACTCAAATAAACAAATACTACTGGGAATTTCAAGAAAAATACGACTCTTTACTAAATGGAACATACTATCTAAAACTAGAATACGACAAGATGAACTCCACCGTTTCATTTCAAAAGATTGAAATTAAACCCTCCAAGAGATACAGAGTTTTTATATTGGGGAGTAGACAAACGTTCTTGGCACAATTTCTTCGGTTACTAAACCAGAACGAACCATTACCACCTGACGGTCCTTTTAAATTTATACTCCCACAACAGATTTGACAGTTTATAGAAACGTGTTCGATCCTCAAAATGTCATGTGTCATGCAAGTTTCAGTTCAAGCAACAACAGTTTTCTTTGTATCGGTAAGGACTTTTATGACTTTGCTTCTAAATTCTACGAACCACCTAGTAACAGTTTCTCTGACTTTCAAGTCTGGTTCACAACAAACGGTGTGCAGCATATAATACCATTGTACTATGACTTTTATCTCGAATTGTCTTTCATATACAACTACGGAAAAGTGCTGAAAAAGTATTGAAAAATGAGATGTTTAGGTTAGATGGTTTTAGGTGTCACTACGTCACCAGGTCCCTCGGTCCCTCGTCCCTCGGTCATTTTAACTTCTCTGAAAAAGTGTGACAACATGACATTTAGACAACAACACAGGAGATAGATTTCATCGTATATGTTTTGTGCTGAAAAAGTATTGAAAAATATATTTTATGTTAGCATGTTAGATCTCACCTCTTTTCTCACCTCTTTTTTCACCTGTTGAATTTTGTATAAAAAAGCAACCGTCGACATTCTGGCGGTTGGTATATTCTTCACAAATGCTTGTTTTGAGGTCGAGCCACTTTTGGCTCCACCTGTTTTTTCAACCAAAACTCATTTTTTTTCGGCAAAAATATATTTTATGTTAGCATGTTAGATCTAACAAACGTTTTCTAACCACTTTTCTAACATCGTAGAAAACTCTCGAAATTCATGAGTTTTGACACTTTCATAAAAAAATAAAAAATAAGTTAGTTTTTTTTAAAAAAATATTTTTTATTTTATTGTAAGAACATGTTAGCAACAACTTCCCAAACTCGTTAGTCATGAACCCAACTTCAATGTTAGTAGAGATGAAAAGCTTCATTCCTTCTTCATATACTTTCGAAACAGAAATCCAGAAGATAAAGCAGGAACTTCTCCAAGGAGTTTTAGACTGTAGTGCGAAAGATGAAACAAATGAAGAATATCTTTATGAAATGCAGGATATTATTGACCATCTACCTAAACTTCCTGAAATACAACAACAAAAGCTTACTATTCCAGAATTCGATGAAATAGAAGTCAAAGCAACTGACTCAGTAGAAACCAAGAAGTTCATACGTAAGGTAAACTATGAGTTTCTTGGATTTCATTGCAACCACAAAGTCATGGACAAAGACTGCGATATGGTATATAAAAACATCTCTGACATATACAAATCTGAAGAATTTAAGACCTACGACAACTTTGTTTCGTTAGTTGCAAAATGTGTATGGCAGATAAGAGATAAAGATAAAAGAGGTAAAGTATGGAACGAACAGATAAAACCAGCAACTTTTGAGTTAAAGAAAACCATTGACGCCTTAGTTGTTCTAGCTGGTTTTATTTCAATGTACAATGCTAAAATGAACCCACAATGTTCAAAATGTAAAGCAGCAATGAGGAAATATAACTACTCCGTCAAAGAGATAGAACGTATGCGAAACGACTATGCTGACTTAAAGAAAGAAGCAGAGAAACCAGCAGAAGATAAAATGGACATGTTGACATTTCTGAACAAAAACTATCCAACAGCTGACGATTTCCTTCTTTCAGATGTCAAGAAGAAATATAAAGAAACATTCGGCATTGTGAAAACTTTTGACATACTGACAGAAGAAATAGAAGCTACAAAACTGTTTAGAGTCATGAACCATCGCAACATATACCATGTAAAACGCTTGTAAATAGTTATGTTAGAAAACATGTTAGAAAACATGTTAGATCTAACATTCTAACATAAACATTATTTTTACTGAATTCCGTATGAAATTTCATGAGTTTTGTATGTTTTAGACCATGTTAGAAATGAGGGTAGAAAACGGGGTAGATATACCCTTCTACCCTAAAATATATTTTTGCTGAAAAATGACCAAATTTCATGAATTTCCTTAAGATAGAAAAAATAAAATTAACGCTAGTTTTTTTAAAATATTTTTTTTTATTTTGTATGTAAGAACAGGAAATGACAAGCACTGAGTTTGAAACAGTTAAAAAGATAGACAATGAGACCAAAATAGTTAGAATAGGCGATTTAAACGTAAGATACTCAAAGAAATACAAAAAATATTCTTTGTCAGACATTTTAACACTATCTGAAGGAAAGAAAGCACACGACTGGGTTAGAAATGCTTCTACTCAGAAAATTTTGACAAGAAATCCTGAGCTTATGATATCGGTAAGATTCTATGGAACAAGAGCATATCTCATCGACAAAAGTCTTATACCAGTAGTTTTGTTCTGGATTGACCCAGTTGTTGGATATAACTTCATAACATATGGTTCATTCGATACTGAACGTTGCAGTGAAGGCTTACTTTACATCGTTCAGAAACCGAAGGACTTCAATACAAAGAGATATAAGATAGGAAGAACATTTAATATAACTCAAAGATATGACAGTATAGTCAATAGAGTTAAGGTTGCGTTTGTTAACGATATGAGAGCTGCTGAAACAGAACTACTTGAAAAGTTTGAGAAAATGTATGGTGCTCCCACGAGAGGTAAAGAAACTTTCGAAGTAGATGAGATAGCTAAAGCTATAAAATTATTTGACGAAGTTGCTGAAAAATACATGTAAAGCGTTTATTTTTGGTCTTTTATACAAGATAGAAAATAACGCTAATTTTATTTTTTTTTATTTTTTTATCCGGAATATAAAGACAGAAATGTCAACAACAGAGAACACAACAACTGCTATCGTTCATGAAGCCATAAATGAAGAATATGAGTGGGTTCAGTTTAACAAACAACTCCGTCTCATTCGTTCGGTCAAAGACGATATGTACCAAATGCAAAGTATTTTGACAGCATGTTTTGCTCCAGATACTAAGGTTCCTAAAGACTGGTTTAGGAACCAAAGCACTATTGAACTATTAAATGAAGCACAGCGAGACAGACTTTTTTCTGAAAATCGTGAAGAACAGCGAGTGGGAGAAAAACCCCAGTCGCCAAAACTCTATGAAAATCGTGAAAAATTGCGAGTGGGAGAAAAACCCCAGTCGCCAAAACTCTATGAAAATCGTGAAAATTTGCCAAATGGTTTGAGAGGTTGGTATGTACATAGACTTCTTGTAAATGCTGTTGCAATGTGGGCTTCGCCTCGTTATGCTTGGAATATTTACAGACTTCTTGACGAAATTCATAGACAAGAACGTGAAGAGCTAGAGAACAAGCTTGAATCCAAAGACAAAAACATACAGAAAAGAATACCACGTTCGGTACCAAAAGGAAAGGAAAAGAACTATAAGTATATGATTTACACTGAAGAGATGGAAAATGAAGAAGACAGAGATATGGTTATGTTGCATTTAGTCAGAAGAAACAACAAAAGCTTTTACGACTTAGCTAAGATTTACAAATCTGACAGAAATTGGTTCTATCGCGAAAACTTACCGATTTCAATGACACCAAATGAAGATGTGAAACAAATAGTTCAAGATACGTTACCTCAAACACACTATGATATGAAAGGTTGTACAATACTTACATTCAAAGAAGATTTGCCATTGTTAAAGGAAAAAATAACAGAGTATTTTGACAACTTCAAACAAGCAGAGTAAATGAACCATTTATTTTTCAAGCTTGACACCAAAGATGGCTCAGGTAGCTCTAGATGGTAAATTGTCTTGTCAAATCCTTCTGACATTCCGAGTCCTTCCTTCCGACAGGAAAAGTTTTTCCTTCCAACAGGAAAAAAATTTCCTTCCAACAGGAAAAGTTTTTCCTTCCAACAGGAAAAAATTTTCCTTCCAACAGGAAAAAATTTTCCTTCCTACAGGAAAAAATTTTCCAGTTGTCCGTCCGTAAACCATTCAAATTTTCGAAAATTGAGAACTTTTTGGCCGACCTTCAGGAAAAATTTTTCTTTCCGACAGGAAAAGTTTTTCTTTCCGACAGGAAAATATTTTCCTTCCAACAGGAAAAGTTCTTCCTTCCGACAGGAAAAGTTCTTCCTTCCGACAGGAAAAGTTCTTCCTTCCGACAGGAAAAGTTCTTCCTTCCGACAGGAAAAGTTCTTCCTTCCGACAGGAAAAGTTCTTCCTTCCGACAGGAAAAGTTCTTCCTTCCGACAGGACACAAACGAATGTCCGACGTACCACCAACCGAGTCCATTCCAAAGCCAGAAGAACCGACAGCCCCAGCACCACAACAGACTAAGACTAAAACACTTACATTTTTACGCTTGACTTTTTACAATTTGAACTTTGTTCGCGTAGATATGAATTCTGAAAGAAGTATGAGGGTCTTGTATGACTTTGTACTTCTCCCATAGTTCATGTCTGTCAAACTTACCTGCCATGGACTCTTTCATAAGTTCCATGAAATCGTCTTCGGACAATCCGGGGAAAAGTACAATGTCAGTAAGTATTCTCTTTACATCCTTACTTAAACTCTTGGCTGTCTGTACACAAATGACAACAGAGATGTTAAAGTGTCTGAGCTTCTTAAGAATTCGACACATGTCTTGTTCTCTGTTCTTTAACAAAGGATGAGAAGCAAAGTCATCTAAGATAAGAAGACATCTATGAGGGTAAGTCTTCCAATCGTAAGATTGCAATTTCTTCGAAATGTATTCTATCTCTTTCTGTTTGTTTCTGAAGTGTTTCTTCTCTAATATTCTCTGCATTTCCTCATTTGGGTCTTTAAACTTAGAATTTATATACTCATTTATAGCATTGTACTTCAAAACTCTTCTTTGGTACTTCTTTATCCAATCTAACAACTCAGAGTCTTTTATACATACTAACTTAGACTTTTTTATAATATCTTTGAACGAATTGACGGTTTGGTCAAATTGACCAGAAGTACTACAAATAACAACTAACTCATAGAATGGGTTCTTCTCATCTAGTTCTTGTTGTTGTGCAGCCATTTTAAGATAAGTGAAAGTCTTACCCGACGCAGGTGGTGCAATTAGACCTGTTATACATTCTGAGCAAATAAGAACTTGTCATGTATAGGCTTTATCTGAGCATTTTCTAACTTCCTCTTGTTCTTGTTTAAAACATTCTCAAATTTCTTGTCAGTCATTGTCAGCAAACTTTTTTTCTAACATATTTTTAGAAAAATTAAAATTTTTATCTTTTTGAAATGTCTAGCGATTTCGCTATCTATATTCGAGACAAGCTTTTCGACAGCAAACATCTGTAGACCATAAAATCTTACATAGTGTAAACAAGAAAGGTGAATTTGTTCTAAAGTTCTGTTTCTGGGAATATGACAAGAACCATAAAACATTAAGCAGAGAAGTCTTAAAATTTGTCAATGACAGACTTGTTGACAGAGATGACGGCCGATTGGAAAGCTGAAGTCCAACAAAAGTTCTTAGAATGCAAAGAAGACACATGCGCTGTTCTTGAAGATGAAATAGAAAACAGAATAGAAGAGCTATTAAAGGACAAAGACCTTTTACAAAAATATGGTTCTGAGAAGTTTGACATAACTCCACCAGAGAAGAAGAAGAAGAGAGAGAAGAAAGAAAGAAAGTAGAAGAAGAGAAGAAAGAACCTGAACCAGAGAAAAAGAAATTTGACATGTAAAAATAAATTTTATTTTTAGAACATTTCTGGGTCAATGTCAATGTTCTCTTCCTCTTTAGGAGCAAACACTGGCTTAGACTCTAAAATCTTTTTACCCAATTTACCTTGAACTTCAACTATCTTAGACTCATAATATTCATAGTCGTCTGCTTTCTTTGGTTCATAAGGTATAACAAGTTTGTATGCTTTGCCTTCTTTAAGGTTTGAGAACCTTCTGTCAAAATTTTCTTTGACTGTCAACATACCGTCAATGTCTAAGTCTTCAAATTTCGCACCATTTTTAGTCACAATAGCAAACTTAACTGGTTCGATGTTCCAAACTTTGCTGAATGAAGACTTTTCAAAATGGTAGAAGTAAACATTCAAATAAGCGAATGGGTCTAGTTCTTCTTTGACTTCTGTCATGTACTTGTTGACTGAGATGAATTTTGCCATCTTTTCTATCGGATAAAAAAAATATTTTTTTTAAATTTACTCATAAAAATTTTTCTTTGTATATACGCCGTTCTGTATGTCTAAAAGATTTTTGACATTTGCCAAGAATGTACGTTTAGAAGCTGCCATATAACCATACTCTTGACAATATTGTTTATACGAGTCGTACAATGACCTTTCATCTAAACACTCAAAGTTAGTCTCATCTATAAACAGTTCATAAACACTCTTGTTTGCTTCTAACAATGTTTGTCTTTCTTCGGTATGTGGAATTTGTCTTGGATTGAACTTAGAAATATCTAATGTCATGAAATATGAGAACAAGTGGTTGTAAAAGTCAGATGTCAAAGTTTCTGACAAAGCGTCAAAATATTCTGTATCTTGCATATGAGAATCTGACGTTCTGACAACTACATATCTTCTGTCAGAACTTTCTAACTTCATCGAACAACATTGTTTGAAACCATGACGAAGTTTGCAACATTTTCACAAACTCTTTGGTCTTTATATTTTCTTTCAACAACTCCAACTTTGTCTGTTATAAGACTCTTCAAAGCATCTGAGTTTAAAACTTTTGTTGTATCTATACTTTGAAGTTCGTTACATACTATAAGTTTCATATTCTCTATTGAAGAGTTAAATTTACCGCAGATGTTTTCTATGTTTGTCATATTCGGGTTCGAATAGCCCTCTAACAGTTTGCACAAAATATCTGTAAAGAAAGTGTTCTTACCTGTTCCTTGTTTTCCAATTACAATGAGAGCAGTTTCATTTTTAGCACTTGGATGTTGTAAGATGTTTGCAAACCAACATAAGATATACTCATAGACTCTTTCGTTTCCATTGCATATAATTTCTTTGACATGGTCTAACCAAGCTTCTATAATATTTTCTTTCCATTCTACTTGTTCGTATTTATATCCAGTGAAGATAGAATAGAAGTTTGGAGAAGGTGTATAGAACTTTATACCACGAACTGAAAAAATCTTCTAACTTTGACAATAAGATATCCCAAGCATCTAACATCTTCATGCCAACTTGTACAACTTTTATTTTCTTAAGTTTCTGTCTACATTCTTGTTCTGAAACTATTGTTGCTCTTGGTTTGTTAAAGACTACATCCCATTCTTTCATAACATAACATTCTGGGGCAGAGTCGACATAAATGACTAAACGTTTCAAATTCTCGACTGCTTTGTTATAGTCTCTAAATGGACACATATTTCTGAAGGCTTGGAAGTCATAAAATCTGAAACATCTATTCTGTACATTTTTATAAAAATAAAAAAAAATATTTTTTTTATTCTTGACTTTGTTGTTGCATTGTTGCATTTGTTGTTCTTGAGCTATTTGTTGTTGAAGTTGTTCTTGTAGTACAATACTTTCACCAGTTTGCATCTTCCAATTCGAAACTTTCTGCCGTCATTGACAAATACATAGGACATAAAAGTTTTACAGGAACAAAGTTTGCGTCAACTAAGGTTAAGTTTATGTTTGCTAAAGTGTTTGAGTTTACTAAAGCTGAAAACTCTGCATTCGAATGAACAATAGGCAAACCAGCAGAGAAAGTGTTGTTTATACGCATGAGTATCTTTTGGTCATAGTAGTTTCTGTCGACATTCGAATAACACTTTGAACCTAAGTTTGAAACAATATATAAAATAGGTGTACTTAAAGTCAATGGAACAGACAAACCTTGTATGACACCTTTTCCTGTTATAGGAAACTGTTGGTAGTAAAAACCAGATATAAGTTTTGTATTATAGCTCATATTGTTTATAGTAAACTCAGTCGGACATCCAAACATAATGAAACTGCTCTAGTTGCAGCACATGTTACACTCGTCCTTAAAGTATTAATAAGTCAACAAAACCTGTTGGTGGTATATCTGAGTAAGTATCTTCAAAGGAGTATTTTTTACCATTCACAACAATAAAATCTTCTGGTGTCAAAAGAGCAAAACAGGCTTTAGTCGTCATTGTGTTTAAGGTTAGTTTACAATACCGTCCTTGAGGACTTTGTAAGTTTGTTGTTATAGAATTATATGACTCAGGGTTTTTAGTCGTAATAGTATAAACCACTATGTCTTCTGCCATTTACATATATTTAAAAGTTTTTCTGAAAGTGGAGAAGAACTTCATCTAACTTTCACATGGTGTTTCTTGAAGTTCTCTGTCTAAGAAGTTCAAATTTTGTAAAGACATAGAACTTTCCTTTGTCTACACGAACAAACAAAACAGGGTCTTTCATATCGTTCAAAAGTGTGTAAAGTCTTTACATGAAATAAAGTCTATATTGTTTTTCTTCAAACATCTTTCAAGAAGTTTTGACATTTACTTAGCAACTAAATTTTAATGAAATGTTGTGGTCGTCAAATATTTTTATGACGTCTGGGAAACTATATTTTAAGTTCAACGTTTCACCTCCTTTCATAACGTATATCTTGTCAATGACATTATATGAAACACCACAGCAAGCAATGTCGGGCTCTATTTCTTTGATGTTTATATCGTCTGCCTCTGTCAAAAGTTTCAATAGTTCTTTCAAAATTTCACGAGGTGCGATGACATATGAGTTCACTTTTACAGGGTTGTGCTCAACCAAGTTTAACATTATACCCAAAGCCTGACAAATCTTCTCCTGAGTTTTAAGTTTGTCTTTAAGTTGTTGGTAGTCGTTTCGAATATCTGCAACAGAACTTAAGTCTCTGCTAACTTCAGGGTATGTTGGTTGTTCTTTTACAGGAACAATTGTTATACCATCTTCGTCTTCGTATGGTTTCCCCACTTCAACATCTCTTTCTTTGACATTGACAACAACACTTTGACTGTTTGTTTTGAGTTGGTGAATTTAACTTCACATCTGCCACCGCCATTAAACCTTTTGAAACACTCACGCTTCTATTTTTCGGAAATGACATTTTACTTAGAATAAAAAGATGGACGTATTCGGATATCTCTTCGAATTGAAGCAAAACAAGGTTTACACACACAAACAATACAAGTTCATTGACAGAGTAGTTCTTTACACAAACAATGGAAAATGTTATAGAATAGCAATATTTGCTGAACCAAAATATTTTCATAAAGCAAAGAAAGTTGGTATAACCGAGATGGTGAAAGTTCTTGAAGCAGACAAAAATATAACAACAAAACTGACCGATATTTCTAAAGGTAAGTTTATAATACAATTTTATGTCAAAACTGGCGTACTGTCAATATTTGACGGAGAGAAGTCAGTTCAAGAACAACTTACTGACCTGCTGCCAAATCTGCTCGATGGAAGCTGTCGTTATACCAATCTGAGGAGCCCCAGCAGGTTTCATCGAACGAATCTTCAAAGAGCATCTTCCGTGAAAAGTGCTATTGGTTTTGTAAACTTCTTTGCTTTCAATTCATCTGGACCGTCTCTGTCACCAGTATATTGTATTTGAACTGTACCAACAGTTGAAATACCACCCATAAAGTCTTCTGAGTCAGCAAATGGAATGCCAAGCCAAAAGTTTGAACGGTCTCCATTTGTATATTGAGTTTTTTGACCTCCTGTATGAGTCCATACTTTCACATATGGCATAATAGAACTTTGCATTTCAGGGTTAATGGTTGTTGTGAAGTTGTTGTTAAAGTTCATAGCATCTAATGTCAAGTTGTAATGACTCATATCCTCAACTGTAGAATATTCTTCTCTTGGATAGTATTTGCCATCTATGTTTATATGGTATTTAATACCAGGGTTGTAGAAGCAAGAATAGTCATTTATAGTTCGTCTGAACAGTACAAACATAGTATCTGCATGTTTCATTGCAGTTGTTAAGGCAATATCTGTTCTTGCACCTGGGTCAGCACTTTGGTTTCCAATTCACCTGCAAAGTCTTGACAGATATTTGGTGTATAGGGAACATAAGTGGAACTGCAATATATTTGGCAGCTAAAGCATTTGAAATATCTGGGTCCAACATATAGACTGCAAGTCTGCTTTCTATTCTCTTGCATTCAAACTTTTCGCATGTGAACTTAACTGGGTCCCAAGCATCTCCAGCAGCATTGAAATAATAGTTTACTTCAGTGTTGAGGTTTGAGAAACCAAAGTCTAAGTCAACTTTGTTTTTGCAAAAGTCGGCGAATGACATTTTATTTGTTCCCACTACTTCTGTAAGAGTGAATGGGTCTGTGTTGGTGCAATGACTAAGTTATTTTTTGCTTGGAGTAAGTTCGATAGAAATTTTTCCTGCCCAGTTTGGCAAGTATCTTAAAAACCTGAAGATGAGGAAAGATGACAAAGGAACTCTAAGTTTCAGTTTTACTTTGGTTACTGCTGCTGCAGTTTGTCCAGAAAGGTTAACATAAACTCCTGGAACGCTAGGGTCAAGTCTTCTTATTTTCTCAATAGTTGCATACTGGTCTGTTTGTTCTCTAGCTTGTGGTTGTACTGAGTTTCTCAAAGCGAACCATTCATAGTTTGCCCATGTTACTGTTTGAACTAAGTCAGAGTTAGAATATATCTTATATCCATGAAAACTTCTGGAGCATATTGGTATCCGACATAGAAAATTCCATTGCAACCTTTCTTGTCAGACAACTTGGCAGAAGGTTTTATTTCAATGTCTTGTTCCACGTATAAGAAAGAGTTGTCAATAGAAAATTATATGAAACCTGTCGCAAGCAATATCTACTGTTGTTGAAGAACCTTCTCCAAACTCACCTACGTTTCCATAAGAAACAGCAGTTGTATATTCGTAAGTTCCAGGAACTATTTCTGACCTTCTAATGGCATTGTCGCATTCGTTATACCATTCGGAAACATTTCCATTCATAGCATCCAAAACTGTTGGCGTTATATTCTGAGCGGCGTACATTTCATATGGGTAAAAATATAGAATAGTTGGGTTTATATGTCATAATAGAACCCACTCCGACCAAGCTTTACTTTCTTCCTGACTGAGTTTTTAACTCTTCTTTTTCCTTCATTGCCCTCTGCTTCAAGTTGTTGCATCTTTGCCTCATGTTCACCTAGTATGTTGTAAATTTCCCATGTCCTTTTTGCCTTTGGGCTCTGGTCGCCCATCTCAGGTAACCTATATCCTAGAAAGAGTTTGTCATAGTTTGTATTTGAGTCGTTGCGTATTGTTTGCATGACTCTTTCCTGAGTTTCCGGTTCAAGCTCTTCAAACAGTGCCTGTCCATATGGAATATGCTCGTTTCCAAATATATGTTTTTGTAGCCATTCTGGTTTTCTTTCCATGTTACCAACTATATCTTTTGTGAATGGGAAAGCTTTTACCCAATCTTTCAGTCTTGCGTCGTTTATTTCTGTAGTTGGTTTTATTTTGTCAAGGAACATGTTTTTCAATACTAACATTTCATTTGGTACTGTCCATTTGAGTTTTCTTAAATATTCATCCCTTCTCGGTTCATTGTCTGCAAAGTAAGTTTTTATGACATTTTGTAAACTTTCATTTGCAAGGTCATGTACAATAGGTTCTCTTCCTTCTCTCTCCCTAACTCTCTTTCTAAACTCTTCACCAAATATACCATCTCTATGGTTCTGTGTAGTTCTTTGAGATAAATGTTCTAGAACGTCAGGTGTTATATTTCCATCAGCCATGTTCATTTCATACTGGTCCAAAATATCTGCATGTTTCATATCTTTCAATGGCATTAAAGCCGCGCTGAAAATACCAGCTATATCTGGTTCACCATTGACTTCCATTGCGTCTACAACTTCTTGGAATTGTGGTTGTAAGTTTATGAACCACCTATCCGGGTTAGCTTTATGACCCCATCTCATTGTAGTTCCATCGTCTGCAGAAACAAAAGTAGGTTTGTTTCCATCTTGGTTAGGTTCTGAATGAACTTTAAACAATGTTTCATTTCTATATGTTTTTCTTGAAATTTAACCTTTTATTTCACCGAGTTCATCCGAAGATTGAACGTTAAATGCTCGTAAGTAAAAAGGGTTGTTGTATTTGTGTACATTTTCTTTCAGTACTTCCATTCTATGCTGAATATTTTCATCTGGTGTTGGAGTCTTTTGTATGTCGGCAAACATTTTTCGATATTCTTCTACTATGTCAGCTGAATTTTTTTTTACTCTTGGAAATATTCCATATTCTCCGCATACTCTTGTTGAGGGTCAAGATTTTTTCGGCTGTTCCAAATCTTCATCTAGTTCTGTGAAGTTAGTTTCCAAAGGAGTGACTTGTTTGTTTCCTTCAGGCTCTTTAGCTGTTGTTGCTGAACTATTTCTTCCATGTCTGGTTGTATCTGACTAGTTCTTCCTGTGGAGTTTCTTGTACCTCATCTGCTGGCATTTCATATATTCCGAGACCGTTTTTCAACAATTTCCCTATCTAGTCATCGCATTCATAAGCTTTTGTTCTTTCGTTCCGTCTCTATTTTTTACGCGTTTCATGACGAAAGTTGAATTGTCATTTTAGCTCTGACATCAAATATCTCGGAGTAAATTCGTTCATGTATGTCATTTGGATGATATGCTATTAAATCATATCTCTTAGCGAGCTTGTATTTTCCAGGTTTGAGATTATATCCGTTTTGGTGCTGAGCCATAAAGCTAAATAGGTTCGGGTCAGTATTTCCTTCCTTGAACTTTCCAATAGCTTCTTTATATCTGTCACTAAAGTCAATACTATCTGGGAAACCACACTCTTCTTTAAGCATTTTTAAGAATTCTTGGTTTCCTTGTTCTCTACTTCTTTTATGTCCTTGCTCTGTTTGTGGTTGTTGTTGTGCTGGATTTTGAACTGTTGGTTGCTGTGCTGGTTTTTGAACTGTTGGTTGTGGAGGTGGTTGTTGTGCAGGGTTTTGAACTGTTGGTTGTTGTGCTGGTTTTGGTGCATGCCTGTGTCTGTGTCCATGTGACGATGTAAATGTCATAGGTAGTCCTGGTGCAGGTGCTTCTCTTGGAGGGTTTGGTGGTATATAAATTCCACCAGCTGGCACATATGTTCCATCTGCAGCGTAATGTCCTACCTGACTTTTCGTTCTTAAGAAAGCATTTACTAGGTCTGTTTTGGTCTGTTGTAACTCTTTTTCTTGACTTTTCACAACAGTTGCTCTAACGGCGTCATAGGCACTTTGAACTGCCTGTCTCGTTGCTGCGTCTGTTATTTTCGTCATATTTTGTGCTACTTCTTTTAACTCTTTGTCGAAACCTTCAGACTTCAGTTTCTTTCCAGATGAGAAATCGTTCACTTGTTTCACCTTACTATGAAGAGCTTCGAAGGCGTTCTTAAAGTCAGCATTTGTTAAAGCTTCATTTGAACTATCTTCATCCGCTTGTATTTTTGTCCTTATTGACCCTATGAGTTGGGCTGCTTTAGCGTTGGCTTGGGCATCTAACCAGTCATTGTTAGCTTTTATATACTCTGCGCTTTTCATTGCCTTTTGCATAGCCGCGTCGTTATTTTTACTTTCTTGTGCTAAGTTTTCATACTGTACGGTTTGGTTTTGCAACTGTAAAAGTTTTTCTGCCTTTACATTTGCTTCAACTTCCTTTTTATACTCATCGCTATCCATATATGTCTTCAGGGCTTTTTGTTTTATCTCTTCATCTTTCAGTATTTTATATTGAGTAGTATGGTTTTTCAAATTTATGACATCTTGTTCCATTTTTGCTACTTCTGCTGCTTTTTCTGACACTTTTTTCGCATATTCCTCTGTACTTAGTTCTTTCAGTTGTTCTTCTTTCTTCTTTTTCTCTACGTTTAACTCATTGAGTTTCTTTGTGTGTCTGTCATATTCTAGTTTCTTTTCGTTTTCACCTATTTGCTTCTGTATGTCTATGTTTGACTTTTTGACATCTGCTATTTGATTTTTGAGTGAACTCAAATTCATTTGACTTTGAGGGTTATAGGCTGTTCCGTCTGCAGCTCCACCATAGCCTGCCATTTTCGCTAAAAGTGCCGCTCTTAAACCTCCACTCTGTGCACCAACAACTCGGTTTAAAAGCATAGGATTGCTTGACATTTGTTGCAACATAGTGGGGTCATTCAGCATTTGTTGTTGCAACTGTTGTTGTGGTGTTAGTTTTACTATTGGATGTTTCAATGCTCTCTTCCTCTTACGTATATTCTTACGTAGCTTACGTGGCATTTTAAGTGAAGTAAAAAACGGTTTTTGACAGATGTTTATATGACACTTTTTGTTCAGCACAAAAAACTACTCGGTCAAAGTGTTGTCAGTTTTGTAAAATAACCGTCCTATCTCCGTGCCTATGACGAAGAAATCTTGACAAATTCAAGAGGGTAGAAAAGAGGTTAGAAAAGAGGTTATATCTAACCTTCTACCCTAAACATTATTTTTGTCTGATTTTACGAAGAAGTCTTGACAAAACATTTACGAAGAAGTCTTGACAAAACATTTACGAAGAAGTCTTGACAAAACATTTACGAAGAAGTCTTGACAAAACATTTACGAAGAAGTCTTGACAAAACATTTACGAAGAAGTCTTGACAAAACATTTACGAAGAAGTCTTGACAAAACATTTACGAAGAAGTCTTGACAAAACATTTACGAAGAAGTCTTGACAAAACATTTACGAAGAAGTCTTGACAAAACATTTACGAAGAAGTCTTGACAAAACATTTACGAAGAAGTCTTGACAAAACATTTACGAAGAAGTCTTGACAAAACATTTACGAAGAAGTCTTGACAAAACATTTACGAAGAAGTCTTGACAAAACATTTACGAAGAAGTCTTGACAAAACATTTACGAAGAAGTCTTGACAAAACATTTACGAAGAAGTCTTGACAAAACATTTACGAAGAAGTCTTGACAAAACATTTACGAAGAAGTCTTGACAAAACATTTACGAAGAAGTCTTGACAAAACATTTACGAAGAAGTCTTGACAAAACATTTACGAAGAAGTCTTGACAAAACATTTACGAAGAAGTCTTGACAAAACATGAAAACATATATAATTTGTGAAAAGTGAAACATTATATAATGTTTTCGACCAAGAAGACTAACAATTTTCCGAATAAAAACTTCATTTATACTAAACATCTTCGGGGCTAGAAGGCACGAAGTGCCTGGAAGCCCCACTACCTTTTTTTTTTTTTTTTTTTTTTTTTTTTTTTTTAATAGTATGATAGTATCTGAAAATAAAAATACACATTATAAGCAAAATAATGTTTGTTGGATAAAATATGAATAGATATCTGTTCAAATCATATCGATGTAAATCATTATTCATAGAATATGATTCCAAATAGAATTTATCATAATATTTTCTCCACTGAACTAAATGCATCATGCAATTCAATATAAAATAGCAATTCACTTTTTTATGAACTTTAGATTTCCATAATAGTCTCACAATTTTTTCAAAAGAAAACTCAATTACAATTTGAACACGTTTGCAAAATCTAGCAGAACACACTACAACAATATGCTTCCTTACAGTAAATCCCATTTTGAATACTTCTTAATTACAGAAAAATTTTGAAACATGAAAAACAATCAATAAAATGAATTTCTTTTCAATTTATAATTGTTCCAACATGCACTATCTTCAGTTTGCCTCCATTCTAACGATTATTTTCAAGAGCACGTTAATTAAATTTTCAATTACATTCAATTATTGAATTTCGTTTAGACCCGCTCAAATTCCTTTATTTTTTGAGAGCTAAACTTTTTCCAATTTGCAAATTTACCCTCCTACATCATCGTTGCACAAACAGTTATTAAATCGAATCGTGGAAGAATCATTGTGCCTTAGTGGTACATGGTCGTATTCTTTCATGTCTGAGGTTCGAAATTTAATTAAAAATATGAACTCGAATGAACAAGTGAAGATCTTTTCAGGACTTCTTGAATGCATTCTGAATACAGAAACCAAGGAACTTCAGCAATTTAAAATATCTCAACTGACTTGCTTTATTTATAAATTAAATCCAAATTTATTTGATGAAATCTTATCTGATTATCGACCTTCTTTTGAAGATCAACATCAGAAAATAAAAACAGATTCTGAGCTCTCTAGAGCTTCATACCTCCTTATTTGTGGATTAGGAAACCATTGATATGAAAATTAACAAATATTCCATGCTTTCAAGCATTTTCTTGTTTTGTATATAAATATTGCTGTATAGATTATAACTCTATCTTTTTTTTATTTTTGGGTCTATCTACAACCCTAGATCTCAAAATTGAGAGTACTCATTGAATCAAGTTCTTATATAAAAATCATTGAAAAGAACAAAATCAATATCATATCATAATTACAATCCTCAAAATGGTTTCTATGGAAGGATGCATGATATAATAATATAGAAACCTTCCATTCGGCAAAAAAAATATTATTCAAAAACAATACAGAAGTTATTAGAAACAATATAGGACGTAGTCGATAAAAATAGTTTATTCGTTATATATATAATACTAATTATTGATAAATCTAAAAAAAGGAATAAATTTCAAAATAATTCTCTTGAAGTAAAGGATAATTGGTAATGGTAAATGCAATTACGATCCGTTAAGATTAGAGCTTGCTTTTAGAGATATGGCCAATGATGCTCACGTCTTCATCTTCATTATCCATACCATAGTCATCTAAAGGAACTCCATCTTCATATATTTGACCAATAAAATCAATCTTGTTTATAGCAATGCATGGAGGGTCATCGTAGCATGCTTCGTCTTGAATAAGTCTGATAAATTTAGCACGATGAGTTTCTGAAAATTTATAAGTCTTATCACGGCAACGTCTCATTTCATAGTCTCTTTTTACTTTATGAACTGTCTTCCATGTTGAATTATCGTTTGAAATTTGTAATGACCAGCTAAATAAGCAGCATTCGCAGCAGTAATGAACTTCATCATAACAGCAGCAACAATCTGTTCCGCTGCAGCAACCAGATTTAATATAATATCCATTGAATTCAAACATCTTGTTTTTAAGATTGAAAATAATCCATGGATGGTCTTCTTTATGCTTTCCACAATTTGAGCACCAATCATATTCCTTGTCAATTTGGTCAAAGGCGTACTCTGGTTTTGTTAATTGTCTACTTCCATTAATATACTGAGATGAAGATCCACTGACATAAAATTCAATCAATCTGTTCTTATATGCTTTTTTTAATATAGCATTGGAATCGGATAGCAAATTTTCGCATAAAAAGAATAGCATTTCCGAAAAATTTGTTTCGTACCGAAATGGCTAACAAAAAAGTGACAGAAAACCTTAAATTGCGCGGCAATTTTAATTAAAAAAATAAACATTAATTTTTGTGATTGATATTATGCATTTTATTTATATTATATAAGATTTAAATTTAGGGGAAAAATTGGAAAAAAAATAAGATTGGAAGTCTTTAGGTAAGAAGGAAAGGGCAAGAGATATATAGTGTACCTATATACCTCTTGCCCTTTCATTCTAAGTAGAAATGGGAGAAACTTTGTCCGCATCATAAGTTATGCGGACAAAGTTTCTCCGATTTCTAATGGGAATTGCAGGCTATGAGGCACTGATATATAATCAGTACCTCATAGCCTACAATTCCCCTTATTAGACTTCCAAACTTTGAGTTAATGTCTTGACATTAACTCAAAGTTTGGAAAACTTCTCGTAAGAATCAATCGTCAAAAACCTCGATTGCAGTTATATTCATTGTGTTAAATTTGATTTATTTTGAAATTTTTATAAATTAAATTTTATATAACATAAAGCGTTATGAATTAGTATTTCCATATGAATTTTATCTCGAAAATAGTAATTCTGTACAGTTATATTTCGGTTAATTTTGGAAATTTCTAGGAATACTTTAAGATAGTATGATTATATATAACTCTGCCTTCATGATTTATTTTAGCTTTCGCGCAAATATCAGTTAACTTAACTCCATTATTTGATTTTGTGATGGCTTCACAAAGCCAATCAATATCAATCTCTTCTGGAGAATGTCTTCTCATCTAGAATATTTTCAATACTTTACATACAAACATTTTTATTTCTAAAAAACTTTTTAATTTTTTCTAGGATATATGAATGAAAATAGTTAGAACAAGATTTTGAAGCTCAAAACATTAAAAATTATTAAAGATTTGTATAATATGATTAAAAATGGGAAATAATATGAGGCAATATAAAGGAATATGAATATTAAATAAATATATCTAAATAGAAAGAATCAGAAAAATCAAATTATTGGCGCCAAAAATGTCACCTTTTTGGCGAGCCATTTCGGTATGAGATAGCATTTCCGAAAAATTAATAAAAAATTATTCAAATTGAAATACTCTGTTTAAGGATGCCCTTACATTCCATAAAAATACTTGAAATATATGATTATTATTGTAGTAAAACTTTGGGGCTCTAGATCGCTTTCTATGTCGAGTTGAATGAGTTTTAAATTTTCAAAGAAATTCTGAAGAGTATTCAAAAGTGTAAAAATTTAAAAATAGAAATATATTTCCCCTTATTTCTACTAAAATAAACTTGAGTTGCAAGTAAATATTATTATTTCACAATAATTATGAAATTTTCTCTACTTACACTAGAATACGCAGCACTTTTTTGGATTGCCGTTTACAATTTCCAAACAAAGCAAGATATGGGACACAGCAATGTCTTTTTTTAACTATGTTGTTCGACCTAGTTTAGGTACCATATCGTAAAGCTGTGTACCAAAGATCCAGAGATTTTTCCATGAAATGTTAGATCAATATGCAATCATACTTATATTTCTAAAATAATCGAGTTAATACCAATAAATTCATGTTAAATTATAAAATATTGTATTTCATTGGTGAAAAATTAATATATTAATATATTTGATTGATCAAATTTTAAAAACTCATCGGAAAAAAAAACAGGATGAAACTCATATTATATACTATATACACATTTCAAATATGCAAAAAAACATGATGGTAAGTCTGTCGCGTTTTTTCAAAAAAATCCAGAGGTCGGAATAATAGTTATTGTTTACTAACATTGATGCCAGAATTTTCTCTCGCATGCAAATTTTTTGTGGTTTGCATACTGTTGAATAAACCTTTATTTTTATAAAATTAGATTTTTTAATTTCTTCATATTAGATCTTTTTTAAAATATCGTTCCGTCAGGCTTTTATCCAAAAAGGAATGACTCTACTCAAATATTTGAACAATTCCTGATGTTACATGTTCTTGAGTTATATCCTTTATAAAATTGAGAGGAAAATCAAAAAAATTGAATAGGGTTCATTCAATTTTCCTAATCTAATAACTTCATGAATGTTAATTTTGTATCCGTATAATCAATATGGTAGAATATCATTGGAATTTAAAAAATTGTGACGGATTGATATTTTGATTATGTACGATTTTGGCCTTAAATCAAATCTGATTATCGTGAAAAACAATTATTATTCATAAATATTATTAGAGTTAGTAGCTTATAAAAAATTAATATATATGGCAGAATATCAGATTCTAAATTTAAGTATATCAAAAGTTTTACGTGCACAAAAAATCTGACATGGTGAGGGCATCCTTAAATGCCAATTTGGCATTTTTAGATTTCACGTTATTTTTTTTCCGAAAAAATTTCGATAAGTAGTAGGATATGACGGGTTGTGTGACTTTTTTTGTAAACGTAAGAATTCATACAATATCGAGCGATTTTGTATCATTTTTTTTAACATATGAAGTAAAAAATGTATGATTCTTACGGTTTTTATTCTTACGTTTTTGAATAAATCAAGATTTAAAAAATTTTCAAAATTGTAAGACATTTACACTCAGCCCATACATAATGAAATAAACACATTTTAAAAAATTAACATTAATTTTAAAATAATTTATTTTTCATCTTTTATAAAAGAAGCTATATATAGATGATGTCAGATATTCCGCGATTAATTAAACATTGTTTAAATCCTGAATGGAATCAATGGAGTCATAATCAAAGACCTCATAAACGAGTAAAAGATTCACTACCATAATGAAATAAAAAATAAACTTCTTACGAAAAATTAAACGCAAGACTATCAAAAGATAGAGTTGAAAGAGTAATGGTAATGATGAAGAAGAATTTGATGAGTTCAACATAGAACTTTAAGAAACTAATGATTATTTGAATTTATGAAATCAATTATTTGATTCATTCTTTCTTCAATCTCTTCTATTCTTTTTGTTAAATCATCTATTTTCATTAATGAGGTGATTCTTGATTGAGGAATAGATTTCAAACTAACCACTCCTTTTATTTTTGAAATTTTGAATCCATCAACTTTAAACATTTTATTCAATTTACACGTTGTCAATTCTTCAAATAATTTTTTATTGTTAGCATAATAGTCATTAAATTCTTCAACAGATGAAAAAATTTTTATTTCAGTAATTGGTTTAACAACGTTTATTTTTTGTTGAACATTTTCACTTTCATTTATTTCTTCCTCCTCTGTTTCATTTATTTTTAAAATTGGTTTCATTTATCATTAAATAAAAATTAGAATATAAGTGATGAAATATATTTTTTAATTAATATTAAATCAACTATGGCGGCAGGATTCTTTAAAAAATTATGGGATGGAATTAAGAAAGCTGCGGGTTGGGTTCATAAAAATATTATTAAACCCGTTGCAAACTTTTTGGCACCAGTAGCGAAAACGGCAGGAACTATCATAGGTGGAGTATTAGGTACTAAAGCAGGTAATCCGGCGATGGGAGCACAAGCAGGTAACGCAATTGGTGGAATTGCTGAAGGAATACTTAATAAAATAGGAGGTAGATAGTGGAAAAATAAATAAATATTATTTTTATCTTAGTATCGGTTGAAGTCTTTGATAAACTTTTTCTCCTTTATTTAAAACTTCTCTTATTGGGGCAGTTTTTGGCGTTATTGATTCAGCAATGTCACTAATTGCTTCTTTATTCTTAAATATCCAATTTGCTCCCTTCTTCATTGTTTCCCAAACTTTACTCGCTCCTCTTTTTACTTTATCCCACAGTTTCTTAAATATACCTGCAGCCATAGTTGATTATTTCATTAAAATTAAAAATTCATTTTCATCTTTTAATTTTGATTTTTTATTTATTAATAAATGACGACTAACTATTTGGTGCCAAACACTAAACCGATTAATGGAAATGTGTTTCATTCATTCGAAAAGATAAATGAAATATTCGCAAAGAATGACGGTAGAAGATATTATAGAGAACTTGAAAGTTCATGCTATGACTCTGATGCTCCATATTTTGATGATAAACAAACTCATTTAAGAATTACAAATCCGGCTCATGATGTGAACCAATTAGGTGACACATATATTAAACGCAAAGTTAAAGCAACTCTAGTTTCAAATAAAGCTTTCACATGTGATGCCGCTTTTAAATGCATACGTTTATTCGTTGGTTACAAATCATCAAATCAAAGCTTTAAACAATTAGAAGTAGAAACCGAAAGAGGTGATGCCGGTTATCTTCAGATGGATTGTGCCCGTGAATCTTTCGCATTTGCAACATATAAACCAAAATCAGAAAGGAAAGTTAAAAAGTTTGTTCATTCGTTATATAATAATGTTCAAAAATATGATAACTCAGTATGTGGTAAATATATTGACCCTTCAGAAGTTTTCAAGAACGCAAATGAAGAAGTTGATATCACTTTTGATATGATTATTCCGGTAAATGATTTGTTAGCATTTCAGGCGTTCGATGATTATCCTAAATCATTTGGTGAAATCATTCTTAAATATTATGTTTTCAGGGATACTTTAGTATTTTGTCAGGTTGACCCGTTAAGAGTTGCTGATTTACAAAATTACGTTTATGAAAAGATAACTGATGAAAATTATGAAAAGATTATGAATCATGTTTATAAATATGATCGCAAATTCCAACAAATCGGACTTCCTGCCAAATTAATTACAAGCTTAGCCGCTACATCTGCTGACGCAAAGTTGATGACGTTATTATTTCATGCACAAAGATGGAAGTTTTAGAGGATAAATGCATTACACCAGGATACGGTTTAATTGAAGAATCAGTTAAAGCAATACCACGTTTATTCAGTAAGGAAGATCCATTCATGATTCCAGCTCAACATATTGACGTTCGTTCACTAAATGGAGGTTGCATCACTCCTGAAGGTATCAGCTCAGATTTCTCATACGCTCTTCATAATGTTACAGATGTTGTGTTAACATTTCCGAAGAATGCAATGCAAAGAACAGTTTTAGAAAATCCAATGCTTCGAGGTCTTCAGGTCACTATAGATTCCAGAAACTTCCCCGATCAAGCGATGACCACAGTGGGTGACATATTCTTTACACGTATGCTTCAAGCTTCTGATTTAGATGGAGTGAATGAATGCACAGAAGAATACGAGGACTCATTAACTAGACCACTGAATGATGATGATGGCACGCCATTAGCTAGAACATGGAAAGACCAAACTTCATTCTTATGCACTATTCCAGTTCAACGTGATGGAGCGGGTATATTCTTTGATGGATTAGAAACTTTCAACTCACAAGTTACAGTACAAGTGAAAGCTTATCCAATCATTCAGGGTGAAAATGACACTTACTGTTCAAAGGTGACAAATCCTCCTCAGGTTTGGTTTACTAGGACTACATATTGGACATGGACACCGGAGAAGGTTTGAAATATCATCCAACAGGTACACCACCACAGTATAGAAGTTCATATGATGAAATATTGATGAATAGAAATGTTTAAAATTATAAATTTATTTTTGATTAAATGGATTTAAATTCATCCACCCTTATGAAGAATTAGCGGAGTATATAATACATACGTAGATGATATGATTAATGAAGCATTGAGTGATAATAGAAATGCTCTATCTAAGGAAAAATTAATGAAAATTCCATATTCTGAATGTTACTTAAATTCAATCACTGCAGCAATTGGTAAACAAAATAAAGGTAAAACATTAACGATATTAAAACAAATTATCATTATTGCTAACACTTCCCCCTATTCACATGTGTTAATTTATATCAACCGTTCAGGTTCACCTTCAGATGATACATTTGAATCTTTAAAGCATTTAATCAAAATTCCAATTATTTATTTATCACAAGAAGAAGCAGAAGATTATTTAAAAAACTTTTTAATGTATAAAGAATTATATAATACAATCAAGAAGCAAGGATTAGAGGATAAAATTATTGATAAACAACGGGATGAATTATTTGAAACACTTTCTATTTCAAATTTTGATAGAGAATTTTTGCATTCACTCATTTTTCTAGATGATGCAGTGAAATCAAAACTAATAACAAATGAGAAATCATATTTTAATCAGTTATTAACTCAATGTCGACACATTCAGTGTTCATTCTTTATGGCTGTTCAATACTTCAAAGCATTAAGCACAAACATTAAATCAAATCTATCAACCTTTTCATTTTCAGTGGGTTTAGTCGTCAACAGTTGAACGTTATGCTTTATCAAGTGAATTTACCAATGAGCATTAATGAACTTTACACACAATATCAGCAATTAGGTGAACATGGAAAAATAATAGTTGATTTAAATAAAGGAAGTGTTAAATTTGATTAACTTTTTATAATTAATTTTTATTTTTTATTTATAATTAAACATGACAGAAATGGCAAATCTTCTACAGGTTCCATTAAAACAAGGACAAACAAAAAGGGTGCATATAATAGAACTATGAAAGTTCCTGATGGAATGAAAGAATTAGTTCATATTGTTGCTGGTCTTCAAAAAGATGTTAAACAAATGAGAAACGTTTTAACATTACCAGAAGCTCAAGCATATGCCAAACGTCAAGGTCCAAATTGGGAAGCACACGAAGCAGACATTACGGGTCCAAATGGAAAACCTGATGGTATAAATGAAGTTTTCGTTACTGATGGTCAAGGTAATATTAAAGTCATAAATGGTTATAAATTAACTATGTCTGATTATCCTAAACGTAAAGCATATAATGAACGTTATCCTATGCAATTTGATGAAAATGGAAAAGCTGTTAAACAATACATTGGAGAAGGTGAAAATGGTCCAATTAATTCATACCGTCATAATCCATATTCTTATTTCAATGAAGAATTAAATGCTATTGAAGAGGGACCGGATGGATTACCACGATATTCTAACCAGTTTGATGGTCAATATGCAAATATTAGACCTGAAATTTCAGCTAAGAAATTCTTTAAAGTTGCTTTATTCGATCCAGTTTTCGCAAATGTTAAAGATGAACTTAAACAGCAATTCCAACCAATTATAGTAGCAAGAATTGCATCAGGTGCTTTATCTCAAGCATTCAAAGATTTAATTAAGAAACCATTATATCAGCAACGAGGTTTAACTTATGATTTAGTTAAGGAATCAGATAAAAGAAAATTTGAGAAATCAGATGATTATAAGAATGCAATTAATGAATATATTCGGTCTATTAATTTCGATGAAACAGCTAAAAATCAACTTCATGAACAAATACAGGGAATAATAGATTCAAAAGTTCCAGCAAAATAAAAGTTTAAATATATTTTTTTATTCGAATATAAATGAGAAGACGTTTCACTAGTCAAAAGAACACTAACGCAAAAGCAGAGATTACGGTTGGTTATAACGTAAATGATGATAAATCACGAATTATTCAAAATGTTAAAGTTAATGTTAGCCCTGAATTAACAAGGTCAGCAACTCAACCAAATTTATTAACTCGTGACTTACCGAAAAAGGAGGAGGAGCAAAATAAAGAAGATGGAGACCCAATCATTTTATCTGAACCCGGTAAAGAACCTGTTGAAATTCCCACTTATCCAACATACCCCACCTCTTTCATCAAACATCGAGAACCCATATAAAATAGACATTAATTCTGAATTAATGAAAATTTACCGTGATATAATAATTAATAATTATGATTCAATAATAAATTTAATTGACCAATCCGGTTTAATTATTTTACCTTATGAATCATTAATTCACATTATCGCCATTCTTTGTGATGTTCAAGATTCAGACGTTAAGATTCAATTTTTCATAGATGATGAGGTTTCATGCTGCGGAACAGTTGCAAAAATAAATCCTATAAAGGATATTAGCACAATTAAGATATCAAAGAACGGAACAACAACTGAACTTCATTTAACATATAATGATATTTATAATAAAATAGTTGATGAATATAAAATATCACTTGAAAAATTCTTTGTTAAGGCTATTTAATATTCAAGCATTAACATTATCGAATAATAATCCTTTGAATCATAATCAATAATAATTGACCTTTCACCAGTTTCTATCGTTTGTTTTATTTCTTTTTGTTCCCCACTATCCGGATCGGTCATTGTAATTGTTTTTGTTATAGTATCAGCTTTATCTTTAACTTCAATCTTTTTTCCATCGGGATATTTAAACCAAAATTCCAAAAATTCGATATTGTCAATCTGTTCATATTTTAATCTATCAATTACATTTTTAATACCATCTGAAAATCTTATGAAATGGTCATTATATGGGTTTGATTGAACTAAATTTGAATGAAGTGAAATATAACCTGTTGATGAATATGACATTGACTCATATTTTCTGAAAACACTAAAATTTATAACATGAATGAATTTCTTATTCGTTGAATTTATGAATTCTTGAGGTAATCTTATTCTAGTTTTATTTATCACTGGAAAATAACGCTTTACCATATTTTTAATCGTAATAAAAATGTCAATTATCAATATTATTTCGAATAATAGCTGTGAATTAAATTTAACAGTTAGCGGAATTTATAATGTTACTCTCGTTTCTGTGAGTGGTAAATTTAATCCCATTCTTTTAGACCCTTCAGATTATATATCATTTATTAAAGATGACCTTGAAAAAACGTATGATATGTATATAAATAATGTGATAGCGAAATGGGATATTAACATGATTTTAAGTTATTTAAATGAATCATTTATCGTATGGTATGAAGAAAATTTTAAATCAAAACCTGATAAACTTTTTGAACTTGATGAAATAAATAACCTTATTAAATTTCCGCTGAAAATTAAATTTTGTACTCCTCATCTTCGTTCATTGTTGGGAATATTAAATTTTGAAAAAGATGTTGGGGATGTTTTGTATTCTGACACTGGTTCCAATTTCATTTTAATCAAATGTGATAAAGTTAATACCCCAATGAGATTTTCACATCAAACATTAGACCCTAACTCTTACCCATCAATACAAAACATTTTATCCATCAACTTAAACACATTTTCTTTATCATATCCGTTTCAATTATCCGGGAATTCATTTATTCTTCATTCAAAAGATTTATCAAATATTAAATTTAGAATAACTGACCTATTTGATTGTGATTTAGAATTTATGAATGAAATATTATGGCAATTTCAAATAGAAAAAATAGCTGATGAGATAACAGATTAAATATTTATTTTTAAATCATAATAAATGATTAAACAACAGCAACCACAGCAACTTAAGGCACAAAACACCCAGGTCCCTCAGACCATTACATACGCCATATATGCATATAATTCAAAGACGGCAGAACAAACGCAAAGGTTGAAATATGGAGATTTGGAGATAGTATTGAAAAATGAACATTTCGAATTCGTTTGCAAAGGTGGTGCAGTGATATCAAATATAAAAGAAATTTTATTTATGAATTCAAAAATAAAAGGAATAACGGATGATATAACATCAATTCCACCAGAAGAACAGAGATATTACGCATTAAATGCATTTCCTAAAGTTTTGAAGATTGGAAGATTTAATTTAAATGAGGAATTCATAGAAGGTTTCCTAAATGACATAATGAAGAAGGGCGATAAGGAATATGTGGATAGTGAGTTAAATAAGAAGGCAAATTTGGTTTATGTTGATGAAAAAGATAATGAAATTAAAGAAAAGGTTGAATGGTATCATGAATGGACATTTGAGACTTTTAAAGTTAAAGCTGATACAGAATGGGTTTCAGGATGTTTAGACCTTAAAGCAGATAAAACATATGTTGATGAAAATTATGCAAAGAAGTCGGAAGTAAATGATGTGATTACAAGCATGAAAAATGAAATACTTCAAACATTATATCCTGTTGGTTCTATTTATACATCAATGAACTCAACAAATCCATCAACAGTTTTAGGTTTTGGTATGTGGAAGCAGATTGTAGATAAATTCTTATACTGTGCTAGATATTCAAAGCAAACAGGAGGTTCGAAGAAAATTAAAGAAGCAAACCTTCCACCGCACACTCATACAGGAACTACAAACACAACAGGTAATCATTCACATTCAATAACAAAAAGAGGTTATACAAATCTTGCAGCGGGTTCGGATAGATGGGGAATGAATAGATATGATATCACAACTGACCCAGTAGATTCAAGCACATGTATTTTCTGTGGAACCGCAGGTAATCATTCACACACTTTCACAACAAATCCAACAGGCTCGGGTAAAGATTACATGCCACCATTTGTGACTGTATTCGCATGGTACCGCGTTCATTGAATGTGCTTGAGCCTACTTTGCAGGCTTACCGCGTTCATTGAATGTGCTTGAGACTTGACCCAAAGGGTTTAGGCTTACCGAATGAACTAAATATATTTTATGTCTGTAATTAATTAGGTAATGAAGTAATGGATGAACTGCAGAAATAATGTTTACGTTAAGTGACTCAAAGAGTCCGGTGACAAAGTCTCATGTTTACGTTAATGGTTTTTAGGTTATTCAATAATTAATTATTTTTGAAGAACTGAAGGTGTCACCAGGTCACCAGGTCACCAGGTCATTTAACTTCTTTTAAAAATGATGACAACATGACATTTTGACAACAGTCGGGGAAATAAATGTTTACGTTAAGTGACTCAAAGAGTCCGGTGACAAAGTCTCATGTTTACGTTAATGTTTACGTTAATGGTTTTTAGGTTATTCAATAATTAATTATTTTTGAAGAACTGAAGGTGTCACCAGGTCACCAGGTCATTTAACTTCTTTTAAAAATGATGACAACATGACATTTTGACAACAACATAGGAAATATATTTTATCGTTAATGTTTACGTTAATGGTTTCAGGTTATTCAATAATTAATTATTTTTGAAGAACTGAAGGTGCTACCATGTTACCATGTGCTACCAGGTCATTTAACTTCTTTTAAAAATGATGACAACATGACATTTTGACAACAACACAGGAAATATGATGCAGTCCAAAAATAAAGTTAGTTTTAAAACTATTTTTATTTTTTTATTCCTATATAAATGACAGCAACAAACAACAACAGCAACTATATCGTTTCTGATGAAAAAGTTATTGATTCATTAGCTGAGGAATTAGTTGTGGCAGAAACTAAAACCCTCAACAAAAGAATTGGTGAAAACAAGATTGATTTACATAACTACCTCAAACATGATGGAGGAAGAGGAAGGAAAACTGGTATGGCTTTATTAGTAAATAAAATATCAAATTTAACGATTATAGATGTTGATATCAATAAATCGTACAATGATGAACTTAAAGAAACAGTTAGAAAAGATATTTTATCAAAACTTTCGGATAAAGATGTTATCGTTAAAACCGCTTCAGGAGGTCTTCACATTTATTGCAACACTAATTTCTTCTATGCAGTTTCGAACAGAATGATTAAATGTTATTCCTGCAATGATTATGATATTGATATCATGACTTCTATGGATGATTCAAAGCGTTCTTTAGTGGTTATGGCTGATTCAAGAGTTCGAAAGAATGCAACAGAACCAATCAATACATACTCATTCATTCGTGGAAGTTATGATTCAACATTAACTAGAACAGTGAATGATATATTAAATGATTGAATATTAAGGTAAGAGTTGAACAGAAGAACGAAGAAATAAAGACTATTATGAATGAAAACAAAGATGTAAACATTGACGATAAACTTGCCCAGAGCATAGTTGATGGCATCTGTGATTTTGAAGTACATAATGACGGTGGAAACATGAATTTAAAAAAGAAGTTACATTATTCACACTGTTTCAAGCTATTAATTCGTTACCTAATCATTTGATTAATGAAGCATACGATAACGTTTATAACTTCTGCAGTTTAACTGAAAATGCAAAAAATAATTTTGAAAAAGCACGTGGTAGATATGCACATTTAATGACTTCTCCATTTGTTTTGGTAAAGATTCTAAAACTATATCAAAAGGAATATTATGATGAATATGTTTTGCCTTTATTACGTAAGCCAAAAATAACATTTGATATCAAACTTGATGACTCGTTTTTGATAACAGATATTAGACGCAAGGCTGAAAATCATCAGTATAAAAACAGTTCTGAAGTAATTGAGGATTTATCATGTGTAATCCGTTTTGTAGATTGTGGAAATAAATATTTCATTCAAAAGGACTATAATATCCACGACAAAATGAATCAAATATCATTCGTTCTTCAATCAAACATGAAAGAGTCACTTAAAATGATTAAATTATTTAAAGAAGAAGGTAAAACAATAACAGCATGGGACGTACTACTAAATCAATTGTCTTCATTAACTGTTAAGGGTGTTTGCTTTAAATCTGATTCTCCAGATGTTTCTCAACGTTTCAGGGTTATAAATACAACATTCTCGAAAAGCTTGATTACTCAAAAATTGAGATGTTTATGAATTTCATTAAAGAAGCCATTTGTGATAATAACGATGAAGTGTATAAATACCTTCTCAGCTGGATTGCATCAATGATTCAACATCCTGGAATCAAGAATGAAACAGCAATTATTTTGAAAGGACTTCAGGGAACAGGTAAAAACAGATTTACAGACATTATTTCTGAACTTCTCGCCGGTTTTCATGTAAAAACATTACTGAAATAAGTGAGCTAACGGGTAATTTCAATTCAGTAGTTGAGAATAAAATGTTTCTTGTACTTAATGAACTCAAGAATGTAGGTGAAGACAGACTCGCAAACTTCAACGCTTTGAAATCAATTATTACGGATAATGAGATTAGAATTAATGAAAAGAATCAACCCAGAAGAACTGCTCAGAATGTTGCCAATTTCATTTTCGTAACTAACAACGTCTACCCTGTCAAAATTGAAGTTGGAGACAGAAGATACGTAGTTTTAAGAGTTAATGGTAAATTCAAGGGTCAATTTGATTACTTCAAGAATTTAATGAATTCATGCACAAAGGAATTTTATGATAATTTACTAACGTATTTTATGCAATATGACCTTTCATCATTTAATGTACGAATCATTCCGATGACTGAAGCCAAACAAGATTTAATCGAGTTATCAACAAATCCTTTAGATGTATGGATAAATACACATTATGATGAATTGTGTGCAGGTATGACGTGTGAAAATGCTCTATTCTGCAAACCATCAGACATGAAAGACAAGAATTTCCAAATGAGTATTAAGGATAAATGTGATAGGAAACATAGAAGAATAGACGGTAAACAAACATGGTGTTATGTTTTGAAAGAAGAAATGAAAGGATTATATAAACAGGTTGAACCAAACGATAATGAGGATTCATTTACTGACGATGAAATACCCGTAAATGAAGCTTTATAAAGTATGATTTGAATTTATTTTTGCATTAATCCTCCTGTGTTGTTGTCAAAATGTCATGTTGTCATCATTTTTAAAAGAAGTTAAATGACCTGGTAGCACATGGTAACATGGTAACACCTTCAGTTCTTCAAAAATAATTCATAAATACCTTCCTCCTGTGTTGTTGTCAAAATGTCATGTTGTCATCATTTTTAAAAGAAGTTAAATGACCTGGTAGCACATGGTAACATGGTAGCACCTTCAGTTCTTCAAAAATAATTCATAAATACCTTCCTCCTGTGTTGTTGTCAAAATGTCATGTTGTCATCATTTTTAAAAGAAGTTAAATGACCTGGTAGCACATGGTAACATGGTAACACCTTCAGTTCTTCAAAAATAATTAATTATTGAATAACCTGAAACCATTAACGATAAAATATATTTTTGGTCGTTTATGGCAAAAATAAATGGTTCATTTACTCACAATATTTTTTTACAAAACGACCCCAAACTTTTAACTTCTTTTCTGCAGTTTCTAATGCTATCTTAGCGAGTTCATATTCTCTAAATTCTCTCTTTAAATCTTCTTGTTCCCATTGGTCTAGTTCGTATGGAGAATCTCTATAACCATAATATATCTCACGTTCATGTTCTAATTGTTTTTTGCACATTTTTCTAACTTCTTCTTCAAACAAATGTTTTGCATTCTCTACTGTATCTTCGAGTTCTTCTTCATCTAATTTCTCATGAACTTTCTTGTCTATGGAGTCCATAATTTTTCCAACTGCTATGCAATATTTTGGAGAAGCCCACATTGCTATATAGTTTATAAGTCTTGGGTCTACATACGTTCCTCTAACCTGTTTGATTTCATCAGGAATTCCTGCATGAATTTTGTATAAAAAGCAACCGTCTGAATTCCGGCGGTTGCTATATTCTTCACAAAATGCCTTATAATACTCTTCCCAGGACTTATTTTCCAACAACTTTCTAAAGTCTTTCCTAAACTGTTGGCACATATTTGTTGCATTAATGTAACCATCCTTGTCTCTACGTAAGACTTCAATACCATTATAAGTGCCTTTTGTGAATGTTTCACCATTAGATTTGTTCGTGAATGTTTTTGCTTCGACTGACATTTCTGTTCTTACATACAAAATAAAAAGTTGAAAAAATAAAACTAACGTTATTTTTGGACTGCATCATATTTCCTATGTTGTTGTCAAAATGTCATGTTGTCATCATTTTTAAAAGAAGTTAAATGACCTGGTAGCACATGGTAACATGGTAGCACTGAAAAAATTAAATTTGGATAGAGTTTAAAAATTCATCTTTATTAAATTCATCTCTTCCAATCAATTTATTTATTCTATTAAATTCTTTTATTTTTGCTTCACTCAGTTTAAGGATTGAACGGTAAGTTTCTAACTTTTCAATTATTTCCTTCTTCTCTTTATCGTTTTCAATTACTTTAGTTTTATAGGCATCAACCCCACCGCATTGTGGCTTCTTTTTGTAATAGCATATTTTTGATTTAATTCTGTTTAGTTTCTTTTTATATTCATCGTCAGGACTCTGAATCTTAATTAAATCAGGACTCTTGACTGCTTTGTTGTCACTCATTTCTTACGAAATAAAAAAATTAAATATTATTTAAATATAATGGAGTAATAAAATAAATTGGAATTTCTATTAATTTATTGTCAACTTCAACTAATGCATTGCCGTTAATATATCTAACAAATTCAGCTATTGTGTCAAATCTTCGTCTTCTTTTTGTCATTGATTTATCAGTTTTTCCATAATCGAGATGAAAAACTTTATCCCCTTGTTTAAAATTCATGAGCCCCGAATTAATTTGTTCACGTTTAACATCATTCAACCTTTCCATTTGCTTTCTAATATATTCCCATTCTTTTGAAATATCATTTTTCATTTCCACTGGTTTCATGTTTATGTTCTATGCCATGTATTATTGTATAATATACTAACTGCTGTATGATGGAGTCATGATTTCCATCCCAGTATATCTGACCGTTAACCCCTAACGCATCTCTAAGAGTTCTCATTACCGCATCAACTATTTTATTATGAAACGTATATGGAGAGGATGAAAAGAAAAAAATTAATTTGTGGAAATAATGAGTCATAGTTGCCTGAAATCCTTTATCACCATCACCCCTGATATTATCTACTCTTTCATGATCTAGTAAGTATTGTATAGCTCTTCTTGTTTCCTGTTCTGTTTTCCCTTTCACCGGAATGCAATATAAATATCTAGTGTTAATGTTAATGGCAAATAAATAAGTAACGTTTCCTTTTGAATATTCCAGATGATCGATTTCGTATGAATATGGATATGGTGCAAATGAAGGTCGACTAAATTTTTCCTTTAACGGTTGAATTTTCGGGTCAATTGGTTATTTAATATCTTGAAATCCTTTTTAAAATCTTTTTGCTTCTTTAATGTTTGAAATGGATATAATAAAGTGAATGATGAAGGATTAACTGAAGGAGGAGGCGGTACTGTCGTTGGAGGTTTTGGTGTTGCAAGTGGTTTAATTTTATCTGCTTTGATTTTGGATGATGAAGTTTTGGAATTCATTCCCCCCTTCATTAATTCTGGATGTATTCTATTCATTTGTTTTAAATATGCTGTATATAAAGGTTTGATATACTTTCCCGCTTCGAGTTTATGTTGAAGGATGAATTCCAAAAGTTGATCTTCATTTAAAAGTCGGGCTGAATATGGTTTAACTAATGAATCATAAATTAAAGCTTGTGCTTCATTTATGGTCTGAAGGACCTGGGTGTTTTGCACTTTTGGCTTTTGTTCCTTTGGCTTTTGCGGCTCAGGATTATATAAATTATATAATTCATCAATATCTTCTTCTGTTAATACTTTATTTTTGAAATCTTTCAACTGTTTAAGTTGTGATTTAGTTTTTCCCTTTGAATATTCATTATTTTTAATTTTGTCTTTAATTTCAGAAATTATTTTATTATGATATTTCAAAATTTCATTTTTATAATATGGATAATAATAATCCATATCATCACCCGTTATACTGTTATCATATTTTTGGAGATATGATTTTAATTCATAATAATTAAGAAAATTTTGATTAAGTACTAAATCATCAATTAAATTTTTTAAATCTGTGTTATCCATTTATATAAAAATAAAATAAATGTTTTAAGGGTGCCCGCCTCTTTGAATCATAGTATCAAAGCCATCATTAACGGTTCCTTTTGTCTCTTCTGTGGCATTTCATTAAAAATAAAATTTTAAATTGTATTAAATAAATGGCATACAACATCCATTTTCACAACATACAGCCTTAGTGTGTGCTCCTGTTAATGCAGTCTTACCAATTGTTAAGCGAGTCATTGACCCGTTTTTAAGTTGTAAATTAATATTCTGACCATCAAATATCAATTTATCATTTATTATATCCAAATAATTTTTGGGTGTTAATTGTTTATTTTGTCGTAAACTAACACCTTTCATTTTTTGTGCAATCTTTTTAAAATCACTTCCATCAATTGAACCGTTGAATGATGTATAACACTTAGGACATAAAGCAACCATGTTATCACCTTGTTTCTCAATTGCTAAACCCAATAATTTCTTCTCATGTGCTTTTTCTTCAGCTTTATTCTTTAATTTAGGTTTAAATTTCTCATCAAAACAGAAGAAATCAAATGGTGCGAATTTGAAAATGTTTTTATCATAAAATTGTTTATCGGTAACAATTGCTTGAAATGCTTGAGTGTTAGGAAGATTTGGGTCGCCAGCGATTGCCCAATAAGATGAATCAGTATCACCTTCAATGAAATGAAAACGATTAACATTCATGCATTTATACATAAAATCATAAATGAAAACCAAATACCAGTATTTAGCATTATCTAAAGTGAAGAATGCCTCTTGTAAACATGTATCACATCTATAAAATCTATCTTTAAGCATCACTTGATATGTATCCTCACCTATTTCTCTTATGTTTTTAAACTTATTTGACATACATGCAACGCGTGCCTTCTGTGCATTCATTATTTTAGTCTTTGCGTAATTTTGTGTATTCATTGCATCGTAACCATATGATCCATTAAGCGAAATCTTGCAAAATAAACTTTTTCCTTTATTTCCTTCTAATTCAGCCTTTTGTCTTTCGTTCATAAATTCGTTCGCAAATTCATTAAAACAAGTGTTTTTAGTAAATGTTAAAATTGATTGAATGTCATCAATGATAAAATGAAATCTGTCTATTAGATACCATAGATAATAAGAAGAAAATGGTTGATATTGGTTGTGTGTTGATGCTAACTGAGTTAATTTCCTCTGTTTCTGGTCAACTGGTAGATTGTTTGATTTCATGTAATTATACATAAAACTGCCAATTGTTTTTTCATCTGTGATAATATCTAAGTTTCTTATTATCGGTAAAAAGTTTATGTAATCATTAATGTATTTTTCATCAATGTGACCCTTTACTTCAGCCACGAATAAAGTATTTTTCTTCTTAATTATTCCCAATGCTTTTGCTTTCTTTGTTGCTGTATCACAAATGATAACACCATTCAATCTTCCCGGCATATACATTTTATGGTCAGTATATTGAATGAAATCATGAGGATTAGATGAAAATGATGAAGGATATAATGAATTAAAATCAACACCAACGAAATGAGTCATAATGTTGGTGGTGTCCTCATTTGATACAGTTTTAGTTTCTGGATTATATGAAAGTTTATTAATGTGCGTGATTCCTTTAAGATTTACTCTATGTTGAACATTTGATAAACCACAGTAATTCCATTACGGAGAATGTGATAAGCTTCAACTGAATCTAAAGTCATTGGTAAATTATTTTTTAATGCATAATTTCTTAAATTGATTCTTAAACGTTGAACATCTTCATCTTTATTTGATTTTACGACATTGCAATAACAACACATTAACTGACAATTTTCTTTAGTATGTGGTTTTTCATTATCGATTCTATCCAATGTTGGTTTATTTGCATATGTAAACGCTTTACCACACATTTTGCATTTAGATGAAAGGATTAAATCGTGATAGTATTGAAAATCATCCATTGAAACATTATTTTTAGTATCCCTTTCTGCTTTTTCATCTTGTTTCTTATATGATTCAATTTTATTTTCCAATACTTTTTCGTTAATTCAAAACTTGATTCTATCTCTTCCTCAGGATATTTTTCATTAGGATTAAAGTCTTTATATGCTAAAGCGTAACGAATCATTGAAGCATTCGATGAAAAGAAAGATTATGAAGCATGTCAATTTTATAAACAAATGTTTCTTCGATAATTTTTCAATTGGTTCTATCATAATTTCAACATCTTTATTGCAATAATGAATAAAATATTCTAATCTATTCTTAAAATTTTTAGCATCATTGAGATATATTTGATAATCACTATCTGATATAGTTTCTTGAGTTAATGCTGAATAAAATGAATCTTGAGTGAATGGTTCCACTTTATATAATTCTTCTTCGTAATTCTCCCACGTGATGAATTGATAAGGGAAAAAGGATTTAACACGTGTTTTATTATTTCCGAAATCTTGAGTGAATTGGTCTAATGTTCCACCCGCTATATAATTTCTGATGTCAATAAATCTCAATTCATATGGAACGTTTGTTTTCTTTACAATGATTTGCTTAAATTGTGAAGATGAACCCAGCATTGATTTTATTTTCCATTTTGCAGTGTTTAAATCACGAAGAATTAAATTTAAATCAAACTTTCCCGAATTAAAACCTATGATATTCACTTTATTGAATTCCTCATCTAGAAGTTCTTTAAATGCTTCCTTCTGTTTTTCATTTAATGTATGAGACTTCATTAATTCTTCATATTGTTCAATATTTGATTTAGCAACTAATGAACAGGTTGAAAATAAAAACTCAATCCAATCAGAAATAAAAGAATCACTCGAAGTTAAGCAAAAATTCCTCGTATACGTTTTATCATTTAATTTAACCGTTGATGATACCATGAATGGTTTTAAGTAAGCGTTCAAAGTTGCACACTCAGAAAGTTGTAATTCTTCTTTAGTCTCTAATGTTTCGAAGTCAAAAGTAATATAATATCTTGTTGGTTTATAATATTTCTGCAAATTGTGAGCTAATAACCACTGATATATCTTCTGTTTCGTAATATGTGGTGCATATGGTTGCTGTGTCTTTTGCAACTGAACGTCTTGAATTAATCTTCCATTATTTTCTTTACATTTCTCACAATGCTTTAAAAATCTTCTTTGGTTTTTCCTTTCTGGGTCATCACGGATAGAATAAACTTCTTCTTTACAATATGGACAAACTTTATTGCCGGTGAGTGCTTCAACGTCTGTTATTCTGTCAGCGTGAAGTTTTCCACATGGACTCTGTGTTAATAAAATATTTACTGTTTCAAATTCTGGATCTATCATTATTGATTCCACTAATGGAAAGTCTACCTTATTTATGTCCACGTCTTCTGGTTGAGGATCACAATAATAGAAATCAATATTAACATTTAACATTCTCGCTAATCTCTCACTTTCTGATGAAATGTCAAACCCTTCATATGCATCTATTGCTTCATTTAAATAGCTTCTACGAGTTTTAGGATTAACACCATCAGGAATGTTATAGAAGCGTTTAAATAACCTTCTACCTTCTGCTCTAATTTGATTATCATTCATTTTAGCTGTTCCGTTTTTGTTCATTTATGTAAGAATAAAAAATTAAAAAAAAAAAAAAAATAAAGTTTATTTTTTAAAGCCCATAAAATGAATTAAGAACACATAAATTTTTATCATCTGCGACGTGACGAATACATTTTAATTTACTCAAGAATGCGTACCCTGACACATTAAATCTAATTCCTGTCTTATTTAATTTCACAACTTTGAAAAGGAATGTATGAATAGCTATAAAATGATGAGAAGATGTTTTATGGGTTGCTTCCATTTTTTCTGAAATAAATGAATAAATATAATGTTTATAAGTTTTCATATCTTTTATATTCTTAATAACGAATGGTATAGACCTTTCCACTTCATCTTCCTTCGGTGCTGTTCTTTCATATGAAACATTATTAGTATCTTCAATAATGAAACCACAATCACACAAAATTTTATATGTTCCAATGGTTTCTTTTGATATTTTATCTAATAAATCAAAAACTTTATCAACACCTGTGCATTTATTTAAATAATATTTGTGTAAATATCATGATCTTCTTTCTTAATCGTATTAGTTGCATATGTCACATTTTTAAGAGCTTTTTTGAATTTCTCAGAATCGAGAGGGGGTGAAAGTAAGATACAAGGGTATTTTTCATTATCAATAAATTGTAACTTATGTTTACGAATAAATTTAGTACCTTCTTCTGAAAGTGTTTCATCTATTTCGCCATCTAATAAATTTTGTGTTGATTCTGAGACATAATTTTTATATCTTTCTTCATGAGATTTCTGAACTGCTGATTCTGAAGCTGGGATATTCATTAAACCCTCTACTTCATTTTCATTATATTTTTCAACTTCTCTTAATTCCTTAATTTTTTCATCTATTTCATCTCTTATTTTTTCCAGTTTTTCAATTTCATTGTATTCATCATCATCTTTAATCCGTTCTTCATAATATTCAGGGAAAACATCAGGTTCTTTAGGTTTTTCTTCTTTAGATGTGGGATATAAGAAATTTATAACATCATCTTTATTCATTTTTCCATCATAATCAAACTCATTTAAAAACTCCGCGAATTTTTGACAATTTCTTAAATAATATTTATCAACCTCATAACCCGCCTCCTCTAATATATCCTTTATTTCCTCATTTGTGAATCCTAATTTTTTAACGTTGTTAGTTTTGACGCTCATTTCATACAAAATAAAAATAAATTATTCAAAAATGTAAGACATGAATGTTTAAAGTTTATTTTTTATTTCATTATGGTAGTGAATCTTTTACTCGTTTATGAGGTCTTTGATTATGACTCCATTGATTCCATTCAGGATTTAAACAATGTTTAATTAATCGCGGAATATCTGACATCATCTATATATAGCTTCTTTTATAAAAGATGAAAAATAAATTATTTTAAAATTAATGTTAATTTTTTAAAATGTGTTTATTTCATTATGTATGGGCTGAGTGTAAATGTCTTACAATTTTGAAAATTTTTTAAATCTTGATTTATTCAAAAACGTAAGAATAAAAACCGTAAGAATCATACATTTTTTACTTCATATGTTAAAAAAAATGATACAAAATCGCTCGATATTGTATGAATTCTTACGTTTACAAAAAAAGTCACACAACCCGTCATATCCTACTACTTCGATAACAAAATAGTATCGCTAAGATATTTCTTAACTATAGACATAGACAATACTTTATTACTACAAACAAATCTAATTTAAGGAACGGCGCTGAAACTGGCGATAATTTAATACAACAGGCACTGGCTGAGGAACATCACTAAATCGCTTGAACTGGCATATGTGTGGTGAATTTGGCGTTCTAACTTTGTTTCGCTCCAAAGCAGGAACTGCTTTATAAATTGGATTCTGTAACAAATCCGTAACTGAGTTATCTTTTGATAAGTCAAAACATTTCATTATCAAGTCCTTAATATCGCTTGGCATGTCTGCTGGATAAGTAATATTTTCTATGATTGATGGATCTTGAAACACATTTTCTACGCTATCAAAACTAAAGCCTGCAGGTATCTTTCCTGTAACCATAAAATAAAATATAAGTCCTAAAGTCACAATATCTGTAGTTTCTATTGGATAAATTGAAAAAGAAGATGTGTAAGCATTAGACTGTACTGCAAGGCAAAACATGCACATCCTAATTCTATTATATTTATCTAAGAAAAATCGATAAGGGGTTAATCGGAGATTTTTCACGTCTTTTTCGTGACAAAACTTTAAGGCTTGTAGCATATTGAATGAGTATATGGTAAACATCTTTGGGTCTAATGGACCAGTTTCTGAAACTAATGTTCCCATAGACTTCTTACAATAGTCAATTAGGTAATACACATGCTTTTTAATGACCCATGATCTGTAAATATGTATTACATTTGGATGATATAAAGCTTTTAAGGAATCAATTCGGAGTTGTTGCGAAATGTTGAGTTTAATTTTTTTGAGAATGTAGAGGTCGTCGCATTTTTTCCATTCTACTACATATGTTTTAGTGTACTTATCAGCGAATAATTGTTCCTTGATTTCAATTTCCTCATTTGCAAACAGTTCTTTTTCAAGCTCATCCATGCTGATAAATAACTTTTGAGAGACCATATCGAAATTATTTTTTTGATAAACCTTATAATTATTCGATGTTTTATAGATCGTATTCATTATTAAAAGGACATGTAATTTATTAGGAGAAATTTGATTAAAAATTTGAGTTTTAAAGCTTTTCTTTTTTATTTTGGAGTATATTAAACTTAAAATATAAGTCAGTGTATGGTGAAAATTCGAAATAATTATTTTTTGAATAGTATTGAAATCGAGAAAATTTAAATAGACTAAATCGAAGCAATTAATATAATACAACATTGTTTATTTAATTTTTCAATTGAGAAGTATTCAAAACAAAAACCATCCATAACGGATCATTCAAAGTTCTCAAAACTTCACATTATTTTTTGGCTCCCAAATTTGGAATTTTATATATGATTTGTAATGTACTATCAGATCAAATCTTTCACAAATTTTTCACATTTCATATTGAAATTTCGAGTAAGAAATTTTCATCATTGTTTCAAAGATTTAACATCATTGCATTAATTTTGTGAAGTGAGGATTAAGAGTAATTTTGGCCATTATTTTATTTTGGAATACAACAAATTATTCAACAGGTTATTATCAATCTAAGTTTTAGAAAATATAACATTTTAATTAAAATTCATTTTCAATTGACATTTTTTATATATCAATCGGAAATTATTTCAAGTTATCAAGTGACTAATTACTAGTAATGAAAAATTCAAAAACGTTAGTTTACATTTTATTTATGTTTAATATTCTTTCCGAACTCCATCTTAAAATTTTATGAAAAATTCAATGATCACGGAAGTATTATTGATCCTTTTTTCCTCGAACAACTTTTGAAAATTTTCCCATTTCCTATTGATTCGCTTTTACGTTTAGATATATAAAGATTCCTGGTTAATTTTATTAATAAAGTTTCCGCTTATTCGCAAATTACAGTAACTTATTGACATTAATGAAAAACCAAAGGTATATCTTTTTTTGTAAGCTTAATATTATTATAAATATGAAAAGAAAAAACAAAAATTTTTATTGTATCAGTCTTCAGTTATATCAATTATTACATAATGGCCAAAAAACTTTCCAAGAGTTTATATTTTATGAGATACGAGATCATTTGATAAAGCTTTCCACAAAATATGTGATTTGACAGCCATTTATTGAAAACCTCACATTGTAAGAACTCAATTACTAGAACCAATCATTTTTTTCTTGATAAAACATAGTATTTTCTCAAGTATTGCAATCCTCTTATTTATCTCAATGATTTAGGCGATGCAAACACATTTTTAATATAAGCGAAACATACTTATAATGACCAATTTATGTCCTTTTTCGAAGAATAGATTCGAAAATCTGTGTGTTAGACTCTAAAGTGAATGCGTTTTCCGCATTGTTGCTTAGAAAACAGATGTTCAAAATGAATGAGATTCAAGCAATGTCACTGTTATTAATAACTCTTTTTTTTGTTTCAATTTTTACGAGTCGCGAAATTTATCGTCAATCTGCCGAACAAATTAGCCTTTATTAGATTTATGTTGGAAGAATTATTCTACAAGGTTTCCACATTAGCACACGTTAATTGGAAAGGCAATATTATCTGAAATCAACACTTTTTGTAAACTTTATAAAAATTTGATAAACAATAAGTGGGAGAAAACTCTCTTTTCTAAAGGTACATTCACTAGGCGATAACAGTAAAATGGGATGAAAATAGGATAAATAGAATCCCTATATAGTGCCTAACAATATTTATACGGGCCAAAAAAAATTTGGCTAGAGATTTGGCGAGTTATAAAACTTAGAAAATTGAGAGGGATTTTTATTTTTGAATTTTTTTTTGGAAAGTTAAAATTGCGATTAAAAATCGATTTCCAGGAGAACTAAGCATCTCATCATATATTTAAATCGATAAAAATATTAAATAATAGTTGAATAGTATAACAACGTGAAATTATGGCTGAATCTACAGAAAAAATGAACATATTTGACATTTTGAAAATTCATACGTTAGATGGTGACAGACTCATAAACTATACTTTAGCTAAGATTGATATATGGTTTCAACAACACATGGTTAAAATCGTAAAAATATTTTAGATTTCAAAAAGATATATATGGTAATATAATGGAACAAAGTCAACAAATAGCATGTTAAATATGTTATAATTAACTTTTTATTAGATCCAATAGTAGATATCGAATGGTTTCCAGCTTTATGGTTAAATATTTTCTTTTCGAGCTTCTCTTTAACTGTTGTATTAAGGTTGTAAATTTTTGATGCTAGAAACTACGGAATCTTCTTTGCTGCTGCATTTTTCTTGAGAGTTCTTGCAATTTCGAATAGATCTGCACATTGTATGAAATGTAGGCTTTAAAATATCTTGAAAACAGAATAGGACTGCTTTTCCAAAGGAATGCTTACTTGTAAATCAGAGAGTTTCAAAATTGAGAGCAAGATTATCATCATAACTTTCGATTTTGCTGCGAAAAAGGAAGACAAGTAATTAACAAATCATTTACTGTTGTTCGTCAAAAGAAGAAAACTTTGATAACAACTAATGATGATAATCAAGCTATCTTTTAATATTTTAAATTGATAAGACATTCAAAATATTTGAATGGTTTAAAATATTTTCTTTTAATTTCTATAAGATATTATCATGATTATATAATAAAATTTAAATTTTTATTCAAAAAGGCAATATTTCAAACTTTTAATTTCAAAAATCCTAATTCTGCAATAAATGTATTTAATTGTAGCAAATTTAATGATCCTTCGTCATGCTTAGCAATTTGGAACTCATAAATTAATGATTTCTTCAAGTAAAATTCTGCATTATTTCAAAAGTCAATAATTCTCTAGTAACTTTTCTTCAAACCCTAACCATTATATTATATGTATAATGGAGAATAATTGCAAAGAAAGATAGCCGAATTTACTGGGTAGTTCTTGTGATGCGAAATAATTGCAAATTAACACCTAGTTTTAACAGCATCAATCTCTTTTTGCTCTCATTTAAATGCATTCGCACACTTTAATTTTGAAATATAAGAGTTTTGGAAATTATCAAATTTATCTGCTCAAATACTATAGATCTTCATAAGTGTTAATAGAATCATTAGCCTTACATATAGTGTTTAATATAATGATGCACATTATACTGGGATTCATTCCTTATTCATCTAGTTATTATAAGATTTACAACCCCATGAAAATTTAAAATTTTGTCAAAAATAGTGAATGTACCTTTTCTTTTCTAACATTGTCGTTGCTATAATTTGCATATTTTATAATACCTAATGCACGATTACAAGTAAAATGCTGATATTTCATTTCAAGTAAATTTCTGATAAACTCGAATTTACACCTTTTAGAAAAAATTTCATAATTGCTCACAATAATTTATTGAAAGAATTGTTTTTTTTATGTTTTATTATGGATTCAAGACAGTTATTTTAATTATTATTCGAGTCTTTTCAAAAAGTATATTTGCAAAGCATTGAAAAAGAGAATTTGAATTAAAAGAATTTTAATTGTCAAACAATGGAATCGAATTTAGCTAATCATGGGTATGAGTTGATATCGGAAATTGGTTCAGGAAAGTACTCTCGATGCTATCTGTGCTGGAGCACAAAGTATCAAACTGACTTTGTTTGTAAAGTTATTCATGTTGGCGACCAAGATGTCAAAGAAAAATTTAAAGAAGTCTACAAACAGGAGCTAGATATTCTTTCGAATTTCATCCATCCAAATATTATCGGTGTTTTTGATGCATTTGAAGAAGGTGATGATTTTGTTCTTGTTCTTGAATATTGTCATAACGGAAGCCTACAGGAGAAAGTATCTATACCACGCCCATTAGATCCAGCAATTTTGGTTAACTATGCAAGGCAAATTTTAGGTGCACTATCATATATGCATAAGAACAACGTAGCTCACCATGATATTAAACCATCAAATATATTCCTAGATAAATATGGTCGAATCAAATTAGCAGATTTTGGAATTGCGCAATCGTTTCATATTAATGATGAAAAATCTTGCATTTTTGGAGGAACAATAGCTTTTATGGCTCCAGAACAGTTCAAGAAACTTCCTTACTCAGAATTCCAGTCCGATATTTGGTCATTTGGGGTAACTTTATATTCATTGGCTTTTGGAAGGCTTCCTTTCACGGGAAATAATGTTAAAGAAGTAATATCTTCCATTTGTACAGGCGCATTTTCAATGCCAAGACATTGCCCTAATGAAATAAAAAATCTAATTTTACACTCTCTTGATATCAATACAGCTACAAGATATACAGCCGACCAACTCTTAGAGTGCCTTAATACATCTTCTTCATCTATTCCACTTATTCCAAGACCAAGAATTACCCCTCAACGCTCAGTTCCAATAATGAAACAGTTAGTTCACAGCTCACTGAAACAACTACAGCCTATTGTTATATCAAAAAGATTTAGAAGAGGTTCCGGACATTAAACTTTCTTTTTTGGAAGGTTTTTAAGATATTATTTTGTTTTGTATGTTAAAAAGTATAATTTAAAAGATATTTATTGTTTGGAAACACAAGTACAAGTCTAATGCTTACAATGGATAAAAATATGAATATGAATATTTAAAAATTTTGACAATTGAATATACATGAATATAGGGTGAATTCAATATTTAATGAATCTAACTTAGCTCTTTATCTAAATAAAGTGTTTCTCAAAATGGCTGTTAAATGTTTAATACATGCACAACTCAGAATTTTAAGAACCGCAGAGCTAGATACTTTGACTATATTATAGATATAGTGTGCATATCAATTATATGATTCGTAATAATCGCAAGAGTTTTATTTTGGGAGTCCTAATTTCGAAGTTTTAAGGGAATTGCAATTATCTGTGATGATACTAATGAATATTACATTTCGTGATTCAAAAGTTTGAGATGTTTTATAAGTAAATAACAAAAAAAGTAATGATAAATCAAGTTTAAATAAAAAAACAAACAGTTATTTTAATAAGTTACAGGAAGGTAATAAGTAGCAGGATAAACAGGTTGGAATGCAGCAGGTTGTACGATCTGCATTGCAGGTGCTATAGGGAATGGAATAGATCCAGGAGCAGGGTATCTTATGTCTGCATCGTAGTCGTAAGTGTTTCTGCTCAAAAGTCTCAATTCATCCCTTCTTCCAAATCTGTGATTGATGTAGCAGTGGATCATCCACGAAGCGATGGCGAGAAACAACATGAGGAACAGGGCGATGAACAAGAAAACAAACAGAATAATCTTCTTCTTGGACTTTATCGTTGAAACAAACTCAGGAAGACTCAAAACATCGACTTGGCTCGCTTCTGAATTCAAATTAAAGAAATGAGTGGCCGGGTGAAGTGCTTTACACATGGAGACACAGGAATCAATGATTTTGATGTACCCTGCATGCGGAGGATTCAAAACTTTGATGTGGAGAAGTGTAGATCCTTGCGGTAAATCTTCATTTACGTTTATCTCGGACATTTCATTGTTATAGGCCGTGATTTTGATCTGTGACGTAAATGGATTAGAAATAGTGATCTGATGGGCTGCAATTCGCTTGTAATAGATACAAGTATTCCATCCTTTGCGGAAAGTGGCGTTTGCGTGCTGTAATTTGTGTCCTAGTGAGTAGTGGCTTTGTAATTCAGAGGTAACAATGAAATCATTGCACTTAAATTTCTGAGAATTGAAATTTGTGTTGTTTTGAAGGACAAATGAATGGTAAATGGTCTCTGTTGTCTTAACTTCAATTAATATATATCCTGGCTGTTCTTCAAATTTGAAACTTATGTCATCTCGTGGTAAAACTTTGATAAGTTCATTATGGCTCGAATAAACAGTCGCTTTCAGCTCGGAAGGTAATCTTGGCGTAGAGTTCCATAGTTTGAAGAGGGACTGAGGACAAATGAAGAAAAGTTTCAAAGTCGATGAAAATGAAAAACTCATAAACGAACTATCGACAACAATTTCGCTTGGGTTGTTAATTGCAGAGAACGCTTCGTTGGTCGACCAGTTCTTATTGCATGGAATTATGGTTGATGAACCTTTTAGCGACAAAGACTCATCGTTGAGTATGAAGTATGCGAGAGTTGTTTCAGGTAATGCCTTTCTGGGTTCAATTAAGAAGATGGATGATGTTTTGATGACACTTCCTTCCGACGATGAAAGAAATTGTTTTCCTTCAGGGGAGATATAGTAAAAATAGTCCGAACCATTGGTTTTGTAGTCGATTCTGACGTTCTGGCGCTCATCGGCCGCGTAAAACAAGCAAACCGAACCAATTTCATTTTGAGATACTGAAGAAACACTCCAAGGATCAGTATAATCGGCAATAGATACAACTCTTTTGTCTTGTCTGTTGTAATGAATTGACGTACAATTAACTTCTTTCGGAATAACAAGATAATTTACTGAAGCTTTGCATAATTCGTGCAAAGGATGGTAAATAACGAGTTTCTCGCCTTCTTTGATTTGTATAAGTGTATTTGTTCCCTTTAAAAATTTAAATTTGTGATTTTGAATTAAAAAGCATAAAATTCCTTGATTTACAGGGATAGAAATAAGTCCTGCTGATCCTCGCTTTAATCTTAAGCATACAGGGAATTTCGTAATTACTCCAGAGGTTGAAATCATTCTTGTATCAAGATTTTTCGAAATTATATGGGAATCTAAGTTACTTAGTATAGAAACGAAGAAGTAATCTGGCTCTTGGTGAGCTCTATGTATCTCGTAATGCTTCTGGTTGTCATCATCTGTTGCCAAAACGTGAAAAGGGTGCCATACGTAAATTTGATCAAGTCTAGAGATCCAATCATCAGAAGTGTGAGTAGAAACAATTGAATATTCTTTAAGCGTCACATTTATCATAATTTGCAGTCCGAACTCAAAATCATCATAAAATTTGAAAGTTATTACTGCGGGATGGGGATTAACTGAATTGTAACCTTGCTGATTAGGTGGAGCAAATTTGATATTCGAATCATGTATTGAAACAACGCAACTCCAACCCGAGTTATTGTAAACATAAAACATAAAACGACATTCTGGGACTTCAAACGTTAGAGAAGAACCCTGAGTTACATTCTGCCTGTATGTTTGCGATTTGTTTAATAAAATATTCTCTGATGAATGTAAAGAAAAGAGTAAAGAAAACATTGAACTATCCCCTAAAAATTTTCGTCGGACCCCATAAATCAAAAAATTTTATTGGAAAAATTAATCAATAAACGTACAGTTTTGTAATTTGCTTCCAAATTACTAATTTAATCTTAATAAGCAAACTCACCTTTAATATTTAAAAACAATCGAAATTTACTTGAAATTTCGAATCCAATATCCATAAATAACGTAGATTAATACACAAACAAGTGTTTAAATACAAACAAAATTATATATAACTAATATACTAATGATATCAAAAGATCATATTGAGATTAAATCCTTAGATTCATTGTTTGCTGCATCAAATTCAGCTTCTTTTCTTTTAACTTCCTGTTGTAGGTTGTAAACATACTTCCGCAGTCTTGAGAGTCTTTTCTCATTATTTTCTATGATTCTGCGTTTTGATGCAATTCTTCCGAGTTTCGTGTGGTTTCTAGGAGAAATTAAAGTGATAGAAGGAACTGTTAACTTATTTTCTAATTTCTTCTTATATGATTGGAGATCATTAAAGTTTTCTTTTAATTCTTCAATCATTTCATGATAATACGAAATATCAATGAGCATCTCATTATTTTGCTTAATCTGAGCATTGAGATCTTTAATCTTTTCATACTTTTTATGCAATTTTTGTTCAATTTCTTTACGATTTTCCAAAAATTTCGCCTGAAGATCATCTGTTTCAGTTTCGATGGCTATTGTATTCTTCTTAAGTTCATCTAACCTATTGTGGACTTTTTCTTTGATTTGGTCAAAGTTTGATTCCAAATTTATTATTGGCTTCTTTGGAGAAGGCTGGAACTTAGATATCTTTTGGATTTGAGGAGATTTGTATGACTTTATCTGCTCATCTAACAGTTTCTTCCTATGTACAAGGATTTCTCTTCTTTCTTTATTTTGATTTACAAGAATTTCAACAATTGCTTTTCTAGGTGATTGTTCAATTGATGTTGAGTTGTATTTTTTAACTAACAAGTCTACATCACCTTCCAAATCAAATACAATTGATTCAATTGATTGTAAAGCAGGGATAACTTGAATTGTTTTTGAATAAGCTTCAATTTTTCTTTTATTTAGAGTTTTACTGGTGTCTTTGAGTGAATCAATGGTAGATTTATATAACTTTTCCATTTCTCGCAGTTTATTCAGTTTATAAGTTGTAAATGATAAAATTTCTTCAACATGAAAAACGAATTTTCTCTTTGTTTCAACAGAATTTTGGAAGAAATCTATTGAAGATTGCATAATTTTAATATCGACATTTGAATACTGTGAAGGTGGAAGAACTTGCTGTGAAATTTCGTTATATATCTTTTTAATCTCTTCTTTCATCTTATCATTTTCATCAGTAATGCGTTTAAATTCGCTTTGCGCTGTTTGAAACCTTACTTGCTCTTGTTTCTTTTTGAATAAAAACGTTTTCGGAATTTTTTCTTTTCGAGTATCAATAATTTTTTGTCTCTCCTCTAGAACTGTCTGTTGAATGGATATATTTCGTTTAATGTTATCGATTTTGGCAATATTTATCCTATTTTCATATTTAATTGAGTTAATCATTTTCTGATACTCCATTATCCTCTCTTCGTCTTTGCTCCTAACTGATGATTGATCTGTTTTGGAAGATTTCTTAGAGGTTTTGCGGAGAGACATTTATACAAATGAAGTAAACGTAATTTAATTAGGGTATGTCTGGATAACCCCCCTCAATTATATAAATTAAATAAATGTCAATATTACTCCTTTTCTATCTATCTATATGCATAATTCAATATATTGTTGTAAACAGAAATTCATCAAAAGTGACACCTCAGAAAAGCTAAAATATTGAATTTTTGGAACTTTTGATAGAGCACGTTTTTAAATATTAATTAAAGTAAATGTATATTTTGTAAAGATTCTTTTTAATAAAAAAATAAAATTTTGAAGAAGAACACAAAATCTTCTGAAAAATAATATCACATAAACTCATATTATTTTCTAATATATAACTATTTTATATAAAAATCAAATTCAATGATCTTAAAAGCGAAGGATAAACCTCAAAATTTACGAATATAATGAGTGGGAATATAATGCTTATCTATCATAAAACCATATGAAATATCAATTTTTGCTTTACGCCTAATTTTTGACGACAATTAGCAAAAAAATGTTAAATGTTAACACTCAGTCCATTTGAATATGAAAAATAAAATTGACTTTGATTAAATGTTTTTATTTATCATGCAATTCTTCTTGCGACCAAAGATTTGAATAAAAGTTCAAAAAATAAGATAGCTTAAAAAATAATATACGGTAGTGTTTACTAATAGATGAATAGTATATAAATTCTATTAAAATGGATTTGATCCAAAAAATATATAAAATTTGATCATAAATAAAATCGTTTTAAATTACTTCTTCATTTAAATCATAACAATTATTTTGGTTTTATATTTTTTGGATCAAATCCATTTTAATAGAATTTATATACTATTCATCTATTAGTAAACACTACCGTATATTATTTTTTAAGCTATCTTATTTTTTGAACTTTTATTCAAATCTTTGGTCGCAAGAAGAATTGCATGATAAATAAAAACATTTAATCAAAGTCAATTTTATTTTTCATATTCAAATGGACTGAGTGTTAACATTTAACATTTTTTGCTAATTGTCGTCAAAAATTAGGCGTAAAGCAAAAATTGATATTTCATATGGTTTTATGATAGATAAGCATTATATTCCCACTCATTATATTCGTAAATTTTGAGTTTATCCTTCGCTTTTAAGATCATTGAATTTGATTTTTATATAAAATAGTTATATATTAGAAAATAATATGAGTTTATGTGATATTATTTTTCAGAAGATTTCATTCTATATGCCTATGAAAAGTACTCTCAAAACTAACTTTTTCCTAATTATAATTAAATCTAGAATATTGTATTATGCTTAGTATTATTTCATTTTTCTCATTCAATTTAGAATTTACAAATGTCAAAAAATTGAGAGCTGTCACTTTTGATGAATTTCTGTTTATTACAGTATGAATAGGTAGACATTGAAGTATTAAGGGAAATTTATTTAATTGATACAGACATTTATGAGGTAATATGTATGTTCAACTGTAATATTAAAGTACTCAATGGATAAACATTAATCATTGAAACAAATTTGGGCTAGATAAATGGGAGAGAGCTGATACACTTCTCATGACAGTCTTGAGAACTTTAAATGTAAAGAACTTCTTTTTATCCCAAAGGTGCTCTGTGCATCTTTTTCCAGGCCAAAACCCAGCATAGATATGTAAGATTTTTGAAAATTAATGTCCCAAAATCTACTTTGTTAAATGAAATCAAGAGTATACAGCATAAGAATGATATATGCCTTAATATCACTTTTTTTTTCAGATTCAAAGTTTTTTAATGAGTATAGAACTTCAACTTAATTTTGAATACATTGGGTCTCACATCGAAGATTACCTTGATGACAATAGGTTATTTACTACATTCGAAGTCGAAGACATCAATCAGATCATGAAATTCGCAACTTTGTCAACAAATGACTACACTAAGATGCTGAAACAAGCTCATTCTACAGTCAATGCAAACAAACTATATTTATTCACTCGAAATGCAAATGTTACGACACAAAACCTTGGAGATGTCATTGAACTTCTTAAATCAGTCGGAGAATTCATGAAAATGAGAATACTTGATGGAGCGATTGACCTTTTAATACAATTGGAAAAAATATTGCCTACTTCGGCTAAGCAAATCCAAAATTCTAATCCCAAATCAATTAAAGAATACAATGAAAAAGAAATTCTATCAAAAATTCACGAACTTAGGCAATCTGATGATATTAAATGCATCTACAATTTCTTTGAAGAGCTTTCATCTCAAGGAAATCAAAAAATGATTTCAAAAGCTTGTATAAGTGAACTTACGGAAAGGGTACCTTTTAAAAACAGAGTGCTTGGAAATGAAAGAAATATACTTCATATAGCATGCGAGAAAGGAAATCTCAACCTTGTTAAATCACTCATAGAAAATGGTTGTCATGTAGATACTGAGGATGATCATAAATGCTGTCCACTAATCTATGCCTCAATAGGAGGCCATCTTGAAGTTGTTCAATATCTTATCTCTAAAGGAGCTGATAAAGAAACAAAGAATAAAGATGGGAATACTCCACTCATTTGTGCATCATATTTTGGCCATCTTGAAGTTGTTCAATATCTTATCTCTGTTGGAGCTAATAAAGAAGCAAAGAATAATGATGTATATACTCCACTCATTTGTGCATCAGCTAATGGCCGTCTTGAAGTTGTCAAATATCTTATTTCAGTTGGAGCTGATAAAGAAGCAAAGAATAAATGGGGAAATACTCCACTCATTTGTGCATCATATTTTGGCCATCTTGAAGTTGTTCAATATCTTATCTCTGTTGGAGCTAATAAAGAAGCAAAGAATAATGATGTATATACTCCACTCATTTGTGCATCAGCTAATGGCCGTCTTGAAGTTGTTCAATATCTTATCTCTAAAGGAGCTGATAAAGAAGCAAAGAATAAATGGGGAAATACTCCACTCATTTGTGCATCAGAAACTGGTAAACTTGAGGTTGTTCAATATCTTATCTCTGTTGGAGCTAATAAAGAAGCAAAGAATAATGATGTATATACTCCACTCATTTGTGCATCAGCTAATGGCCGTCTTGAAGTTGTCAAATATCTTATTTCAGTTGGAGCTGATAAAGAAGCAAAGAATAATGATGTATATACTCCACTCATTTGTGCATCAGCTAATGGCCGTCTTGAAGTTGTTCAATATCTTATCTCTATTGGAGCTAATCAAGAAGCTATCCAATAAAATTTGGGGAAACGCATCTCTACAAGTAATATAATCTAATCCAATCGTATAATTATAATAAAACTAACAATATTCTTATTTCCAAACTATTTTTCATAGGATTTTTTTTCATTAATTGACGATTATAATGGGTTGAATATTTGAAATTATTTTCGAAATAAAAAGGTATTTAATGGATCTTTATAGATGAGAATCTACCTTATATCATAATTAAACCAATACATTTATATCATGGCTGAATTAAAATTCTGATTCACAAATTTGGAGAAGAGTAGGTAACAAAAGTGAGCTATGTAAATTTTTGTAAACCGTCAAATTATTATTTTTGACAATGTAAACTCATATGAGATTCCTTCCAAGAGAAACTTGGGGCCCTGGTGTAATACTTCAGGACCCGAGGCCTCCGAGAGGGAATACCCCAAAGAATTTTAACAGATGCAACCATTAACAATTCTTTCTACGGATTATTTTTGAATCAGTAGAATGAATTGTTGATAGTTGCATCTGGAAGGAGGAACAAAGGAGCTTAAAAGGTCGCAATCCTAAAAATGGAAGCCATGGAGCTCCTAAAGCGAACAAATGGGAAAGGGCCTCTGCTGATAGGGCTTCAGGAACTCCATGGCTCCCTTTCATAGGATTGGGAGCTATGGAGCTCCTGGAAAGTCTTAAGGGAATAATGCAGACCATTAAAAAATAAAATGTCAAAAATTATGGTTTACAAAAGGGGTGTCAGATTATCGGCCGCAAAAGTGACATCAAAATTTACATGATGGAGAATTCGTGCAATGCAAGCATCTTAATGTTGCTGGTTCGAGTCCATTCGTCGCTCTTTTCATTGCAATTCATTTAAAGGATACCTTCAAAAGTTTGCATCAGTTCCTCATAAAATCTGCTCAGAGAAGTGTTTTATTAATTCTGGTTGTATTTTTTTTTAAAAAAAATACATGTATCTTTATACATAAAAAACAAAAATAAAATATACTTGGAAGTCACAGCCAATTAATGATATCTTTGTGCTAATTTCTTGAGTTGTTTCATTTATTGCTTCTTCAATGTTATCTATGTTTTGAAAACTAGTGTTGTAGGAATTATTCAACTCTGAATATTGAGATTCAAACAACCAATCGGTTGTATTTGCAGTGTATGAATAGCTTGTAGACATATTTCTTTTAGGAGAAACAGGAGCATAAGTTGGAATTGGAGAAGCATTTTCAGTCTTTCCTTTCTCAGAAACAACAGGAGGAAACATTGCCAAAGGAGTTTGAACTTCATCAACTGTAAAATTTGGTTGAATTTCACTTTGTGATTCTTCTTCAAAATCATTTTCGTCAAATTGATTAATAATAACAGACTTTCCCACAGAAGTATTTCTTTGTCTTGGTGGTCTCCTTCCTGACGAAGGCAACGGATAATTGTAAATGTTGATTATCGTTGGTGTTGTCCTTGGTTCATAGATTTCACTACTTCCTTGAGAAGTTTCATTTAAGTTTTGTCCTGTGTCATCTTTTTGAATTGATGCTGTCTGTAGATCAGGATGAGTCATTTGAATGGAAACATCATTAGTTGAGAGGTCTTGAATAGCTGATTTTTGAGTACTGGTATTACTCATATCAGGGTATTTATTCTGTGTAGAAATGTCATGAAAACTGTTTTCATTATTTGGAATTTCGATATTTTCCAAATGAATATCAAGTTGAGGTGTAGGTTTGCTTTCAATTATTAGAGAAGCATTTTTAACATAATTTAAACTATTTACCGGTTGATTTTTTGTCATTTGATGATTTGGTTCAGAAACTTTAAGAAAAGTCCTAATTTTCGGCTGGATTGGACTCTTATGAGGAGCATTTAGCTTCCTATGCTGCAATCTCTTCATAATATCATCTTTTTCTTGAAATCTTTGTTGAGCATATTGAAGCTGTTCATAGTTTGTGATCCATTTCAGCTTACATGACCATCTAATCCACTTTACATGGAGTGAGTTCTTCTTTTGGACGTCTTGAGAGATATTTAATTCAGATTTCTTATAAAGTAAACATTTTGTACAGCAAAGCTTATATACTTGAGGTAACGGCAGCCACATTGTTCCATTCTGTTGCATATCACTTCGATATAACTGCAAAGCGCTTTGAATCGTATTTTTCTGCAAATTCTGAGTCGAAAGTTTAATCCAATGATATTGATACATTGAGCGATGAAAGTTATTAGACTTATTCTGCTTCAAATATTTTTGAGTAATCTTGTTCCATTTCTCTCTTCCAACTAAATTATTATAATTTTTATTAATTGATCTTATTTTTAGAAGATTGGAAAAGTGAAACCATTTATCTGTCAATTTGGCTATTTTGAAGTTGTGGTTCTTCTTCGAAACCTCAATATCAGTTAAAATTCTCTTACCTATTAAATACCAATTTCTAAATGCACCAAACTGCTTACATTTGTGTATATTAACAACTTTTCTTATTAAGACTAGCCATTTAGATCGATATTGATGTAAACGCCATGCAACTCTTAGATTTTTATTTGCTTTTAGTATTTTATATGAGAATTCTTTGTACTGCAACTTCTTTGTCATGCTAATCCATACATTCTTTGTTTTAATTGCTATTCTTTTTGCATTCTCTTCATTTTCTACTTGGATTTTCTGTATTTCTTCTAAAATAGATTTGCGCTTTAGTAATTTGAATACATGACTCCATTTTCTCTGATTGGATTCAGTATTTTTTCTCTGAATCCAGATTTCAAAATACGTTTTAAGACGTTTTTCTTTAACCATATCTGTTAATTGTAATATATTAATTGCACAAGAAAGAACTGTAATTCGTTTTTTCTTGATCGCTGAGTTAACGAGATTATTCCATGAAATTTTTAGTTGTTTTTGCCTTGCTAGTTTCTGCTTCATACTATTATAAGTTACCAGCTCGTTTCCATTTGGTTTCATTGATATGATAAAATAGATCTAGAAGCAATAGAAATAGAAAATAAAAAATGACATATTAAACTGGGTGGAGATGTTGAATATCATTCAAAATGATAGTTCAACAAAACTACTAATTTGCATGTTTTTATCTGTACATACTTATTTCTTGGAATTTCTTTGAAACATATTATCTAGGATATATATCTCACTTGATAAAAGGCCGACACTATTCCTCAAGATTCAAATATCTTTGATAGAATAGAAAATAACAAACAAATAACAAACAATTTATATATAATATGGATAAATATCAATTAATTTACTCTATAGGATCCTTCACAACATTTCTAAATTCATATGATACTGATTGCTTGCTAACAAGTGATGGTTTACCCGTTGGATCGCAATCAAAAAATGTAAGAGTATTCAGATTTGTTTTAAAACCAGTAAAGAATTGATATCAAGATGGAACATAAAGAGTATAATTGTGAAGAAAAATCATGATACAAAATGAAATCAAGATTTATTAAATGGAATACAATGCACTAACCAATTACTGCCAGATTATTGAACTAAATTAATGTAACATAAGCGAAATGTAAAAAAAATTAATTCAATTACAGGTTGTATTTGAAATCTATCGAAGAGTATTGCTATGTATAAACAATACTTCTTTATTTTATTAAAAAGGAAATAATTGGAGAAAATATATTTTTGAATGCATTAAAGGTGCACCCGTATGTACATTTATTTGAGAGGAGGAGGATTACCCTCTCAATTTTGAGGGATTCGTTAGTTTATTTTCTCGATGAATATGCAATAAAATTTGATTTTTACCTTATCAATATACTTCATATAATATATAGATCCAAGGTGATGTGATTTTTGCATCCCTGGGATGGACGATACACCCAAAGTGTCACCTTTTTTGGGATAACATGAATTTTAAATATCATGAGAGTTCTGCAAACCATATGCACAATATCTATTCAGCCTGACTTCTTGTATATATGAGTTAGACTTCTTAAATATTGTGCTTGGGGCGATATAAGTATTTCCGAGATTACCATCGTGCTCTATAGTATGCTACTTCTCCCTGGTTCTAGCTCAGTTCCAAGGATATTGGCGTTCAAGGATTTGGCAAGGTCCTTCCGAAGTCTCTCATTCGATGAGAGATTTCGGAAGAATCTTGCCTTAAAGTACTCCAACTCTTGTTCTTTTGTTCCTAAATAGTGAGAAAAGTTATTTGACTACTTAAGGTAGAGATTATCCGAGGTCCCTCATTTGATGAGAGGCCTCGGATAATCTCTGCTTTAAAATTGTACACTTGTAGTCCATGAGAGTGTAAGTATACATTGATAGGACAGCTTTCTTCTGAAGTCTTAGATTTGATGAGAACCTCAGAAGAAAACTGTCATATTTTATAGTAAAAGGAGTTTCAGGAGCTCCAAAGCTCCCTTTCGTAAGGATTAGGAGCTTTGGAGCTCCTGGTTCGTAGATGTGTTTCGCATCTTTCATCAGCAAAGGACATTTACCATCTGGGACTCTGTTGATGGAGACTCAGGAGCTCCAAAGCTCCCTTTAGTAAGGATTAGAAGCTTTGAAGCTCCTGGTTCGTAGACGTGTTTCGCATCTTTCATCAGAAGAGGCCCAAATGGTAAATAGCCTCTGCTGATGAGCTTCAGGAGCTCCAAGACTCCCTCTCGTAACGATTAGGAGCTTTGTAGCTCCTGAAGGTAAGGTAGGATTGCTCTGATCTCTAATCAGTAGATGCCATGCCTCATTATGAACTCTACTGACAAGAGATCAAGAGCTCCAAGGACTCCTTTTTTAGTTAGTGGCGTTCTCACCATTTAGTAGGATTGCTGATCCTACTAATGAAGTGATCACTTAGTATACGTTTTGAATAAATTGAATTTTTTTTAGAATTTAGTATTTTTTATAGACATCACATGTATATTATAAATACATAAATATATTCTTTAATTCAAAAAATTCAATTCGGTTTTGGGATGGGCATCCCAGCCCCAAGTATTCAATTTTATTCAATTTTTAAAGAATTTTGGGTTGGGATGCCCAGACCAAAACAAGCTTTATATTTTGATGTGTAGATACGTATGTGTGCATCATTGTTGTGTTATATATTATGTTTTTAATGAAAAAAAAATCTGATTCAAAAAAAATTATCACTAATTAGTTGATAATATAAAGAAAAAATAGATAAATTGTATGTTTTGAGAGTATTTATCCACATTCACTCATATGAATTTCATTAAATAGTGTCTTTTTACTCCCAAATTTATTTTGAATTATTGAAATCAAAGAAAAAAAATCAGAAAAATTTCTCGAAATTTTTATTTTCAAAAAAAATTTGGATTTTATATTGAAAACTGACACTGGGAGGACGATAGGGCTGGGATTGGAGATACCCCGCTCACTTGGGAAAAATACGGATCTATATATAATATACACATGTTCATGTAAAAACTTTTTCCCAAAATCCTCAGGAATTAAGGGATTTTTGAATTTTAAGAATTTTTTTCGAATTTTTTCGAAAAAAAAAATATTTTCAGAACAGCCTTAACGGCTAAGATTTAGGAACAATGTTAAGTATCAAAAAGAAAGGAGGTCTGATATAGACAACATATATCGTTGAAGGTTGAAAAAATCTCTAATATTTGAGCCCAAAATTTCAAATTTTAATTTTTTGAAAAAAGAGGCCACCCGTATGTACGTTTATTTGAGAGGAGGAGGATTATATTTTTGAAAGGGTGAAACATTATGAATATGTTAATTATATAATAATATGTATTATTATAAAAAAAGAAAAAATAAAGCACGTTAAAATTTTTCTTTCTTGATTTTTTACAAAATCTACTTAGAATTATGCAAAATATGACTAAATAATTATAAATTTCAAGTTAAATTTTAATTTTGATAAATAATTTAAATTTCAAAATATCAAGTTCAGTTCGACTATGTATGTAGTAATTCCTCAATAAAGTGCCAAAACCCCATTAAAATATATGAACATTTTCAACATTTTAATGTTTTTATTTAAAAATTTGATGGAATATGAGCTTCAAACAATTATTATGTAAATAAAAATAATTAAATATATGTATTTATTCGTATTACAACCGTAGTAAGTCGATTCTTCCTTTCTTCTACTGAGATTTGAATTTGATTTCGAATTGTAAAGAGATTCAAAGGGAAAATACTAGCGGATAAAAACTACCTCCATGAAAGGGTCATAATGGACTCAAGTTGTATTTTTTGATATTTTTTACTTTATACTAAAAATAAGGTTCTAAATTCTGAAGTTTACATGATCCTCTCGTGTGCACCCTTAATGATTGGAAATAAGACAAAAAAATTCCTAATATAAAACTTATACTTAAGATAAAATTAAAATTCGAAAATATCTCTATATTAATTTTAGTATAAAGTATAAATAAAATTGAATAGCAATTTTTGACATTATCTGATATATTAAAGAGAATAGTGATTTCATATAATACATTCAGAATTTACGATATTTAAGGGTGCACACGAGAGGATCATGTAAACTTCAGAATTTAGAACCTTATTTTTAGGCATTATCTTGGCTACCTATTTAGGCTCGAAAAGCAAAAAATATCAAAAAATACAACTTGACTCCATTATGACCCTTTCATGGAGGTAGTTTTTATCCGCTAGTATTTTCCCTTTGAATCTCTTTACAATTCGAAATCAAATTCAAATCTCAGTAGAAGAAAGGAAGAATCGACTTACTACGGTTGTAATACGAATAAATACATATATTTAATTATTTTTATTTACATAATAATTGTTTGAAGCTCATATTCCATCAAATTTTTAAATAAAAACATTAAAATGTTGAAAATGTTCATATATTTTAATGGGGTTTTGGCACTTTATTGAGGAATTACTACATACATAGTCGAACTGAACTTGATATTTTGAAATTTAAATTATTTATCAAAATTAAAATTTAACTTGAAATTTATAATTATTTAGTCATATTTTGCATAATTCTAAGTAGATTTTGTAAAAAATCAAGAAAGAAAAATTTTAACGTGCTTTATTTTTTCTTTTTTATAATAATACATATTATTATATAATTAACATATTCATAATGTTTCACCCTTTCAAAAATATAATCCTCCTCCTCTCAAATAAACGTACATACGGGTGGCCTCTTTTTTCAAAAAATTAAAATTTGAAATTTTGGGCTCAAATATTAGAGATTTTTTCAACCTTCAACGATATATGTTGTCTATATCAGACCTCCTTTCTTTTTGATACTTAACATTGTTCCTAAATCTTAGCCGTTAAGGCTGTTCTGAAAATATTTTTTTTTTCGAAAAAATTCGAAAAAAATTCTTAAAATTCAAAAATCCCTTAATTCCTGAGGATTTTGGGAAAAAGTTTTTACATGAACATGTGTATATTATATGAAGTATATTGATAAGGTAAAAATCAAATTTTATTGCATATTCATCGAGAAAATAAACTAACGAATCCCTCAAAATTGAGAGGGTAATCCTCCTCCTCTCAAATAGAGAGAGGGTCAAAGTTGCTATTTGTCACTTTTCCACAAGAATATAATGGGGAAAAAGTTATCATATAGTTGATCTCATTCACTGAGGTGAGAGATGCATGTAGTGTAATCTGATAAACAGCGTGATTGCTGCTCTAAGTACTAGGTTCGTGACACATTGCATTCATTTTTCTCTTTTTTATTGACGTAAACTATTCAATTTTTGTGTTCTCCATTCAAATTTCAGAATTTTTTTTGCAGATTTCACGCTACATTCGAAGTTACCTTTTGTAACAACCACCACTGCCTACGAAAGATGAAAGTGTGTCACGATTTCACCCGGAAATCCGACGGTTGTTTAAGAGTATGCACTTTTGTCACCTACTCCTCTCAAATAAATGTACATACGGGTGCACCCTTAATTTCAGATATTTTATCACCAAAATTATCTGAAAATAAACAGAATCTTTAGATACATATATAGTGATACATACATTTTTACAAATAAGGGTTTCGTTTTGCTAAAATTGTCACTTTTATAGCATATTTATTTTTGGATATTTTGCGAAACCAAAAAAAAATAAAAAACTATGATATACAATGTGTGTGTAAAGAAAATACTTTATTTACTAGTTAAAAAATCATTTGGTATTGATCAAGTTATTTTTTCTGGATAAGATATTATATGGATAATTGGATAGAAAATACAATTATATAATCTTGTACCTGGTTTAATTAAGCTAATTGTCATCAGAAACTTGTAATTTTTATGAATTTCAGATTTTCTTTTCATTACTGCTTTTCTTAATAGGTCAAGTTCTTATTTACGTTATAAAGTATGATATTTACAAATATCAAGTTATCATGTTTTTTGAGAAATTATGAGAAACAAACAAAAATGAAAAAGATAGGAATAGCAATGAATAGTGATGTGGGTATAGAAAATGTAAGAGATATGAATGCAAAGCAATCAGTATTTAGGATATTGACCATAGATTTCGAAAAAAAATGCTGCATATTGAGCGAAAACTATGATTATATTATAAGGCTGTCATTTAAAGCATAATGAAACTATTCCCTTTTCATTTTAATCGAATAAGATAGTAAAGATTTTTGAATTAGCTAGAAACTGATGAGATGTTTTCACAAATCAGATTTTTAATCTCTATAATGCATAATTCACTCAATATCTCAATTTTGATATTGCGAGATATTTTTGCTATCGGTTTCGCAATTTTGACACAATAGCAAGAGGGTTCTATAAGCATTATTATCAACGTAGAATCTGAATATCATATCAGAAAATGTCGCAAATCTGACATTTACCCGACAAAATAGCAAAAATAATTGAATACTTTTCGCAAAAACTTTAAAAATCGATAAAAATATGAAATATAGATATTAAAGAGACTTTTTATATAATATTCATAAAGATTTTCCAAAAATATGATACCGCAAAATTAAAAAAGTGACGTCTTGAGTGGAGTCAAAGGTCGAAATTGCTAGCTAAATGTTTTTTTTAGCGAAATTGCGTATTGTACGTTTTTTTCGCAAAACGAAACCCTTATTACAAATAATGAAGCAAGCAAATATTTCTGAACGAAGGTCGTGAGTTTTTGAATGAATATCCAAAAATTGATAGAAAATTCTTCTAATTCTCAAAATTTATTTATTCACTAAATCCATCCAAATGTTTATAGTACAATAATATTATATTTTTGTAGAGCAAATCGTTTCAAAGAGTTTCTATTTTTCTTTGATTTTATGCATTTTTACAAAGAACATTTCATTTTTCTAAAACGCTAGAAGCCGATTTATTGAAATATTTCAAAACTACGCACAAAATTCAGTCAAACACAAATCATATTAATCATGATAATAATCTTTGTTGTACAATTTTATGCATTTCTCTTTTGAGATAAAATAATTGTGTGAGAATTCCTTTTTCCTACAGATTATTATCATCCCAATATTATCATTCTAATTTCAAATTATTAAATTTTTGCAATCGAAATTTTTTTTTCTCAACAATTTATAAATGAGTGAACATAGAGATGTTATTGAGTACTTAAGTCAGATCGGATTAGTATTCAATCAAGTCATAGCCCATGGTAGCTATGGTATTGTCTTTCTTGTGTACTCCATTCAATACCAATCATATTTTGCAGTTAAACAGGTACCAGAAAAAATGTTCCATGAACAAGAAGTTAGATGCTTGATGGAACTCGATGATATTCGCATTGTTTATCTTTACAAATACTTTAAAATCGATGATTGCTATTATTTTGTCATGGAATACTGCCCTAATGATTTAGAACACTTTCTCAATACAAAGAAAATGATCAGCGAAGAAGTGCAACGTAATATTATGAAGGAAGTATTACTCTCCGTCAAAGTTTGTCATGATAATCATATCGCTCACAGAGACATCAAGCCAAGTAACTTCCTAATCGATAAATATGGACGTATACGACTTTCTGATTTCGGCCTTTCTACCTTCCAGACTTACGATGAAAAATGTTCAGAATATGTCGGAACTCACTTTTTCATGGCTCCAGAAATATACGCACATAAAAAAGATGGAAGCTCATATAATCCAATTCTCTCAGATATTTGGGCAATTGGCGTTACACTTTATTTTATAGCCACACGTAGGTTTCCATTTCAATCATACGACTTTAATACCCTACAGGAGCAGATCATGTCCGCACAGTACGATGAGAAACTCATACCTGATTTGAGATTAAGGTTTATAATATCTAATTGTTTACAGGTTGATCCTCTCAGGAGACCATCCATAAGTGAAATCCTTCTAATGCCGTATTTCTCAAAGCTGCCTCAGTCAAGAAGTTGCAAGGTTCCAAAAGGCCAAGCAATTTTCCAGCCAAGAACTAAGCAGTCTATCGATAAATCCAAGAGAAATTCCATGTTTGTTTACCGTAATTGCATTGTTCGTTCTCAATCAAACAATGGAAATCTAAATATGATTGCGGCGGCAAACGTCGATATGGAGGATTTAATATAGTTTAATAGATCATTTGTTATTTTTGCTATTCATTTATGTTTGAATAAATTTGTTTTTTCTATCCAAAATTAATTTCTTGATTTTTTCCATATTGCATATTGAAAACTCTTTTATTCCAACAACTAAGCCTTTTTACTATAGCAGTACCTAATGTTACAAATCAAAATTATTCATTGGATTGCTAAAGTTTGTTCAAATGGCCAAATTTCAAATTCGCTTCAAAAAATAAGTTTGCAGACAGTTTCTCAATAGTTTATGCAACTTTCCAATATGATCCTTTCCTTCAATTTTTGTAAGTTGATAATTCTCATGCATAAAGCTAAATTTGGCCTAATAACTCCTAGTTGTTTAATATTAAGCTTACCATACATCAATAACGGGAACCTTCAAAATTGAGTAATGAAATTTATACAACAGCATTAACATAGGATGGTTTGATACATATAAAAAGGCTAGCAATGCCCAAACGATATACTAAAAGACAATGAATCAGGAACTTATTCGTTCATTTATTTTTTGTTCCGTTTTAATTATCAAATTGTGATAAAAATTGATAAAGATTCGGGAAATATATAAAATTTGTGAAAATTCCTTGTTATATACCATTTATTACTAATTTAGCTAATCTCATATATGTTTTAACAAAAAAAAGATAAAGTTTCCATAATAAACAAACAAATTTTTTTTAACATTACCAGAGTTTTTCAAGCTCTAGTGGTTTTCTTGGTAAATTAGTTTTAGGCGAATTAAGGGTAGCTGCAACTTCGCCTTTTCCTTTATAAATATTAACAGGGCTAATAGATTGAATTGAATCATCGATTTTTATTGGAGCATCCATGAACTGAGACCTTAATTGTTCTTCATTCCTTATCAATGTTGTATCTGTCACTCGTGTATAGAAAATGACTTCATCATCTTTCGACATTTCAACTGGTCTTCTCACTTTTTTAATTTGTTTCTTTTTATGACCATGAGTAGTAACAGAAATGTTCGACTGAATAAACAATGGTACTTTCGGACTCGTGTACCCTCTTGGTGACTGCTTAGGGAGTTGTTCTGTAATTCTTGGGCTTTGGTCTGATTCTGGAATTTCTGCAGTTGAAAAGAAAAGTGGTGTTGAATTTGACATCGGGAAACTATCATCGTTTAGCTTTGATGCCCTCTTCTTCTTCCTTCTTCTTGGCGTTGTTTGGTTTTCATATTTCTCCACAAGCTTAGGCTTTTCTGGCTCAGGTTGTATGTCCATATGAACAGGCGTTGCGTAAGAAAGAGATTTCGGAGTTTCTTTTTCTTTTTCACTTTCCATTTTTGGTAAAATTTCTGATTCGGAATAGATTGAATTTGCTGAAACTTCTGATGGTTCTTCTTTTGGTTTGCGATTTTCGTCTTGGCTTTCGTATTGTATTCTTCCAGTAGAGACTTCCATTGCCTCTTGAGATACTGATGCTTCAGGTGTTTCTTCTTCTGCTTTTGGAGTTTCTTCGATGATTTCGTTGAGAGAAATATTTTCTCCAGAAGAATTAAGAGAAGAAGGTTCAATAAAATCAACAGAAGATTCGTATTTCCTTGCGACATTTGATTGGAATGATAAATCAGAATCGACATCTTCCTCTTCTTTATCATTTTTAATACTTTCAGTTGATGGAATTTCTTCTTGTTGATCATTAATTGGCTGGAATTTGACTGCTTTTTCATGAAGATCTTCTGGCTTTTCTTCTTCTTCATTTGGAATTTGTGAATTTTCATCTTTTGGTTTATTATCTTCTTCTTCGGATTTAATTTCTTCTTCAGCTGGATTTTGTGATTGATCTTCTTTCTTTTCATCCAATTCATTTTCAGGTTTAGATTCTTCTTCTATTGGTGTTTCACTTACATGTGAATTTTCATCTTTTGGCTTTTCTTCATCTTCATTATCTATATTTTGTGTCTCTTGATGATCAATATCGTTTTCTTGTGGTGTTACACTTTCTTCTTTTGGTTTTTCATTAGAATCACTTAAAGAGCTTTCTGATTTAGATTCTTCCTCCGTTAGCTTTTGTTCATCATCATGATTAATTTCTTCTACTTTAGGTAGTTCTTCTCTGCTGGGTGAAACATTTTGCTTTTCTTCTTCTTTTTGATTTTCGTTTTGAATTTCATTTGGTTCTTCTTCTTCATCAGAAGACTTTTCTTTATCTTCCTCCTTAGAAGATTCCTCTTTAACTGAACTCTTAGATGAGTTTGCTTCTAATTTTTGCTCTTCTTCTTCAAAACTTGTATCATGTTTCTCTGCTTCTTTCGGAGGTTCTGGAACTTCTTCCTTCAATTGATCATTTATATTTTCAGGGTTCGTAGGAAGTTCTTTATCATTAATTTCATTATTTGGTTCTTCAAAATCATCGCGTTCAGAATCAATTTTAACAGAATCAAATGATTTATCCTTTTCTGATTCTTTTTCATTTTCTTTCGGTTGTTCATTAGATTTTTCTTTTTCATCATCAGAATGAATTGAATCAATGCTAACAGATGAATCCGATTCTTCTTCATTATTTTGAGGCTCTGTATTCGGTTCAAGTTTATCCTTGATTGCATTTTGAATTGAAAGTTCTGAAGAAGGAGTTCCAGTGCTACTGGAAAGTTCTTTTTCATCAATTTGATTAATTGATTGATTTTGTTTATTTGGACTCTCAGAAATCATTGAAATTGTGTTGCTTTGGATATTAAATATAGAACTTGGGACTTCTGTTCCACTTTCACTCAACGGTTCAATATCAGAACTACTTTCTTTATCAGATGATTTCTTTTCTTCACTTTGTGGTTCATCTCTTTTGTCAATAAAATTGCTATCATCTTTCTGTTTTTCTTCGTTATCACTACTATTTGAGTTTTCTTTTTCAGTTGATGATTCATCTGTTTTATCTTCAATTTTAACATCTTTGTCGTCCTTTGGTGGTTCGTTGGATTCAGATTGTTTATCATGACTAGTTTCATCTTTAGGTTTTTCTTCTTCAATTGGAATTTCTTTATCTGATATTTTATCATCAGAAATATCTTTTTCTTCTAACATAGAGTTTTGATCATTTGAATCGTTTTTATTAGAGTTATCATCTACTAAAGGTTGAAGCAATGAAGCAAGAGGAGGATTTTCTTTTTCTTGTTTCTCATCATTTGTTGGTGATTCTTTGGTATCTTTCGTCTCTTCGATTTCTTTTGGCATTTCTTTATCATCTTTGTCTGATTTTTCAGTTTGATCAGCTAAAGGCTGAAGAAGTGGAGCAAGAGGAGGATTTTCTTGTTCTTGTTTCTCTTCTATTTCTTTTGGTGATTCTTTATCATTGTTCTCATTAATATTTCTTGGGGATTCCGTATCATTTCTCTCATCAGTTTCTCTTGGTGAATTTTTATCTTCTTTGTCTGATTTTTCTGTCTGTTCGACTAAAGGTGGGAAAAGAACAGCCAGCAGAGGTTTATCTTCTGATTTCTCATCTCTTGGAGATTCTGTTGAAGAAGTATTATCTGTTTCTTTTTCGTTAGGACTTTCTGGTTTTTCTTCTATTTCATTTTTGTCATCTTGTTTAGAAATATCTCTTGGTGATTCTTTTGTTTCATATTTAGAGTTTTGATCAACAATTGGTTGTAAAAGATCATTAAGAAGAGACTTTTCAAGATTTGAATTATCTTCTTTTGGAGATTCTTTTACTGATTCTTTTTCTTTAGGACTTTCAGGTTTTTCTTCTTGTTTAGGAATTTCCTTTGGAGATTCTTTATCTTCGGACTTTGAATTTTGATCAACGATTGGTTGCAAAAGATTAGCAAGAAGAGGTTTTTCTTCATTCAAACTACCTTCCTTTGAATATTCTTTTGGTGTATTTTGATCATTACTTTCTGTTTCTTTTTCATCAGAAATTTCTCGTTTTTCTTCTTGCTTAGGAATTTCTCTTGGGGATTTTTTGTTTTCATCTGGATTTTTATTAACTTGATCGAAAAGAGGCTGCATAAGAAGAGCTAAAACAGGCTTTTCATCATGCTTTTCCTCTTCTTCATTTAATTTCTCATCGGATTTTTCTTCATTTTCCTTATTTCTTGGAGATTCTTTCTCCTTTTCATCACCTTTTTCTCTAGGCTCTTCTTGCTTATTAACAGGAGGTTGAATATAATCAGATAAAGATGGTTTTCCTTCTTGTTTTTCCTCCTCTTCATTGTTTTTATCATCTTGTTTGTTTACAAGAGGTTCAACAAGAGCAGCAAGAAGAGGCTTTTCTTCGGTTTTCTCTTCCTTTGGCAATTCTTTTTCTTGATCATTTATTGGTAAATCTTCTTGCTTAGTGTTTTTGTCAATTAAAGGTTGGAGAAGAGGAACAAAAGGAGGACTTTCTTTTTCATTTCTTGGTGATTCTTTGCTTTCTGTTGCTTGGACATCGATATCTTGTTTTTCTCCTTCTGATTTTGATGGAGATTTATTTTCGAAAATTGTTCCTTGAGAAATAATTGAGTTTCTAAGTGGATTTGGCTCTTTCTCGAAAGAAGCAACAATTTCAGTTGAAAGATTAGGTTGCTCATGTTTTTCTTGTTCCTTTGCTTGAGATCCAAGTAAAATATTATGCTTTTTATCATCTTCAGAAGTCAAATCTTTCTTTTCTTCTTGTGTTGGAGGATTTTTGATAATGTTTGATAGTGATAATGGTTTTTCTTCATTTTTATCTCCATTTTCAGGATTTGAAGCTGGAATTTCTTTGTTTTCTGGAGTTTCTTCTTTGTTTTCATCAGATTTATTATCATTATTAGGATGTAAAAGTATCATGGAAAGATTTGGTTTTGGAATATCATCATTTGAATCATTCATTGGTGAATCATTGCTATTAGATTCTGATTTAACAGGTTCTTCAGGCATAATTTGGTCTTTTTGTTTGGATTCTTCATTGACCTGGGAATTTGAATTCAATTCTTTTGGAGGTTCATTTGGATGCATAAGGATATCTGAGATAGTTGTATTATGGGGTGTTTCTTCTTGTTTTTCTGGCTGATTATTTGAATTTTGTTCAACCGAAACATTTTGCTTAATTGGAGGAGTTTGAAGTAAATCTGATAATGTAGGAAGGTCATTCTTATCAGATGTTTTATTTTCGTCATTTAATTTATCTGGTTTTGAATCTGTCTTTCCTTGATCAACATCTTTTGTCATCGGATTTTCCTTACCAGTTTTATCATCATTGTTATCGTTTTTACTTGATTCAGCTGGTGATTTTGTAGATTTATTTTGAGAATCAGGATTAATTCCTTCTTTTTCTTGAATTTTATCGACAATTTTATCTAATACACCTGATATGCTAAGTGGTTTATCCTTATTAAGTGGTTCTGTAATACAATTATTTAATTCATCTTGTTTTGGATCAATTTCGTCAGAAGACTCTTCTTCCTCTTCAATATGACTTTTATCTTGAAGAACAGCTGTTGTAGATGGACTCTTCTTATCATTGTCAAAAATATTCAAAATCTTTTGTGCATCCGTATCAGTTTCAATGGCTTCATCAGAACCAAATTCAATAAGATCAGAGTTTTGATTAAGTTCTGGCATTTTCCGAACCGGCGCTGTTTTATTGAAATTATCAAGTACATCTAATTCTTGTCTAGCGCTGCCATTAGAATTATTAGGTGGTACAGAAGCTTCTTTCCTTTCTGGTTCTGGACCTAACTGTTTATTTATTGGATTTTGTGCCCATGGATTATCCGATTTCGAAACTTCTTTAAATTCAGGTGATTTTGGAGTTGCGCTATTATTACCTTTTTCATTACTAGATTCTTCATGCTTATTTTCTGTTTCATGATTTGATAAATTAGAATTTTCTGGGGAAATTAAATTTTCTTTATCAGATTTAACTTGACTGTATTGATCATCAGTTAAACTATAATTTGGTGATTGTTCTGAACCCTGCTTTTGTTTACGAACTCTTCTATGTTTTTTAATTCTATGACTTTTAGAAGGAGTGGCCGGACTTTCTTTATTTTCGCTATCTAATTTATTTTCAGAAGCGGAAACGGGTGAAGTGTTCTTTCTTTCAGGCGAAATTTTATGTTTGGAAGGTGGAGTATCAATATGAATTGGTTCTGACTTTTCAGGATTTACAGGTATTGGTTTTTCCATATGTTTTATTTCATCTTTTAGTTTACCTAAAACTTCTTTTGAAATCTTTGCATTTGTTTCATCATCTTCTTCATTTTCAACAGGAGAATTTAGAATGTCAGCAATTTCATTTATATTTTCTTGTGATAAGTACTCTGCTGCATCAGAATCATCAGTTGAAGAAGAAACAAATTTAATTTTTCTTGCATTGGGAGGTGTGGTTGTATTCATGCTAGATAATTTGTCAGATGGAGGTGTTTGTGATTTTGCATATATTGATGTAGGTTGAGTATTAAGATATAAAGATGGTAAATCATTTGCAACGAGATTATAATGTGATTTTTCTTGCTCATCTTTCTGACGAGCATTTCTTTTAACTTCTTGTATCTTCTTATTTACAATTCTTTCTAACGCTTTTTGATCTGAATCATTAATGTCAGCAACTTTATTTGCCTTCTTTATATTAATTCTTGGATGATCACTTTCCATTGAAGCCGTAGAATCTATATCTGGAGATGGATAAAATAGATTTTTATTAGATTTTGGAGAATTATTTACATTCGCTGGTTTAGTTGTCGGAGAAGAATTGTAAAATTGTGCAATATCAGGAGGAACATATCTTCTCGATGTTTTTGGAGTTTTTGAAGGAGAATTATATTTTTTATTTTTTTCTGCTTCTCTAGCTGTAATCAAACCATATATTTCATTAGAAACGGTATCGGCAAATTGACATTGTGCTTTCTTGTTTTTCTTATGTCGCGCTAATCTTGGAACTTCATCCGGTCGAGATGTGTTAATTGTTGGCCTTAAACCAGCAAGATTTTCATAATGCATTCTATAATATCTCTCTTGCGCTTCGAGGTCTAAGAGAGGGCTTACAACTCTCTCATTCCGCCTCATAAACAATAAAAATAATTTTTTTATAACAAATTGTTATTGCTCTAGTGTCAAAATACAGCTTCATTTTCTTATAAATTTCTGATATATTAGAATTTCTGAGTTATACTCAATCTGATTATCAAATATAAGCACATTATCAGATAATAACGTTTTTATAATTTTTAAATGAGTTCATTTTTTTATATATAAGTCTTCCCTCTACTAATCAATATGCCTAAGCTTTCGATTCTTAATATTTTTGTGCTTCATTTTGTTTTACACTTGTGAATTTTTATTAATTTATGTGTTCCTGGGACAATCCTGGCTAGAGACGTAAAATAATGGCTAGATATAAATACACAAATAGATAAATCAGCCATTTAAAACATCCAAGAAAAATATCGTTTCCATCAATTTGGCTGAGGCAGGAACTATAACGAACCAAATGCTATTTTACTAGTGACTCATTATGCAGCTCAAACCTAAATGGAAATCATCATTAAATCAATAACGGTCGAAAAATCAGATAATTTCTCGAAAATCGGCTCAATTTACTTCTGAACCTTTTTGTTCTCGGCAGAAGACTCCCAAAATCACAGTTTATAGAATATTATGAAATGTGGGTATAAAGGTATCGTAAACTGTGATAAATTTCATAAAAAATATTTTATTTACAATCATTAACAATGATTAGAAAACGCAAAATAATTTGATGGTCGCACATTTGAAATAAATCTCAGAAAAATTTTATATTTCAAATTAATTCGTTTTATTATATAAGTTGATTATTAAAATAATTATTTTTTGAAAAGTGGATTGCCACGTACACATTGAATTATTTGTGATAATTCTGATAATTCTTTCTCTCAGTTATCCCAAATTGGTTAATTTCAAACATCTTTATTATTAAATTTTATCCTTAAATTTTACTGTAATCAGAAATTTCAAAACAATTGGAATGCGAAGTCGGAAATCTTACTATAGACGGCCATCCAGCAGTCTTGATTATTATTTTCTAATCGCATCTCTCTTGGCAGTTGTAGCATGGTCTCAGTTCAAAAGTTACAAGATTCAAGCTGTAAGCGAAAACCAAATAGATAACGTATGCAAAAATACAAAAGTTACTTTGCAGCAATACCACAATAAAGTTTGTTTTTCTCTTAGTTTAGAGACAGCCGCACCATTTCCAACAATAGAACATTATCGATTAATCACAGTCGAATTTGAAAATAACAAATATTTTGAACGCCTAAATTCTTCGTCCTTTACTGATATCGAAGGCATATACCCAGATACATCTTTTTGCATATATCATCATTTTCCAGATGAATATAAAGTTACGACCTATTGTGAATTTGATATCATCGATCAGACTATATTCGACTTCAAAGAGCTTGATCTTACTATGGATAATGAAACAAATATACGTGTCGATGATTCTACTATGTTCGTAGCGTCAGATTTTTGCGTTGACAGAAATGATAATGTAATTATAAATACAAAAAGCGAGGCAAACTCAAGACCAGTGTTATTATCAGATTCTAAGGCAATGTTACTCAATTATCAGTCTCCAGAGACTACAAAAACATGGCCTGTTGAAGATTGGACGACAGTTTTTGTTACACCACCAAATTCGAAGCCATGGCTCTCGACAATTAGCTCATTACTACCATTATGGAAAGGAAATGTTATGGTAGATACAGGTGTGAAGATAAGGAGGTTCCTTGTGCCTCAAAAAGATCAAGAAACATATGATAGAATTGTTCCAAATTATCCACAATTTTATTCCGATCATTGTTACAAATTCGGAGTTTTTCCTAAGATTCAAAACACGAAAGAAGATGAATACTTCGAATTTATATACAACTTAACTGTAAGCTATGATGATTACGTAATAAAAAGCTTCAGAGATCGAATGACAAAATCTTCATCGTCTAATAATCTTATTGTTGTCGACGAATACTTTGAATCCGACTACAAAGATATTCTTGATCTCGATGGTTTCGATGTAAAAGTAATCGACGATACTATGCCGGTTCATGAAATCGCAGATCTTATTCATAGCTGCAAATATTATATTTGCTCTCATTTGACCACTGCTGTCTTTAGTATCTTCTTAAGAGAGGACTCAACTCTTATAGAAAGAAAGATTAAAGGTGCAGGTAATTTAAATCAAGCACAAATGCTTGCAAAGCATGTAGGATGTAAGTACATAGAAATAGGCCACAAATCTTATAGTATTACTCCTTCTTTACGAGAATATTATCACTTCGATATTTCATATGAAAAAACAAACTATTACAAAGAAGCTTTGAACGCTATCTTGAATAATCAATAGAGTGTTATGTTTATATTATACATATTGTTTATAGAATAAATTTTTTGTTGGACATTTTTACATTTTTCCTCTACTAATATTTCATACTATCTGAAGTATATTCACCGATCAAATAACAATGATTTTCTATAGATATTTAATGTACGTTTAGAAATTTTGTCATTTTTTTTTCAAAATTTTTTAGGACAGAAAATTTTTTTTATAAATAGCCAGAGCAAGTTCAATCCTTTGAGTAAAATAGTTGTGTCTTATCTTGGTGAGTAGTTTCAAGTAGAAATCTATTCATTATTCGAAAATTGTGGTAAAATAATTTTGTTTTTCACTTCATTTTTCTAAAATGGATGCTAATCTTGCTCATAACATTAAAATTAACACAGATGCTGTCAAAAGACTAATTAAAGAAAAGAGAGATTATGAAGAAGAAGCAGCAACTGCTGCTCAGAATCTCCAAAACTCACAATTCGATCATAACTCATACGAGTATAAGCAACTTATTGAATTAGATAACGAAGCACGCAAAGTATCTTCCTATATGGAAAAAAAATTAAAGACGTTTGTTGATAAGCTTCAGCAGTCTTTGAATGCTGCAAATGGTTATCAAGACCAACCAGAATACATTGAAGCAATGAATGTATTAAAAGAGTTATAAATGTTGAATAAACTAATATTATTATATATTATTCACATATTTTAATGTTTATATCATTCGTACATATTCAAAAGTTCTATAATTATATATAAACATTAACCAGAACTCTAAAAGCAATATATTTATTAGGTTATGTGAAAAATCTCATTATTTTATCTTAAATTGTTATTGAAAGGATATAATTTTCAATTCATAGTTATAAAGAATCTAAGTGATACCAACATACGCCATTTGAAGCATATTTTAATTTTGAATAAATATCAAATCTGTGTGTTTGAGAGAATTCGCAAGATATCCACTTTTACAAAGGACACTGATTAATTATTTACCAATTTATCCATCCGAGATTTTCTTTACAAACTCCGAGCAAAAAAAAGAGAGTTTACTTTTTGATTGAATTTTGAAGATGCAATCTGGTGGGAGAAGTAAGCGATACCTCCCTTCAGATAGCAAAATAGAGTACAGCAATGGTGATGCTCTTCGAAGGAGTAACAAATCATCCGATTCGCAAAAGTCTAATAATCAGAAAGATAAAAGTCCACAGATTCCGAAACAATATGATATGGAAGTATCTTCTGACTCAGAAAGCATACTCGAAAGGAAGCCAAAACCTCCTGTTTTTGAATCACAAGATTCATATGCACTTTCTACCCAAGGAAGCGAACATGAAAATGCAGAAGACGAAAGCGAAGAGAATATAAATAAAGTTGATGATAGCAATTACCTTTCAGTTTCGTCAATTTCTGAAGCATTTAATGAATCAATTTCTGCAAGCAAGAAAAACGAGGAAAGTATCGAAGAGGAAATCCAAAAACCAATTGAAATCAAAGATACCAAAGCAGCCACATCTAGAAAACGAAGACAACCACACAGATTACCTGATGATGCAAGATTATACAAAAAATTCTCAAAAACCACTATGCAATATAAAAACGATCGACCAAAAAGTGTACCGAAGCAATCTCCTCCAAAACCTCCGGCAAATAATAATAATTTTGAAACTCCACGCGTAAACAGACGAGCTTCGCCGTTAAAAGTTCAACTTAAGCCAATACCAGACGAATTATTGCAATTGCATCAGAACAATTCCGTTAAAAAAGAAGTTCCAAAACAAAATCCAAAAATTTCACCGGCAAAAACAAATTCTCCTCAAATACAAAATAAAAAACCAGCAAATACAGATAATAAACCTACAAATCCCACTCAAATTTCAAATAATAATAAAATTCCAAATAATCCATCGCCAAAGCCAGTTCCGAAAGAATCTCAAATACCTGTGAAGTCTCCAAGACATAATTCTCCACAAAAAGTTCCAAATTCTCCTTCAAAAATTCCAACTCAAAATCGAACGAAATCTCCTGTGAAACAACCTCCGAAATCCCTACAAAACAAATCTCCTTCAAAAACTCCACAAAACAAAGAAAATCCAAAAAGTCAAAATAATGAAATTCAAAAATCTAATTCAGATATTCCTAAAAAGCAAAATGAAGACTCTTTGATAAGCTCTCCGCCAACTCCTACAGAAATTCCTCAAATCCGCAAGCGAAAAAAGTCAATTTCTCCAATTGTTCTTCCCCAACATATTTCTAGCCCTCCAAAGTGCGATTACAAGAACTTATCACCCGAATATCTACAATTACTTGCTCAAAAAGAGTTGTTACAGCGAGAAATTTCAAATCTTGAAATTCAAAATTCAGAATTTGCGACGATGACTAACGAAGAGATCACAATTGTTACGAGATTCCAAGGTATAGTGTTCGAACAAGTCAATTCCTACCTGTTTAGCGTCACAACGGCAGTTAACGAACATAATCAGAGAATTAAAAAAGAAATTGAAGATTTGAGGACAATTAATGACGAGTTAACACGTATTTCTAGTGAGAAATCATTCATGACCGTCAAATTCTCTAATGACAGAATAAGGAGGGATATGAGATCCATATTAAACTCCTCTAAAAAAGCTCAAAAAGATATTGAAAATTTGAATTCAATTTCGACGGTTTTGACATCGAAAAAATCGATAAAAGCCGAAGCTGAAGATCTTACGAATGAAATGCTTGCATTGCAGACGGAAATAGATTCCATGAAAGCAAGGAATGAGCAGCTTTCAATCGAAGAAAAACCTGAAACAGAAGATTTGTCATTCCTAGAAAATTCTTTAGAAAAATACCAAGAAAATTTACAAAATTTACCAAAAAGTGACACTGTATTTCCGATCACACAAGAAATACTTTATCAAAGGGAGGAATTTGATGAGAAGATGATGATTATGGAGAGCATGGCCGACATCCAGAAATCATTTTATAATGTAACAAATGACGAAGAAAAAGAAAATCTAAAAGAAGAATACAACAATTTGTTGTCAAAATTAAACGGCCAAACTGACAGTTCTCTGTACAACTCATTGAAGTTTGAGTCTAAGAGATTTAAAGACAACTTCAGTCAGCAACAGATTCTAACTAAAACAGGGAATTTGTTGGAACAAAAACTCTTAGAAAATCAGTTGATATTGGATGATTTAGTTTTGGATTTACAAAAAAGTGATATGAAAAGTGACACAAATGAATTGGTCGAAGAGATTGTAGAGGATTTGAAGCAGAAATATTCATTAAAGAATATTGTTACTTATTTGGAAAGAAATTTCCCAGAAACAAAAGAAAAATCTACTCCATTGGAGAAAGTGAAACTTGCAAGGCAGATTGTTCAAAATGGGAACGCTGCAAGAAAACAGCTACTTTAGTTTATATATGTTTTTTTATTGTTTTGTATTATTTTAAACAAAATCTTTCAACATTCATTTTTTCCTTTTAATTTAGCTGGAGGTAGTTCAGAGATAATACATTTTGAACCTCCATTACCAGTATTTTTCTAAAAATTTAATCAAAAGACGAGAATTTCATTCAATATTGAAAATAACTTTTATTAATTCTGTTTATGAACATTATACCAATGATAATTTGGGCATGACATCATGATTGTTATACTGTATCTCTTGAGCCACCATTTCTATAGAAAATATAAATCTTTACATCAAGTGTAAATTTGTTTACTATAGTTAATGGTATGATTGTTTATCAAATTATTTTGATGATTGCATATAAAATTTTATATTTATTGTAAAGTTCTCAAATCTTCATTTTTTATAAGGGATTATCCTCCAATTTTTAATATGTGTACAAACAGATAACTATGGTGTTACATATTCTGATGACTGGAGTTCAGTAAATTTTGTTCCGAAGACCCTTTCTGGTGCTTATGTTTTTCCACAATTATGCACAACTATTCCTGCACTTCCTGGTGAAGAGATATATGGAAGCAGCAAGTTTCATCTCTGCAAGGATGCCCTTACATCCATTAGTTTTGAAAAAGGAAGTTTATTAACATCGATCTCAAAATTTTGTTTTGCTAATTCCTCTCTTGAAACAGTAGACATGCATGAGTGTACCCAACTCACATTTTTGAACTATGCCATATTCTATAAATGCAAATATCTTCGATCGATTCAACTTCCACCAAATTTGAAACGAATTGGTTCTGCTTGTTTTCATGAAACAGAAAGCCTAACACAAATTAGTTTACCTGATACAGTCACAACAATTGATGGATACACAAATATTGGAAGAGTATTTGGTAATAGTGCTCTTAGTCAAATAACTATAACAAGTAACTCTAATTTGAATTATATAGGATCTGATGTTTTTGCCAATTGCAAACTTACTTTCTTTTTCTTCCCAAGGAAATTGACTCAAGTCGATCCTTCATGCTTTTCTGGCTGCCCATTGAGTGAGATAGTTATCGATGAGGAAAATCCTTCCTATAAGACAGATGGGAAAATAATTTATTCAGGCAAAAATAACAATACATTATTTTTTGTTTCTTCTACTAAAACAGGATCGTTTACAGTTCCATCATATGTGAGTAATGTCGGAAATTCTGCTATGAGAGGAGGAAGTCTTAGTGAAATTATCATGCTTGATAATGTCAAAACTCTAACATCATGGTGTGTCTCAGGAAACCCAATAACAACATTCACGTTCCCAATCGATGTTACAACAGTTCCTTCTTCCATGTTCAATGGATGCAAACAGCTCACAACTGTGTACTTTACTAATAACATTACAAAAATATTAAACAACGCCTTTTATTATTGTTCACTTCTCAAAAATGTTGAGTTACCACCAAATTTAACCGAATTAGGGAATGAGGCCTTTTATAACTGTCAATCTTTGAAAAGTATTTCATTACCAGAAAGTTTAGAAACACTTGGAAATGCAGTTTTTGGATTGGTTAGAGATATTGTTATTACTTCTCAGAATCCCAATATCGTTGTTGATGAATACACGATGTATCGAGATAACAACCAAACACTATTTACATACCTTGGTTCCAATCAAAATTACAATATCACAATAAGATCAAGTTGTAACCAAATTGCAGCTAAAACATTTTTGGAGAAAAATCTTCAGAATGTATACTTTAGTAACAATGACAATATGACCATTGGAGCTAATGCGTTCGAATCATCTAAAATTAAGTCAATTGTAATGCCTCCTGGTTTGAATTTCATTGATATAAATGCATTCAAATTATGTAGAAATCTTGAAAATGTCACATTCCTTGGTAATCAATTGAAATCAATACCAGATTATTGTTTTTATAAAAACTTCAATCTAAAATATATTAAATTACCAACATCGATTGAATCCATCTGAAACTACGCTTTCCAAGAATGTACACTTCTTGGTGATATCGGAATCTCATCTCTAAATGCACTGACTTCTATTGGTATTTCAGCATTCATGTCAAGTGGTCTCACAACAGCAAACCTTGCTAGCTCTGTCCAGACCATCGGTTCTAGTGCATTCAGTTCCAGCAGTATCACAGACTTAACTATTGGCTGCAATATTCCCCAATATATGTGTCAATCCTGCACATCTCTGACTACATTAGAAATGCTCCCAGGCATTGTTGAGATCAATATATATGCATTCAGTGGCTGTACATCTTTATTAGGATTCACGATTCCGACAACTTTGCAGACTATTGGAAGTTTCTCATTCCAAAATTGTGAAGTTCTGAAAGATGTCAACATGGCAACAAATGGAAATCTTAACAGTGTTGCAGGAGGAAGTTTCCAAAGGTGTTATCGACTGAAAGAAATCAGTCTTTCTCCAATGGAGAAAATTTTCTCATTCTATAACGGAGCCCTAATGAATCGTCAACAAACACAACTCATTGTCTTCATTCCATATAGTGATATTAAAAACTTTGTTGTTCCAAGTGAGATGGAAGTTATCGGAAGTTATGCATTCATGGGAAGTCCAAGGCTTGTACGCGTATTCTTCAGCGGAAGTAGAATCAATCGAATCAACTACCAAGCATTCAAAGATTGTTACAATCTTAATCTTGTATTTTTTGCATCTTCTAATATTGAAGTTTCGTTTGGAACAGAAGTTTTCGTAGGATGTCCAAATTTGAAGAAATGCGGAACATTCTCAGCACCTCCATCTGTTAAAGCTACTCTCTTGGAGCAGGGCATTCCTAGAATTGCTTTTAATGATGAGTGTGATACATCTGTAACATGCAAGATCAGGCCAGATTTCAAGATTTCGCCATCTTACTTATTTCCATTTATAACCATGTCAGTTTAAACATGATAATCTTATTTATTACTAATTGTTAATTTTTTCCCCTTTAAAAACAAATAATGAGAATATTTTTAATTGCGAAACAATAAACTATGTGATGCTATTCTGGGAATGTGAAAACACAGAAAACAAGAATGATTAAAATTTCATTTAATGATAATAGTACAACCAGACAAAATTATCCATCAACTTACTGTACAAAAGAAGAAAACATAGTTCAAAGTTGAATATAATGCCAAATATCAATGTCAAAAAAATTGATTTCAAAATTATTATAAAAAATCATATTAAAATCAGCATGTTATTATGAGTTATATCCATGTTTTACTTCAGAATAAAAAATTAATTATGCGACTTTCTATCATTATAGAAAAAATTTCATGAGTCAAGAATTATCAATCAATCATCAATACATTGCATCTCATATCAGCGATTTTATTGAAGATGGTAAACTATTTGTCGTGTTTGATAAACAAGATATCTTAAAAATTATGGAATTCGGATATTTCTATTATGATGAATTTATTAACCTCCTCAAGCAATCATCTCCTACCATGGATGCAACAGACTTATATATCTACACCAGATGCGCAAATATTTATATCGATAATTGTAAAGATGCTGTTACATTTTTGAAATCATTAAGAAGATACCTGAAAATGGAATTATTTAATGATGTCATTGATATTTTATACAAATGTCAAACGCAAGGATCATCTGGGGAAACTAACAGTGAAAGCCAAGCGAATGATCAAGAAGTTCAATTACTTAAATCTCAAATTCAAAAAAAGGATGAAAAAATTGCTCAATTTATGGAAGAAATTGATAAATTACAGAAAGATATACAAATTAAGGAAACGTCAATTAATCAATCCGGTGAAGAAAACAATAAATTGAAGAATGACATTCGAGCAAAGACAACTTTGATCGATCAAATTAATGAAGAAAACGGTAAAATAAAGAGGGCTATTCAAAGTAAAGATGCACAAAATAATCAAATCAAAGAAGAAAATGATAGATTAAAGAGAGATATTCAAAACAAAGAAACAACAATCAACCAAATTACAGAAGAAAACAGCAATCTAAAAAGAGAACTTCAGGAAAAAGAAGTAATTGTTAATGCTCACAATGAATAAATTAACAATTTAAAGAGAGAAATCCAAAGCAAAGAAACAATAATCAACCAAAGTAAAGAAGAAAACGACAAATTAAAGAGAGATATCCAAAGCAAAGAAACCTTGAATAATCAAATTAATGAAGAAAACAATAGATTAAAGAAAGATTTGCAAAGTAAAGAAGCTATTATTAATAAAAATAATGAAGATATTAACAAAATTAAGAAAGAAATGGAGACATTAAACAACCAAAATGGTGTCGAAATTAACAATTTAAGAAGAGAATTGCAAGAAAAAACAACAATTAATAATCAAATTAATGAAGAAAACAATAGATTAAAGAGAGATATACAAAACAAAGAAGCGCAAAATAATCAAATTAAAGAAGAAAAAAGCAAGTTAATGAATGATATTCAGGCGAAAGAAACAACAATAACTCAGATCCAAAATGAAAACAACAGATTAAGGAATGAATTACAACAAAAGGAAATAACAATTAGCAAATTGAATGAAGAAAACAATAAATTAAAGGATGCAGTCGAACACAAAGAATCTATTATTTCCCAGTTTAATGAAGACAATGAATATCCAAAAGATTTTCAAGTGAAACTTGAGAACCTTAAAAAGTCTAAAGATTTTGAAAGTGCCTACAACTTCCTAGATGAAGTTTCACAGACTGGAAATCAACAATTAATGGCAACACTTGTTCAAGAAAAATTTTGGGAAAGAAAGTTCAAGAATCGCAAAGGAGAGAGAAATGTTCTTCATATTGCATGCGAACGAGGAAATGTCAGACTTGTTCAATCTCTCATTGAAGGTGGTGTTGATAAAAATGTGAAGAATAATGTTGGCAATACACCATTGATTTTTGCATCAACAGAAGGTCAACTTGAAGTAGTCAAATATCTTATTTCAATTAAAGCTAATCAGTTTGCAAAGAATTATTCAGATGAAACAATTCTTCATAGAGCGTGCGCTGAAGGTCATCTTGAAGTTACTGAATATCTGATATCAGTTGGTTGCGACAAAGAAGCTAAGAATAAAAACGGATACACGCCACTCATTTATGCATCTTACAAAGGTCTATTTCCATTGGTTAAATATCTTATCAGTATTAATGCTGATATGGAAGCGCAAGATAACAACGGTGAAACTCCACTTCATAAAGCAGCGTATGAAGGCCATTTTGAAGTAGCCAAATATCTTATCTATTCAGGAGCAAATATTAATTCAAAGAGCAAAAATGAATCTACTCCTTTGATCATTTCATCTCAGCGCGGAAATCTTGAAATTGTTCAACATCTTATTATAAAAGGAGCTAAGGTAGAATCAGTAGATATTAATGGTGATACAGCACTTATTCGAGCGTCAGCAGAAGGTAAACTTGAAGTTGTCAAGCATCTTGTTTCAATTGGAGCAAATAAAGAAGCAAAGAATAAAAACGAATATACTCCGCTCATTTATGCATCATTCCAAGGTCAAATCGAAGTTGTTAAATATCTTATCGCTGAAGGAGCTAATAAAGATGTGAAAGATAATAAAGGAAATGGTCTTCTCAATGGCGCAAAAAGCAACGTCAGAGACTATTTGATTTCAATTGGAGTTAAATAACCATTAATAAGTATATCATGAATATTGCTTGTTTTATGTAAAAATATTTATATCCCATGAATTTAAATCACAATACGACAAAATTAAGATTAATTTTCTTTTGGATTAGCTAATTTGCTATTGAATTGAGACTGCTAATAATTATAATACGAATATGCATAGGTAGCGTATAAAAATATCATAGAATACTTTTGAAATAATGAATTTTTATTTTCATTAATGGCATTAATAAGACAATTCTGATATTTTAAGAAATAAAAACATTAAAATTAAGATCTATTGAGTTTTATTGAAGATGAAATAAAAATATAACAAATAATTTTTTTGAATTAAGCTTCATTATATTCATAATATTCCTCAACTGGAGCAGACTTAGCTGCTTCTCCATGTGACTTAGAATAAAGGTTGTGTTCTAAGTGCATTTTAGAATATTTCTTTGAAAGTTCAATTCTCATTTCAGTTGTGAGTTCTTCGCCATTAGCGTCCATCAAAGGTAAACCAGTTTCATCCCAAGCTGAGAAATAATCTGTCAACATTCTGAAATAGTCAGATGGATGGATAGGAATTCCGTCTTTGACTGTTGGCGGAAGGTTGTTGAATCGATCAAGATCTTCTTGCTTCTTTTGCTGTCTCAGTTCTTCTTCTCTGCGTATTTTTTCGTGACGATTTTGAACTTTTTCAATTAAGTTGGAAGTAGAATCAATAACAAATCCATATGTATCGGAATCGAGTTCTTCAACCATGAAACCTTGTCTTGGCATGATTTCCTCGGAAATGAAATTTAATTCTTTTGTAATGTCTTTAACAGCTAAATCAATGGACTGAACTGGAAGATAATTGATAACATTTCCAACTGGTGGCTGTGAAACATCAATTTGAAGGTTAGATTCAAGATCTCGAATTGAATTTTTAATTTTCTTCTTACTTTCTTCAAGTCTTGTGAATGAAATTGTGAAAGCAGCTGCAGATAATGCTGTAGTTGACTGCTTTCTGATATCAATTCCATATTTGGAAGTACAATTTTGGATAAATCTGATAAAAGTTAATAGTTGTGGCTTTCTGAATGATTCAATATTTCTATCAACCAAATTTACTAAGTCTAGCAACTTTTGAAGAAGAATTGGTACATTATATTGTTCATTAGCAAATTGGTTTGACATTTTCGCAATTTCTTCCTTAAGATGTAATTCATTTTCATTGTATTCGGAAGATGATTCTATTTTTGTTGGTATTTTGCCAACTTTTGCGAAAAATTGTTCAAATTTTGTTGTATAATCCTGTGCGAAGATGAGATCAAGCTTTAGAAGATCTGGTACATTAATGAAATCATTCATTGCAATCATAATTCTTGAAACAACTGGTTCTCTATCAACTTGTTGTTCAATTTTAATGTTATCTATATTAAACAGTAACTTATTTGAATCTTGTTCAACAACCTTAGACGTATGGAATGTTTCTCCCTCAGCATATGCGATTTCTGGAAGGATAAGTTCGAAATGATCTAAATCCAGAAGGAATAATTTTTCAATATGTTTAGTAAATGCTTCAACATCTGGGTACAAGTATTTTTCTTTCGATGGTACTTCTTCAAACGCTTTCTGAATTGATACCTCATCTTTATGAAGAAAGAATTTGTAAATTACATTGAAAGAAAAGCTCTCTGTAAGAATTCTATTAATAATATCAATGTAAATAAGCTTCTTTGCTTGAATTGAGTTTTCGGAAATCGATTTCAGAGTCAAATCTACATAAATTTCAATATCATGGGCAAATGTGGCTGGATTTGTGTCTGCTTTCAGTTCAGTGAGAATGTTCCAATCAATTTTGGTCATTTCTTTGTTGTTTTCCTAATTTCAAAAGTGACAAGAGTTTATTTTTTATATTTTGAATTGAAGGATAAATCAATGCTCAGATGATTTGGAATATGTCATATATTGATAGAAAAGCTATTTCTTAGATCCACCCAGCTTAATAGTTTATATTATGGAGAAACAAGTTTTATCGCATTATGAAGAACTGTTTCTCCAAAGTTATCCTTTGCATTGCTATCAGCACCGTTTAAAATTAGAAGTTCAACAATTCCTTTTCTATTTTCCCATGATTCCCACTAAATAGAGGTCTTTCTATAATTCTCTTTTGCATCGATAACACTACTTTTTAAAATTAGAAGTTCGGCTATTTCTTTGCAATTTTTTGTGGTGCTTCATGAAGAGATGTTTGCCCATAAAAGTTTTTAGCATTGATATCAGAACCATCCAAAATATGAAGTTCGACTGTTTCAATTCTATTATTAGTTGCGGCATAATGATGAACAGTTTGTCTAGAATTTTCTCTATCATAGCACCATTTAGAATTAGAAGCTAGGCCATTTCTTTGGTTAATTTAGAGTGGAGAAAAAGTAAAAAATGACGAAAATCTGGATCAATTTTTTTCACCCTACGTTCCCAACTTCTGGAAAACGGTTTTTCACCCTTATGATCAGTTTCAGACACTTTGGGAGTCTCCCAAACTTTGATATTTTGCATTATGATAGAGAAACGTGTCTAGTTTAACGCACAGTTGTTTTAAAGGCAAATGATGATATCACATGAAATTATCAAATTATCAAATTTTGAAGTACCAGTCCAAAGGGTTAATTAGATCCTACACAGATGTGCGATAGTGAAACATATGTGTTCTTGATTTGAGAAGTCCTACTGATAGAGGTATGAATCTCACAGCTTTGTGTGAGTATGTCTGACACTTGTATAGAGTGGAATATGCGCCGACATATATTATATAATAATATGTAGTTGATAATTATGAAAAAATAGAATTCGATGCGAATGATATTGAAAGTTGTTTTGTAATTTGATATTTTTCTTATATGTGTTAATTAGTAAATGGCTTGTTTGTTGTGATAGTACTGTGAAAAATGAAAGGTATTTTAAATTAAAAAATTGAGATTTTGAGATATCTCTAGAATTAAGAATTTATTATGTATTTGACTTTTATATAACTATGTGTAAAGGATCTCGATGTCTATATGCTTTAAATAAAATTAAATAAAATGAGATAAAAAATTAAAATGGACAAGAAGATATATGGAAATGTAATTTGTATTGTGTTGGTTGTTGGCAAAATGATTTTAATACAGATTTAAGGATTTGGAATGGATTTGAAATTAAATGATTTTAATTCAAGGAGTAATAAGATTTTGAACTGGTTTTTATTTTGTGAATGTAAACTCCTTCCAGAGGATATGTATTAGAAAGATCAATGTCAAACTTTTTGAAAGAATTGTTTTTTTGTTGAGCGATTTTCTCATATTTAATAATATATTTAAGTTGGCGTATCTTACGCCCTTCCAAAAATATGTATTAGAAAGATGACTTATAATTTCATAAATTATTTTGTCCCGACGGTTTGAGCTGTTATCAGAATGGTTGCTTACACAATGCGTCAGCAAAATGTCGGTTGGGGTGCCCTTCTTGGCCTCCTGAGTACTCACCAAGATACCCCCAGCTCCCGCAAAACACCTCCCTTAGGTGCGCATTACCTGACGGCATTATTTTGCAATTATTTCAAATTTTTTAGATGTCTTTTGTTAAAGTTTGTTAACTAAAGACTTGAAAACAGCTTACCGCTTCAAGCTGCTCTCTTCCCGGTTCCTCTGCCGCAATCTTCTGTTTGATTGTGCGCAAAGCTCTCCTCCTTGTGAACTTTGCCTGACAGATACACCTGGGAGACAGCATTCGGACATCTTACCGCTTCAAGCTGCTCTCTTCCCGGTTCCTCTGCCGCAATCTTATGTCTGATTGTGCGCAAAGCTCTCCTCCTTGTGAACCATGGCTGATAGAAAGAACTGAAAGACAGGATAGGAGGAACATGCCGGTTCAAGTTAACTTGCAATATGCTTCTGATTAGTGATTTTAGATGAAAGATTAGCGAAATCGCATTTAATTTGGATAGAAGGATTCAATTTTATGAAGCAGGCTCGTAGAAAAATATGCAGAATAGCACAATCTTTTGCAATCACAACGCGATTGCAAAACTTCGACCGACAAGAGTGTATTGTGCACTCTTGTCGGTCTGCATGTCTCATTCCGGGGAGACATTGTCACTGCATGTCTCCCAGAATGAGACAATCTTCCGCATTCATAACTTGAATGCGGAAGTTTTGACGACAAGAGTGCACAATACACTCTTGTCGATCTAAATGTATCTTACAATCAAAGACACTTTCATACAATCTTTTCGAAGTTAAAAAAAAAATTAATTATTTCTTTCTTTTGTTTATTAAATCGCCTTACTCACGTACTAATCTCTTTTAGAGACTCTATCGAGCTATCCCCACATATAAACCTGTGACAATAATACATATTTACTCTCTTCATATTCTGATCTCATGACACATTATCGCAAAAACTATAATTATACAACACATCTCATAAAGTCTCATTTTAGCCCTATCTAAGCGTTCAAAACCTATTTTCCACACGTAATCTGATTCTTCTGGCTCCGCTGATTCGATTTCTGCTGTCAAATTTATGAGGAGACAATTTGAAAAAAAAAGCAATAAATATTAATTAAAAATAAGTTTTCCATTGGCAATAACTACATGAATTTATGATTGTAGACTTCATTTAAGCGCATGATTTTGAATTTTTAGATATGTAAAATCAGAATGACAAAATAATACAAAAATTGGCCCAATATTAATGAACCGCATTTGAAAACCAATATCAAGAAGAATATATTGGAAACAGTTTGATTTTTTCAAAGTGCATTTAATTATTAATCCTCCTCAAAGAAATTCAATTTTTAAACATTCTTGGATTTATATGTCTTTATGCAATTAAAAGAAAATTTATATCATAAGGAGGATAAAAATATTCAAAATAAAAGAAAACAAAACCCTCTTTTATCATCAAATATGGAAGCTGATGAGTCTTTTCCCCATAGTAATCGATATACATTATTTATTGCTTGTATTTATAATATCCTTATGCTTTGTTTTGCAATTTCGGTAAATTTTTCAGAGTTTTTCAATGTAATAGGAATAATAACGATCTTACATCCTGTCCAGAAATTTCAAATCAAAGAGGAATTTACGATTTCAAAAGAGATTAAAGCATTTGAGTGTAAAAATATAGCAGAAATGAAAGAACTGAATTTTATTAGTCCATATGCTGACAATAAACTTGTCATGTTAATTGGAAAAGGTAGAATTTATGATGTTTTATTTTGTTTTTCAGCAGCTGCCCGAGAATTTACAACTTATTATCATTTCCAGCATGTTTTAGTTACAAGTCAAGGAATTTTCACAGATGATTCTTTTCTCATATTCCCATGGGCCAAGAAAACATATAGTAAATCAAGAATCACTAATTCTCATAGAGAAATCGATCATTTAATACTTGGATCAATTCATTTTGGTCCTTGGGGCCATTTTATAAGTGACTCACCTATGGCAGGTTTACTATACCTTCCAAAAGATATTGTTAAGAAGTCAAAGCTTGCAATAATGGGTAATCAAGGGTATGTTAGAAGAAACTTGGATGAACTTGGATTCCAAGATGTTCCATTACATCATTTATCATGGAGTTTTGAACTCGTCCACAATTTATACGTCTTATCACCCCAAGATCGGCCGAATGGGCAAGTTCATTTCAATTGTGAATTAAGAGATCACATTTTCAAATTATATAATTTATCAGATATCATTCCTAATTATGGTGTCATTACAAATAGACCATATGGAAGAGCAAGACATGTAACTAATATCCAAGAACTCATAGTTGTTGTAAAAAATCATTTCATGAATATAAGATGGGAGTTTCATGATGATTCACAATTAGGTTCGATAAAATCATGTGTTCAAGTATTGGCAGGAGCAAAATATTTTATAACTCCACCTGGTTCATCTGGATTTAAAGCAATGATGATGAAAAAAAAACAGGAATCTATTTTATAGGATCGAATTTTGAAGATTGGGCAAATATTGGATTTTGCCAATCGTTAGGAATTTGGGCAGTTTATAATAAGAACATGAATCTTGGACATATTGGATCACCAGCTGCAATTGATATTGAATCAAACTTCAAATATATAAAGCTTTTAATTGAGACAGTTGATAAGCAAAAATGGCCTAGTTATGCAAATGATATTCCTGATTCTGAATTTATGATTGATTTATCTGTTATTAAGAAGATATTAGAAATTGACAACAGAGTTAGTATTCTTCATAATTGTAATGTAACAGAATTCTATGAGAAAGTTAAATCTGATCCAAGCCATAATAAATTCTGTGGAGATAATATATATTACTCCGAATTGAATGATTTGTATTAATTAAATACACTTTTGTTGTTAATATAAATTTTTAGGGTTGTACAAACTGGCACGCCTGCTGGCACACCTTTTTTGGCCAGCTGGCACGATTTTTTTAAAAACCACATTAAAAAAGTCACTTTTTGCCCCATCTAATGAGATTTTTTTTTACAATTTTTTTCCCCTTATTTTTCAATTTAGATATGATTTTAAGCTCTCCAAATTGAAGTTTACCTGATGTTTCTTAGTTTTTATGATAATAAAATGTTGCAAAGTTAAGTTTGGATTCAATAAATTTAAGAAAATTTTATTTTACAATGAAATTATAAGAAAGGATATTTTTATCCTATGTCAAAGAGAATACATTTGTAGATCCCGACTTTTGACATGATTGAAAATTCCAAAAAAAATTCAAAATTTAAAAAAAAAATTAAAAAATATAAATTTCATGTTAAAAAATGATTTTTGAAATTTTTTTGGAAAAATAGAATGTCATATTTTTATGTTTTATTGCTATTTT